TGGCGGGGGAGGGAGTGTTATAACGGGGAGGACATCCGGCAATTCTCGGCCGGTGACCCAGGCGCCCGTCTGGGGCCCCGCATTTTCTGTGCATTTGGGATCATCTAGCCTAGCTTTTTGTAAATGGCTCAGTGAAATTATCACGGGCAAGGCTCATTCACTACTATACATTCCAAATCAGACAAGGGGTTGTAACGGGCAACACTTGAGAAAAGCAAGGACTGACGGCGATAGAACAAATGGGTCTGAACATCTCATCTGCAATGATCAGGGACAGAGACGCCAAGAAATCGAACGAAGCCACGTCCACGCTCATTTGAATACCTCGCTAACATCTCCGAGCTGGACTCCTCCGAGGATTGCTCGTTGCGCTCGCGATAAGTTGCATCACTCGTCTCACGTGGGAACACACCTTTTCCGAAGAGCTTAATGCTCCTCTAGAGCTCGTGTCTCCGCCGTCTCAATCTCCTCATCCGTTCTCTTGCGCTTCAAAGCGCGAGAGTCTATCCCCTTCCCAATCCGGGCGTGCTTGGTCTCGGGCGTTCGCAAGGGCTGGATGATGAGGTCGTTGGGCTCGTGAAGTGTAGACTGAGGGAGCTCCTTAGCCTATGTAAATAGTCAACAAATGGAGATAAGATGAACAAGGGGCAAATCACATTGGGAATCGAAGCCATTGCTTTGCGAATGCTGTGGAGGTCCTCTTCAGACATCGCGCTATAAACCAAACGCTTCTTCTGATTCTTCAACTCAATGTCAACATCCGTCGGCTCCTCTGCCTTCTCGCGCCCATTCTTTACTACCTTACTCTGTGTCGACATGTAATTGGAAAAACTTGCCGTGGGTGCAGCGGCGTTCTTTTCGTTCCTCCTCTCCTTATACGGCTCAGTGGCAATTTCTCTTTAACAAGTCGAGGTTGCTTTTCATGTTCAGGATCTGCTCCTCCATATTCGCAATCGAACCTACCAGGACATTCAGTGAAATTAGTCAGCCAACGTGCTTGATACGCACGTTGACGCTCCTCCTCGCTGTCGAAGTCGTCCTCGCCGTCAGAAGTGGCCTGCGAATGTAGTGGCGGAAGATCCCGCCACTTCTCATCGAAGTAACGATCGAGCACCTTGCCTGCCTCGTGAACTGGGTTCATCGGCGGGTTCAAGGTTAGTGCGTTCCTGATCATCAGCTTGAAGTCATCTCGGAAGTTCTCAGGAGTAGCATATTCGCCCTTGCACAGCCTCTGCCTGATGGTAGATATGCTTATCGGTTGGCACTGGGGAACGGCGGTGTCGACTCACTCTGATACAAATTCTATGAAAAATGGATCGTCAGAACGAAGCTGACCGCTCACCAGATGGCTCGTGGAACAGGCTGACAATGACTCCGTCGAGACGCCTCTTGCGCAGCTTCTTGAGAATCCTGTCACAAAACTTAAATTGTTCCGCGAATATGCCATCGTTCGGCCCCTTCGCGCTACTCGTGTTCTCCGAAATGTGATTGTCGAGCAGATCCTTGGAAGTTAGCTTTTGCGATGAGAACGGGATAGTGCATCTCTACAGGATGTAGCATACCTCATTAGGATTCGACATCTTTTCGATAACTTTGGCAAGCGTCGCCTTTATCTGTTGAGCGGCCTGAGACGGTGGGACGGGTTGCGGCTCAGGAGTCGCTGATATTAGCGGTGGAACACCAGCCTTCCGATAACGCCATAAGCTCGCCCGCAATGATGCATAGAAGACAAAGCGCTCACGTTGGTCATCGATGCCTTTTCAGCGTCCGAGAAGCTCCAAGCTCGCTCAGCGGGAGGAGACTGATCATGATCAACGCGTTCAATAGTTGTAGTGTCAGAATCGGGAGATAAGGTGGGAGCAAGCAAGTCGATGGCAGTCATCTTGTGCGAAACAGCAGACACAGGAGGAGGAGCTGGCGGAGTAGGAGACTCGACTACTTGTCTGTGAGGAGTCCCACTGAGCAGTCGAAACTTCGCTTCGCCGTTCGCCACATGCATCTCACAGTACAACGTCGGTGATGCTTTTTCAGCAATCTAGCCGCCATCTGGAAGCTGGATGTGGGTTTTCTTCGAAGGCTCTATGGGATTGGTGGCTGATGCACGATGAGGTGCATCCTGGGGCATCGCACAGGAGCTGTCGGTGGCGACCTCACCTAAATCCGCAGGTGTACCGTAAACCTGGAAGTCAACATGTGCATCTTGTACTGCTCCGGTCACCTCCAATTTAACGGCTATAGGTCCGTGTCGCGCTTCAATTATCCATGCACTCGAAGTAGATGTTTCAATTCTCATGTCGGCCATGGCGGCGTTGTCGTCGTTGCTATGTGGCTCAAGCGCTCAATCGTTACCTTATCGGGCACATCCGAGTCCCCAACTTAATTATTGGTCCCTATGTACTGAAAACCAGCCGATACCGGAACTCAATCGTCTTCGTGCAGACTCGCCTCTACGATATCAACCCAAAGTTGCACTTTTTGGCGCACACTCCGATGCGGTAACTTCTGTCTTTTTACCAGTGCGGCGACTGACGGCAATATTGTCATCTGGTCCGTGGCATCTGGCCATGTATGACTCCTAGTACTCAGCGGAGTCAGCCGTCAGGATCATTTGCGCATTCAGAACGGCCAACTTCGCCTCCCAATTGTCGGATCAACGTGATCACAAAGCTGTCCTCGCTGATGTGATTATACCGGCAATGCATGGTGTTACATGAAATGTCACCGCAAGCATCTGGTTGACTGTGTACGACGTGCGAGGCATCCGCGCTGTCCACGCCATCGTTCGCTGGCGGGATCGCAGTACAATAATGCGTTCTCGACGCCTGCTTCAAGCTCACTGCCTGCCTGCCATTCTCTTGGAATTTCCCGGGCCGGATACCGCGTTAGCAGTGCGCGCCACTCCAGTTCCCCAGTGGCCTCGTTAGAGTGTGTATGAGTGGTGTAAACGGCTAGGGAACTGACTACCTAAGTACGTATTTATACTACCTTCTGTCCCTGTTCCCCGTGCATTTCCGATCCATTCCGTCTCCAGGCGCAGATTGCAAAGGACTGTGCACATTCACTACTATACATTCCAACTCATACAAGCAATACTCTTACAATGTGAATGAAGCAGAGAGAAAGTTGAATCGGCCAACACTTGAGAAAAGCAAGGACTGCTCGATAAAACAACCGAGTCTGAACATCTCATCTGCAATGATCAGGAAGAGTACACAAACAGAGACGTTTGAAGACTGAACGAAGCCACGTCTACGCTCATTTGATTACTCCAAGTCGCTCGTTAACATCATCTCCGAGCTGGACTCCTTCGAGGATTGCTCGTTGCGCTCGCGATAAGTTGCATCGCTCGTCTGACTTGGGAGCACACCTTCTCCGAAAAGCTCAATGCCCGCTTCGATCTCCTCATCCATGCTCTTGCGTTTCATAACGCGGGAGCCTATCCCCTTCCGAACCCGGGTGTGCTTTGTCGCGGGCGTTCGCAAGGGCCGGATGACGAACTCGTAGAGCTCGAGAAGTACATGGTGAGGGAGGATATCGATCTCCACCTCCATGTCTTCAGCGGTCTGTCAAAAAAATAGTCAACGTATGGAGACAAGATGAACAAGGGGCAAATCACATTGCAATATTCAGGCACTGCGTTGTGAATGATTTGGATGACCTTCTCAAGCTTCGCGCCAGGCTCCAGCGTTCCAATGGTATCAACCAAATCCTTCTTCTGATCGAAACTCAGAACATCGTCAAAATCCGTCGGCTTCTCGGCCTTCTCACGCCTGTTCTTCACCATCTTACGCTGCTTCGATATGGATTTGTATGGACTTATCCTGGGTGCGGCGACGTTCTTTTTCTTGCCCCTCTCCTTATACGGTTTCGTGGCGTTTCTCTTCATGGAGTCAAAGTTTCTCTTCATTTCCATGATCTGCCTCTCTATGCTCGCAACCAAACCTACCAGGACATTCAGTGAAAGCATTCAGCCAACATGCTTGACACGCACGTTTACGCTCCTCCTCGCTGTCGTAGTCATACTCGTCGTCAGAAATATCCTGCCAATGTAGTGGCGGAAGGTCCCGCCACTTCTCATCGAAGAAACGATCGAGCGCCTTGCCTGCCTCGTGAACTGGGCTCATGGGCGGGTTCAAGGATAGCGCGTTTCTGATCATTAGCTTGAAATCTTCTCGGAAATTCTCAGGAGCAGCATATTCGCCGTGGTGCAGCCTCTGCCTGATGGTTGACAAGCCTATCGTTTGGTACTGAGGAACGGCGGTGTTGACCCAGTCTGACATAAACTATATTAAAAATGGATCGTCAGAACGAAGCTGGACCGCTCACCGGATGGCTCTTCGAACGGGCTGGCAATAACATCGCTCCTCTTGCGCAGCTCCTCGAGAATCATGTCACAGAACTTGAACTGTTCTGCGAATATGTCATCTTTGGACGCTACGGCGGGTTGCGACACAAGAGACGCTGATACTAGGGTTGGAACACCAGTCTTCCAACAACACCGTCAGCTCGCCCGCAATGATGCATAGAAAACAGAATGCTCACGTTGGTGATCGATGACTTTGCAGCGTCCGAGAAGCTCTTGACCCGCTTAGCGGGAGGAGGCTTCACATGATCAACGCGTTCAGCAGTTGTAGTGTCAGGAGAGAAGGTGGGGGCAAGCGAATCGATGGCAGATATCCTGTACGAAACAGCAGACACAGAAGGAGGGGTCGGCGGAGCAGCCGACTGGGCTGTTTGTGTATGAGGAGTCCCATTGAGCAGTGGAAACTGCGCTTCGCCGTCCGCCACATACAACGTCGGCGATGCTTCTTCAGCCATCCGGCCGCCATTTTGAAGTTGAATCTGGGTTTCTCTGGGAGGCTCTATAGGATTGACGGCCGATGCACGATGAGGTGCATCGCACAGGAGCTGTCGGCAGCGACCTCACCTATAACCGCAGGTGTAGCAACCTGAGGGTCAACATGCGCATTTTGTACTGCTCCGTTCACATCCGACGTCGTAGCTGCAGGCCCGTGTCGTGCCTCGATTATCCCCGCACTCGACGCAGATGTTTTCATGTCGGCGATGGTGCTTAAGTACCGTTGTACCTTATCGGGCACATCTGAGAAATCCAATCTATTAAGAGCAGGCTTTGTAATCGCGTGTAATGTTCCGATGCCAGAGTTACATTTATTATGTATCGCCCCCATTGCTTCTCCTGCCACGTCTAGGTATTGCTCCATAACCGTTGGAAAATCGGAGAACCATGCAATGCAATGGATGAGTCCGAAAATCCGCCACAAACACACAGGATACAAGGACATTCCTCCAAGGAGACTAAGGAAACTGGCGTCGTCCTCGTTTGAGGTCCTGTCGGTCATGATACGCCACCATTGTTCATGAGCAGTTTGAGCGAATATAAGCTCTAGGCACTGTGCATTTCTATGCAACGCGGCGACCGATGCGACCAGTAACCTCAAGCAGTGAATGCAGCGCCAGGGCGACGTAGCGCCAACATGTGACACCGGCCGCAAAGCGGCTGTAGCGCAGTGCTGTACGCGCCAAAATCTTATACTGGCAACAGTTCCTTCCTCCAAGTTGTCAGACAACACTTCTTGCTCCTTCTTTACCACTTCTCAATCATGGCTCATCCTCTCGTGTGGCCTGGAAGATACTACTTCTATCCCATTGGAAATACACCCTCTGTCTGTCTTACGAGGGATATGCCTCCTGAAGAGGATGCTCATATTCTGCTTCTTGGATGCGGCGATCCGCGCAATGTACTGTACACGGTCTATAACGAGCCGTCAAATGGTGAGATCCTTTCATTACTGCTATGCACAGTATCATTGTCATATGTAATATTCCACTTCTCTCACGCAGGCATCAGAGCTCTTGACTTTACGTGCTGTGACATCGAACCAGCGATTCTTGGCAAGCCTCCTTTACTCTCAACTGGAAATCCAGGGTACTTACTGACGATACGATAGCGCGCAATGTCCTATTGCTCACAATGATTGCCGATAAGGAGCTCACTCAAACTGTCATATGGGACACCTTCTTCCACTTCCACCTCGACAAAAACTCACTTTCAGCACTGACTGTGCAGTGCGAAAAGCTCATCAAGCTTTCTGCCACTCTCCGCGAATGGAATGAGTCCGCATATGGACAATTCATTCGGATGTCTACGGAGTACACATTGGTGGAACTACGGCGCCATTGGTCTCTTTACGTCGGCACGCAACATCTACCGCGTCCGAAACTCGACGAGCTACGCGAGGCCCTCAGGAAGATGTCGAAGTCTAAGTTGGACAAGTTTAGCGTTAATTGGAGCTCCGCGCGCTCTGCTGGTCCTCTCATGTTGGCGGCAGTGGAGACCTCTTCGGATCTGTTCAGGCAATTCTGGAAGACTGGCGTTACCTACACGGATCCGAACAAGATCTCAGCTGCAACGTCGCTCAATCCCACATTCTTCCATTCCCTCGCAGGTCAGAACTGTTCCGTCCATTACGGCATTGACCCGATGGTTCCTTTCCACCTCGCCGAAGTCTATGGAAATACCCGACGCAAGGCGTCCGCTGCGGACGTTGTGAAGGCTGCGAAAGCCGAGTTCGAGAAATGGTGCTCGGCTTTTGCAGTGATCCTGTCCCCCGCCTCTAGCAAAAGGGTTGTTGTCCGCATGATCTGCGGAGATTGCATGGCTATATGTCAGGCGCTCAGGACGTTCGCATTCACCGAATCTCTGAGCCCTAATATCCCTGTTGCGCAATGGAAGACACAGGTCATTCAGCTCGAGAAAGAGGAGTACATCTCGAAGCGCGCACCGGCGTTGTTCAACGTCATCGACACATCCAATCTCATCGATCATATTGGTCTTTTGAACATCCTCATCGCTGCAGTACCTATTCTATCGCCATCAACGCCTTCTAGCGTTCTCTACACGGAATCTCTGCTGTTCCGAGGGGAGGACGCTACGAAAGAGTTCATGGAGTTGCTCTATGCAGACCTCACGGCAATTGGCCTCTTATTCGGGGTATGCCCCATCGATTACCTATCAGGATTCACGTCGCGATCGAATTCGCATGAATTGATGCTACATATAGCGACCAAGAGGAAGGCTAATCAGTTCCATCAAGTGACAACGTGGAAAGCTCCGGCCTCCGGTGACGCGCTTTTGACTCGTTCTGGAAGGCACGCGCCATCTCCGTCCTATGACTCTTTGCAGTTGGGAACGTTCCTTTATGACATGTACCATGAAATATACCAGCAGGAGGACGCCGTGAATTTCTGGCGCTTGAACCAAGGAAATTTGACGAGGGCCTTTGCTTCCTCTAACATTCTTCACTACTCTCGGGAGAGCTTCGTTCTACTTCTGAAGCTCGTGAGGGATCGACTTGGAATCCCAGAGGAGAAGTGGTTGGAGGTCATGGATCGCTTCTTCGACCTTCAGGATGCTGATCAAAGTGCTCCCATGGACCGCAATAACATGCAGGATTTTTGCGCTCAGCTGCATCGCCATAGTGTGTACACAGCGCCACACATGAAGCCGACACCGCCTAAGACCGGCATTTTCTCCTCTTGGGACTCTGTGCCCACGCTTGTCCGCATCATTCTCATTGTTCCACGCGAAAAGCTGTCGATACTTGAAGAGTCCGCAGAACAGATTGGCACGCCTATCTTAAATTGCGACATCAGAGGGAAATGGTCGCACAACATCTATTCCTCCGTTCACGTCGCATACGGGACAGTAATCAGGATGGGGACAGGTTCCGGTACCTGGGCCGTATTTACGGAGGATAGCGCTGGGGCTCGTGGAGATTCGTCCCTTGTGGCATCTTTCACTATGTCGACCTGTCTTCTCACCGATATCGAACCTATGGAGAATTTATTAATTCGCCTTTCGGTTCGGAGCACGCCCGCTTCCACCATGTTGGTTTCGAAACTTGGCTTGGAACTAACCCTCTTCCATGCTAGGCTCATGGACCAATCTGCAGTGATCGTGCTGCCTGAACGGCCGTTGCCTACCCGTGCGTTATTGCATCGCGAGCCCGCTGATGACTCCTATCTACAAGCTCAAATCGGACGGTGTACAAACCTTCAAGTGACATTTGACGAGCAATGCGAGCTTGTGACATCCCTGACATCCAGGATCTCTGTCGATGATGAGGAAGTCCGGAAAAGTTTCAAAAATGGCGTCACACCGTCCATTATCCAGCTTTCGCCTTGCACTATGCGCCTAGGGATAGGCAAGGGTATTCAAGATGTCGCGTTTCCGTTTCCAGTTATAGGAAGCCAGAATAAGCTGCGCTTGGCTAGGACATCTATGTATGTGGAAGTGAGTCATGCAACCAGTGCTGATATGATGGTACAAGTCTCACGCTGTAGCGATTGCAGGTTGTCGTCCCTCCATATAGCCCATTGAAAGCCGATGGCATGAAACTGAATCCATGGCCGGTCACCGTTAGTGGGGGCATTCTTGGTCTTTACAGTATTCATCGTCTAAATCTGGCCCGGATGCCCGTTCTCGATATCAAGGCCTTCAAGCTAAATCAATGGCTTAACTCACACCTCGGATCCCAGATGTCCTCTCGAGAACGTTCTCTTCGAAAGAAGCATGAGGAGGACACCTTGATGTACATCAAAGATTCCCTTCATGCCATCTTCGTTCGCTCAGCTGGAATACAGGGAGGCCCTGCCGGCAGACTGTTTGCACTGCGTGACAACGCGACAAACGATTGTGACACTGTTCTTTTCGTCAGCGATCTACGATATGACCTTCATTGCCATACCGTCATCTGCGATGCGTTCGTTCTACCGCTCACACATGTCTTGCTGTTCAAGATTGAAAAGCCGTTCGCGAAGTTGATCTACGAAGGACAGATGAACAACATTAATGTGTACGGCAATGAGCTGGCCGCCTGGAAACAACTGCTGCCCGTGCTCGTTGAACGATGCAGGTTGTCTTGGACACACGGCGCGAATTGTGAGTACAAATCCGAGGGGAGGATACCACGGTGCGAAGACATGGAGAAGAATCCTCTGTGCACTTGCGGACAGGGCCAAGACACGGAGCCCATGAAACAGAACAAGTTGTGGAGCCCAATGGCTCCTTATGTCACGCGGGTCGCGCTGTCTCCTCTCTTCGCGGTATCCTATTTGGAAAGTATTGGACGAGATCCTGCAGCACATAAATGTTTCGTTTGTCGTGGAAAGGGCAAGCCGAAATTGTTAGCATGCACGGGATGCATGAAAGTTCGATACTGCTCGCGGGATTGTCAGAAGAAGCACTGGAAGGTGCATAAACTAAAATGTAAGCAGTGACTGACTCTCAGCAGACTGATGTTGTGTAGCCGTTGTTGTGATAAATGCTCTCGGGATGATATATTTTGTGATATAGATCCATGAAACACTGGTGTGTTCTATGTGAGGAGCGTAACTACTAGGATGTAGGTGCGCTTTTCCATGGTCATACCGCTGTCTAAGAAAGGCTATTGGGACTCGCAATATGCCTCTCAGATAGTGTTGGCGTCCCTTGCAAAGATCCAGACAGGCCATGGCATCCACTGCGATGGCATTAATTCGTATCCCTTGAGTTCAAATCCCAGTTTCTGGTATATAGCGACCTAACAAAGGTTCCGTAAGGCGCTGGAGACAATGTATAAAGGTTCCGGGTGCAATGCGTACGTTGCGCTCGGCAGTTGTCGCAAGAGCCATCGTCGCGCCGAGCCTTTTTGCCTACGTGTGCCAAATGGTCATCAACGGAGATGCTCATAACGGTGAAGATCATGCCTTCTCGAATGCGAGCTCAAACATAGCCCTCGTAACACCCTTCCCTTGGTACTCTGCCTTGACAAATGCGAAGCTGCACCAGTACGTGTTCAATTCCGTCTGTATCAGAATGTCACAATGATGGCGGTCAGATCAGACGTGATAATCTGTCGCTGCAAACTGACTGATTCTATCCCAGTCTTACTGTCGATGACTTTCGGGAAATCTTTTCCCATCTAATGTGAATGGCGACAACTGCTTAGAATCATGCGACATTGACGATCAACTCACCGTTTCAGCAAAGTATGCCCTTCCTTCTTCCGGCAGCTTATCCATCAAGTCAAGATACCCCATCTCAAGCTGTTCTTTTCCGCTGGACACTCGCTTACGTGAACATCCTGCGAGCACAGAGAAGACAAGATACAAACGTATCATATAGGTTTCTGCCAGGTGGAAGCCATAGCGTGAAACCAGCGAGTTTTCCGCTTTCATCAGTGGCAGTATACATGTCTCCGACGACCAACGCGATGGGTTTGATCATGGCACGTGCCATAGTCGGAATGAGCCTACGATCGCCCGCGACCAAGGAGATTGTGAGAGGGTCTACAAGTCCAGGTCATCTTACTGGGCGAGCTCAGGCAAAGATTGGGAGTCTCCCCTTCGGGCATGAGATCAGAGAAGACCTTGACGGCCTCTTCTACTAGATCCTCTGCCTCAAAGTTAGTATGACGCAGAATGGGCTGATGTCATTCAGCATACCTGTAGGTTCGGACACATACTGAACCGTGACGTTGGACGATAACATCCTCTCGGAGCTCCGCGTACACGGCAATTGCTCAAATGGACGAGGGAAGGCAGTCTCGCTCCTGACAGAGTAAGTCGAGGTGCGCTGATGATCACTCTAGGAGTAAGCACGGCTCTTATATTGCCGCATCCCAAGGTAATACACCCCATCAGATTTCCTTGATGATGATGAAACGGCGGAGTACGGGGCTACTGGATGAATACGCAGCTTCATTGTTCAAGCGCAAGATCGCGCACAAAGATCGACGGCGGTGGACCTACCTGGACCCAGTGACTCATCGGAAGGCACATTCGGGGTCGCTATTCGCGGCGAAGACACTAACTATTAGTAGGTTTCACGACGTATCTCCTCTCGTGACATTGACATGGGAGTGTCGGCGCTGCGTCCGCACGCCCGAGTCCGAATGACTGGCGGATAAGCGCGTCCAGTACGTTCTCATGTCTTGAGAGCGATAGAGCGAAAGTACAAAAATCGATAGTCCGCGATATACAGAGGATAGAGTATAAATATAATATACATTTGTCCGCGATACAGAGATACAATAAATAAGTGAAGGACGTCGTCCTCTATTCCGACTTGTTCCTTTATCGTCGCTTCCGGTCCCTCGATGAGTTTGGTTACGGTGAGTAGTTCAAGTTGAGAGCGCCAATGTTTCCATCCATCCTTGTAGACCGCATTACAATTTGCGTCGCATTTGAAGCGAGTAACGGTGCACTCTATCATGACGAGGTCGTTTTCAGTAATGCAGGCAGTGGGATACTGCTCCATCTTCGTGCGAGGGCCGAAGATTGTGCGGCCGTCGAAGCAGCTGTTGAACGTGAGGGCCTGGAGGGGCAGTGAGCGTCGAATCACGAGACGGGAATGCAGCTGAACTCACGGTGAACTTCTGATCTCCGCGGTAGGTGCGGCCTTGATAGCGGTTGGCCCACACGCCGTTCTCGTCGTCTCCGTTGTCTTTGGCTGCGGAGGAGGTGTCAGAATGTGTCATTGACGGTTGCAGGTCACTTACTGATCGATGCGAGGTCGCGCAATACTAGCATGCCTCGTGAACTGGGCTCATCGGCGGGTTGAAGGTTATCGCGTTCCTGATGATCAGCTTGAAGTCATCTCGGAAGTTCTTAGGAGTAGCACATTCGCCCTTGTGCAGCCTTTGCCTGATGGTAGATAAGCCTATCGTTTGATACTGAGGAACGGCGATGTTGACCCAGTCTGACATAAATTCTTTCAAATGAATCGCCAGAACGAAGCTGGACGACTCACCAGATGGCTCGTCGAACGGGCTGGCAATAATGTCGCTCCTCTTGCACAGCTCCTCGGGCATTCTGTCACAGAACTTGAACTGTTCCGCGAATATGTCATCGTTCGGCCCCTTCGCGCTACTCGTGTTCTTCGAAATTAAAACAGATCCTTGAAAGGTTTTGGCTTTTGCCATGAGAAGGGGACAGTGCATCTCTAATAGGAAGTGGCATACCTCATTATTATTCGGCATCTTTTCGATAAGTTTGTCGAGCGTCGCCTCTACATGTTCAGCAGCCTCATACAACGTCGGCGATGCTTCTTCAGCCGTCCGACTGCTGTCTAGAAGCCGGACTTGGGTTTCGTTGGGAGGACTTATGGGATTGGTGACTGATGCACGAACACGTTGTATGTGGCTTAAGTACCTACTACCTTATCGGGCATATCTTCCTCCTCGGCGCCAGTCATCGCCGCTATTGCTGAGGCTAATACGACCCGTCTTCGTACAGACTCTCGCATGCCTCCACGATATCAACCCAAAGTTGCAGCTTTTAGCGCACACTCCGATGCGATAACTTCTGTCGTTTGCAGTCATGACGGCTGTCTTCTCGCAAGTGCGGCAACTGACAACAAGGTTGTCATCTGGTCCGTCGCATCTGGGGAAACAGGCTGAGTATCTGATTATCGCCGAAGCAACCAGTTTTTAATTTTACTTCTTGTGCATCTGTGCGCTGCTCTGCATTGCCGTCACACTCTTAATCTCTGCACTTGCAGCCCGGAGACGCTGCCCTCCTCGTCACACCAATCAACGTTCAACCCGCAGCTTATCGTGCGACTCAGCCGTCAGGATCTTTGCGCATTCACAACGGCTGACTTCGCCTTTCAATTGTCGGATCAACGTGACCGCAAAGGCCCCTATCCTCACTGATGTGGTTATTCAGACAATGCACGGTACTGTCACATGAGATGTCATCGCGAGCATCTGGCCGACAAGAATATTTGTGTACAACGTGCGAGGCGTCCGAGCTGCCAGTGTCCGCGCTACCGTTCAGTATCGCAGTACAATCACGCGTTCTCGGCGCCTGCTTGCCATTCACGACTCGCTCGGTCCCAATGCGAGCGATTACAAGTCAATGGAAACCGTGCACGATGCTATGTAGACGGCATAGACATTTCCATGGAGTTTCCACTGCATTGGTTACAGACTGCAGTATACAGAGCTGCAGGTTGTTTTGGAAGAGCATAGCTCCGTTGATGCGGTGCGCGGAGGAATGGCCGACAGACTTTAGGTTGATGAGCATCACCTTGGTAAGATATGGTCATTGTTACGTATATCGTAAAAAAGACTCACTGGACGTAAAAAAAAGTTCTTATTAGTGACGCTCGCATAGCTTTGCAAGAGAGCGGCTGTGCGACAGCGATAGCAGCCTACCTGTCTTCGCACTACATTTCACATCTGAGCATGATGTCCGCCTTGTCATTAACGGCGGTCTCGACGTCGCGCCTCGGATGCCCCCCTGGCAAGCCTACAATCACTCCGCGTGAGATTGCATCATCTTTGCAGCTTCAACATATTGTTGTCCTTTATGTTCGCGTATCAAGCTTTCTTCGTGCGATGCTTTCTAGCCTCAGGCGATAGCGACGTGAGTGCTGCTACTTTTGTTTGTTTGTAAATGTTTCGCTAACCAATCATCTGTGCGAACGGATCTATCTCTTCGACATGTAGAAACGTACCAGTGTTTTTATAGCGAGAATGACAAATTCTGCGACCGCCTTGAAGCTTTGGACAACCAGATAGCCTCCTGCAAGATAGTTGAAGAGAAAATGCGGAAACTACTAGGAACACCAGACTCCACGGATTCTACGGAACTGCGTATGCGGTGGAAGCAATACTGCGGTTCGAGTTCAGCGGACCCGTGCGGTGTGGCCTTCTTGCAAACCCTGCAGAACCTCTTCTTCTACAGAAAAAAAAGAGGAACTACAGCCTGTCCCAGCGTCGCCCTCCTGTAGTAGTAGTCCATCGTGACAGGACTCGCGGTGGTGGTGTCCTCTTGGAACCCACGGCGACCGTGAGCAATGTCAATTGTTACATGAAATAAATTCTCATGTGATTCTCGACTGCAGAAGCGTTGGAGTACCCATTATGGAGGGAGCGCAACCGTATGCTGTTGTCATCGGTACAGATTTGTATACCGAAGAGTCGTTGATTGGGGCGGCGAAGGATGCGCGCGCATTCAACGACTTCCTCTTGAACGATCTCCGCACTCCTCCAGACCACGTCGCTCTGCCTTTGGACCATGATGCCACGCGCGAGAACATCATGAAGATGCTCCAAATGCACCTGCTTGAAAACCCCAACATTTGCCCCTCCCATTACCGCCCTCTCTTAACCCGCATTGAACGCGCCTCTCCAGCATGTTTTCTGTTCACAGATACTGTTTGCTGGCATCAACATGCTGGCAGGAAGCGATGGACGGTAGTTCCCACTCGGCTCCTGCATCGCTGCTAGGCGCTCGGCCTTTCGAGGCTTCCGCAATCTGCATAAATGACTGGTCGGGCCATACCACATGTGAGAGCCACGGGAAAGTTTATCCGGGTCCTCCTCGGCGGCGGCGTTACTAAGCGTGCTGTGCATGCGCAAACGTCGGCATCGTAGGACCGTGTGCAATGTGCAAGAACTGCATGGTGAGTTTACGACATAGTACTATAGTCACAATTGGCACCTTATTCCACCCTGCGCCTGTACACATGTAAAATGCGAATTTGTAGATCTGTTTATGGGTAGGAAATGCGTCAGCTTTTGAGGTTGTCGTGTTGCGGAGTGACGTTGGATGTCTTCAGTACATACTCGGTGTTGAGGCAAGTGGACGACGAACAATACACTACTTTCTATTAGGATTGCACAGACTGTATCGATGTTGTGTTGCGTGCGAGTGACTTCAAGCACAAGATTTCATCAGGTTCAAGTCCATTGGACGATGCACAAGAGGAAGACACCCAGCCAAGCTGAATGCATAGACCGCTCTCCAAGCAACGAGAAAAGTGTGATCAAACGAAGCTAATCAAAATGTGCTGCTTTGTTCGACGGCGTACGACTCGCCACACGTGAAAGAACCCGAGCTACGCAAACTATCTGACTCAAGATGCGAACTCAAGAGTGTTTACTTTATCACCCGTGATATTCTGAAGTCATCAGGATATCTACTATGTCCCAGAATACAATGTGCGCCGCTGAAGGACGGCTGAGGACGTGTGCGGACGCGCCGAGATAGGAGAGGATCGCATGGGTGTACAGTAAGATTGGCGAAAGACATTGGATACAAATGTCGACAAAATGATGACAATGTTTTAAGATATCACAAAATACCGAATTGTGCCGCGCAATAGCCCTTCCAGCCGTGTCAAGCCAAAGCACGTTCACTTCAGGGTCGTAACAGTCAAGCGACGAGGCAAGCCCGTAGCAAAGAAGCAAGTCTTATGATATGCCCGTTCGTCCACCAAGTCGATGAATTACTATGAAGGTGGGTCCGCCAGCCGCGCACACCACGAAAGAATCGGCGAAGATGTGTGGTCGCAACCATAGCTATTGTAGCGATTGTGCGACAATGATGGAGCTATGTTCGTAGGCGCGTCATGGTGTTGTTCATCGTCCAGCTCGAATCGCATCAGGCGCGTCCAAGACCAAAACCAAGATATTGTTATCGGGGCGATACGCAGCACCTCAATGAGCGGTCGCTAAGTTTGCAGATTGACGGAGCAACAACACAATAACGCACCAATATCGTTGACGGAAGCATCTCCGCATCCGTTCAGCTGCTTCCTACTACGCATCGCCTCAGCTCCATAGCCGTGCGGTTGGGTTTTATATACGGCCAGTAAAGCGATGGGGCCACCCTCAGATGTTTCGGGTTGGATAGTGCGTGAGTGGCATGTGAGAAGCTTGTACGCACGATGGCGTAGGAGAAAGTGAGGCAGACACTGAATAAACAAAGCAAGAAAAATCCAAGAATCAAGCCAATATATGCCCGTTTCAAATGTTCAAAATTCTGCATGACGAGCGGGCTCAAGGGCATGGATCCCGACCTGCTCGATAGCGTTGCACCTCCGGCTAGTAATCACCATTCCGCGCGGCAGGACGGGTACAAGGACGGCATCGCAAGCTAGTCAGTGTCAGTCTTGTCGCGTAGGGGCAGTCTGCCGTGGAAATGACAAGGAAGCGGAGCATGTTGCCTCTTTTTGGGGGGGAGTACCGCCCATCTATAAAACCTCTCAGACACCGTCGCGGCAACGCGACCTCTTGATCTACTCCCGCGACTCCGCGGAAATGGTTCCGCGAACAGTCCAACAGCGGCAATCGTTGGCTCGATATCCCCTCTGTTGGCTGCCAAACGCATCAGATGCATTAATGAGTGCAGCTTGGAGCGGTAGCGTAGGATTGGATCCCGCCAGCGGTGACATTGTCATCACTCAAGCGCGCTAGCTGTGGGCGGGATAGAATCCCACTCGATGGTACGAAAAAAACACAGGCTCTCTGCAAAGAAAGGACTCGCTCTCAAATATCCGCCTTAATGACAGACGACCGCCCCCCGCAGCGTCGCGGTAGACAACATCATCAATCCGCGGAGGCGAAGCACCATGGCATCTTCCCGAAAGCGGGCTGTGGCAAAGTATCACCGAGATCGGGGGGCGCTGTAAGCAAATTCCCTTAGTAAAGGCTAACTTTCTGCTTGACAGGCCGCTCCTTGCTCTTCGATGTGGAGTCCCATCCTTGAAGGCATCAAATGGCCCAATGGCTGTGAGTGTGTCACATGTGACAATAAGTGACATCACGAGGCCACAGTCGGAAGCGCCCGTTAGGCAAGTAGCCACATTGTCCGCTCGATGAGGAGTGGAATGATAAATGTCTCCATGTGGATGTTTATATCAGAATTGATGATTGAAGCATGAAAGGACAAGACTCAAAACTCCCGACAACCTTACCATGGGCAAGCATAGCAAGGCCAAGACTGGACGAACTCACGATGTTCGCGCCATTTACGGCCGCATCTAATGTGTACTCCCTTGAAGCCCGACATGAAAAGTCGTGCAGCGAAGAAGCACCATGTTTATCAGCGTCAAAGCCGAATGTGCTTCATGCAGCGCGTTTGTCGAACTCGATCCCCTCCACCAAAGACGAAACATCCCGTACTTGTCGTGTGTATGTCCGAGGAGAACAATATGCATGACGGGCATGACGTACCTCTACCAGTCTAATCATCGATATTGTGGGACGTTACTCGCGAGGCATCCGCCGTATTTACAGAGCGCAGAGAGCATCATGCACCATGTCGACAGTATCACATCTTATGCTTCAGCCATCATCGATTTTACAAGAGCTCGCGCACAAAATCTTGAGCCTCAAGCTACGATCATCGTCTTCCAGGCCGCCGTCTCCTGCCCCAGGTGGTCCCTGTTATAGCGCCGCTGCGCGTCATATGCCAGATATTCACAGCATCCAGAGGAACCAAGAAGGACGCGTGGGACTGTTGGTTGGATTTCGAGGGATTTCAAACCGCTATTCTCGGCAGGCAGAATTCGACGAGCTAAGCGACGATGACCGTAAAGTAGAAAATTGATGTCAAGGCAGAAGATGCACTGCTAGTCCACAGATTACTCTCGCGCAGCTTCAGCGACATACGAAGCCATTCTGAGCAAAGTGAACCAGCCAGTCGAGGACGCGGGTGTAGCCGCGGCGCCAACAAGCGATCGAGAGATCGCACGAGGCACGACGCTCTACCGTATCGCTCGCGCGTAGCTGGAACATCTCCGCCATCCACAACGTTTAAATGCTCTCTTCATCCTCCTGCTCCTATCGACCTGCACAGAATGTTTTCAATTCATGCCCCTATCGGATCCCCTATCCAAATTGTCTCACGTACAGTGGGCCACAAAAGGCTTGCCGCCGTCTATTTCTCACTCCCACCCAGCCAACAAGTGACGAAATACGACGGCTCGAGCTCTTCCTATCCTTTATGTCTTTGTATCGATTGTGCCACCTTGCCCTCTTTTTGCAGATGCACGTTTTCTATGTGTCGTTCAATCGGGCCCCAAAGCGCTTGTGATTAGCAATATAGCCATTCATGACCAGCATGATTGTTGCAGGCCATCTCGCGTGCCTTCGATCAGACCAAAGACATTGTGGAGCGTTGATCTTCCTTTTGTTGTGCCGCTCGCTCGCAGCTATACCTTCTACCTTACAAGGTCACTCGCGCGTTGGCTGTTATCCGGACGATATTCATTTGACTTCGAAATCCACGTCCTGAAGAAACTTCGCGGTGTCGTTTGAGGTATTGAAGGGAGTTTAGGTGTAGACAAGAAGACGCTATGAGCAGATTCCACTGATTGTCCAATGATGGAATGACGGTGGGTTTGTTTCTTCTCTTCTTCGGGGAGCGGCTGACGTAGTGTACCGACGCATCCGCAGAATGTTCTTGACATTCAGTGGCATCCCCCGCGCCGAGATGGCAAGGGTGTACTCCGTCTTCGCCGATGGAATGTGGCTCTTGTCCATCTTGCGGTGGCGCATCAACTCGTGAACGCTCGTACTTCCAGCATGAAACCCATTCGCACATCAAGGTGTGTTGCTGGTGGTCGCTGATGTATACTCCATTTTGGCTGATCTGTGTGTTGACATAGACGAGTCTATCACCTCAAAGATAGGAAGACAACCGGATCATTTTCACCGGACCAAAGTAAGTTGTTCTCGGATGTATGATTAAGGATTCTGAAATGCGCCACATCACGGTAGCGTTCCCTCAAGAGGACCTGCAAGACGATACTGGGGCTTCAGGCTCTAAAGACGGGATCAAAGTGAGCACATTTCAAAGCAGCAGATCAGCCGAATGACATAAATGTGTGCCCTAATTTTATTCGCGCGATTTAGTAGCATTGGGGAATGGATGGAAATGTGACAATAAAATACTAAATAAAACGATAACAACAATCTGTGTGCCCCGAGACTGACTGGAAAGTTCGAAGCGCAAGTTGCGAAGGTCAAGCTTTGCGCCTTTCAGCAATGAGAAGTCACATGGCCGGCATGAAGACTTGGTAGCGATTGCGCTACGTCGATACGAGGCGATTAGTTCGGTTTTTTGATCAAGACCATGAAACGCCGGATGCTCTCCATTTCGATGTGTCTCCCAAACAACGCGAGTCATGAGCTTAGTTTATCTATTCTGAAGGTGGATCTCGCTCTCCCTATTCAAAATACTAGTTTATTCCAAGCAGCACTGCAATTCGGGGGTGCAGGCCTGATTTGCCCCTCCGCCAACTACCTCATTGCAGGTGTAATCCTCGGCAGCCCAGGTCTACTCAGACCTGAGGCTTGAAGCCCGAGCATACGCTATCAGACATTGGCGACTTGCGATCACGCCTATACATATCCTGCACACATTCATTTTGCTACATCGCATTCATCATGTAACTCATCCCATCCTTCCTGCCTCGCCCATTCCAGCAGCCGCTTGAGATATCTGCGAGGAACAACGGCACGCAGCCGAAGCAGAAGTGAGCCTTCTGCACGACCATAGACGCGGCGGTCGCAGGGAGGTGGAACAGGGTGGAACTTATTAGCGTGAGGTAGCTGGTCTGCGAGACCGTAGGTGCGAAGACCGTGTAGGCCGCAAGTCCGAGGAAGATGGCAAACTCGGCGAGTCAGAGAGATCGGCACCGTGCATGATGCCAGAGTGTGGGCTGACCACCGTGTCTTGCGCGTATGTCTGCCAAAGTTTGGTGCCGGAGACAACATCAAGGAAGTACGCATCCTTCCCGGTGATTAGACCACTCCAGCAGGAAGTGGCTCAAGTCCGCGCCAATCACGACCACCCAATCACTCACGCTTACGCGCGCGTGAGGCTGCACAATCACAAGGACGAGCGCAGCTGACAGCACCCGTGTCGACGAGCGCAGCTGACAGCACCCGTGTCGACGAGCGCGTGGCTCTACGGGTAGTCAAATGGTGTGGGGAAGCACGCGCTGCGATGCGCGGATCGAGGCTGAAGCTTTTCGAGCGAGACGAATTGGGGGAGGAGGAAGAGCGCATCGGCCGCAGCGCCTGCAAGACAGAGGATAAAGAGCGGGAGGCCGGGCGCGAAGACCTCCGCGATGATGTCTGTTACAGAAGAGTTAGTGCGACTGGAAGATTGAGAAGGGCGAGCGAGACGTAACAGAAGCGTAAAGCGCGATCCATGTGGCGCCGTGTCTTCTGAAAATGAGTGCGCTGGGATAGAAGTACAGTCTGTACAGAGATGACACTCATACAGGCAGTCTTCGCAATATCGTCGACGAAGCTCATCAGGGGAGTCAACACATCCGCACAAGTATGTAAGCCTGAGTGAAGAGCTCATGAGCTGGGTAACGGAATGAATCATCGTTGCATTACGCTCGGTGCATGGCGTCGGCCCTTCTCAAAGTATGAGTTGAGATGAATTCAGAGGACGAACGAACCGCACCGCAAGTTCAGGCATCCACTCTTCCAGCAGGTTCTTAGCTGATGTCGAAAGCCACAACCATTCTATCGTACGTGTTCAATGCTTGCGCACTGAATGGAAACATATATAGTCACGTACCGAACGCTCTTTAGGCTAAAGCTTGACTTCACTCTGGACGTAAAGGTTAACCGCCACACACCTGCCACCACCTGATTGAGCACACCCGCCAGACTTGAGCATTTTATCTCATACCCATGCGAGACGTGCCCAAATACGCTCACAATTCACACATCTTCTCTTTGGAGCGAAGCAAGAAGACGACCAACGAACAAAGACTATATATATATATATCAATAGTTGAGCGTATTGAAACAGCGGCAATCGCAATCGTGAACAAACAGCGTGATGGCATGACACACTCAGAGAGCTGTACAATATGTGTAACAATGGCAATAGTATCGTACGAATATATGCAGAATGTAAAAGGATACCGGTTGAAAGTGCCAATGCTGGGCCGGGAATGTTTTTGTATCGTATCATGGTATGTAGCGGGAAGCGTGTGCAGCGTCCCGACATATTACAATCCATCTGCCAACGGCACGTCAGCACTGTCCTTCGCACGACAAGCTAATGTAATAACACACCTTTCTTCACCGACGTGACCTCACCGAACAACATGATGGTGGAAACTCAGGAGCAGCAACGCATCCTCTACCTTCACGCCAGTCTCAAATTTCTGCCCCACGACAGCGCGTTTCGTGTCTGCCGTCTTCTCGATCAGTAATTCTGCGACGCTGACCCGGGGAGGCGGGGACGCCAGCGGACTGGGCGTCACCGCTTCCTGGTACTCCTCTTCGCTACCCATGTGCGAATCTCCATCCGCGTAGGCGTACGCATCGGCATCTGAGTGCATGTGAGAAGGAGGATATACCTGCGGGGGTGGGTGGGCATGCGGATAGGCCGACGGGCGCACAGTAGCCGACGGAGCCTGCGCATAAGTTGAGCGGCTACGCGAGAAAGAATGATGCTTGACCGGAGGTGGGCTGTATGCGCGTACTTCACGCGCAAAGAAGGACGCAGCTGGATCCTCTAACGAATACGGCGGCGGCGGTATCATATGCATGTGCGTGCTTTGGATGAGGGGCGATGATGTCGACGATGCCGTGGACTGGACCGGCGTGCCTGCCCTCGAAACGCTGCGAGAGTGCATGTTATACGTCGCGAGGCTAATGTCATCCGCATCGATATCCATGTCCACATCATGCTCCTCACAGTCAAGTTCACCCTCCTCCAGTTCGTCCACCTCCCCGTCAGGATTCGGCCCACGCCTAGCCCTTGCCCGCTTGCGCGCCGTCTGCCTCAGGTTTCTGAACCAGTTCGTCACCTTGCCGACGTCCATGCCGATCTCGAGTGCAAGAGCACCCCGCTCCTCAATGCTAGGCGTCGCGGTGCGACGGAAGAGTTTCTTGAGCGCCACGAGCTGATGCGGCTCAGGCCGAGTACGGCGGGGTCGTGCACCTCCATGAGAGCTTGCGTGGGAGCGATCAGATGCCGTACGGTAAGGCGAGGCGCGTGGAGACGCCGGACGAGAGTCAGAAAGATGGGAATGTGACTGTGCGTAGCTACGGCCTCGGCTTAGTGGCGCAGCACTGGATGAGCGACGAGCCCGAGGGACTGGCGCAGAGACGGACGCATGCTGACTCGGGAAAGCGAGCGAGGGGTGCCCGGTGGCGGGAGGTACTGTGGCGAGCGAGGGATGAGCAGCGCTCGCTGCCGGGGGGAACGGCGAGAACATGCGCGACTTCGATGATGAGCCTGGGTGAGCATGGGCGGCAGCGACGGCGGCGGCGTGGGCGTCCTCCTCCTCTTTGCGCTTTTTTGCAATGCTGCGTTGATTCTGGAACCAGTTGGTGACGGACTGATATCGCCTGAAAAGGAAGGTATCGGTCAGGACCCCGTTACCAGGTTTACAATTGAAATGATCTGATGGGGAAAAACAAGGAATAGGCGCCCATTATGATGAATGCATCGAAGCGGGGAGAATCAAGGAATTATCAACCGACGTCGCACTCACATGTCAATTCGTCGCCCCAGTGCTTCCCGCTCTTCTTTCGACGGATGCGGGTTCATTTCGTACAGCTTTTTGAGCGCCTCTGTCTGCATCGCCGTCGGTCGTGAACGGCCCTTGCGCGGCTGATTTTGTTCTTGTTCAGCCTCGAACAGATGCCGATGTTGTGCGTTCCCTGCATAAAATAGCGACTGCCGTTGCGTGTGTGACAGATGCACAAGGTGCTCCTCGTCAGAATAGTCGTCAAAGTCATGCGACGCCATATGCGGGGGGACAAGCCCTGGTGGTGCTGCTACAGAGGCAATAAGGGCAGATATAGGAGGCAGCTCCACAGAGCTGCTGCTGCTCTTCGTCCTTGTGCTTAAATCAGAGCCTGCGCTGTTGTTGGTACCTGGCGCTGTCGAAGAGCCCTTGTGCCGTTTCTTCGACGATGCTCGCTTGTTCTGGAACCAGGAATTGACGGTCTTGGTCTCCCTGAATCGGTCGTGAGTGATCGCCCCCGATGAGCAATGCAGCCTGTGCGGGAGGAAAGGCTCACATTCCAAGACGCTCTGCGAGGGAAGTGCGCTCCTCGAGCGAGGGATGCTCGTTTTTGTCGTAAAGCTCATTCAATGCGGCGAGCTGGAAGGCAGAATGGCGATGGCGAGGCTTCTTGGGCTGGTCAGTGCGCTCCTGCGATGGGGTGGCCATGGGGGGCTGTTGTTCGGCGTCAGATGCGGGGCCAGAGGCTGAAGAAGGAGAAGCAGGCGAGGGAGACCATGCAGTGAAGGGGGGAAGCATGGATGAAGTAGATGGGAGAAGGATGATGAAGAGGAGGCGTGACAGGCGCGGACTATAGGGGGTGGGCTGTCCGACCTTTAAAGAGAAAATTAAGCAGGTGGACAGCAGCTTGCCGGATGAGGAATTGTCCCACGGTATCATCATGCTAATCCCGGTGTCGGCCGTCCAATCCTCCCATCTGCCCGGAATAACTTCTCCATGGCCTGCCCACTCGCTTTCCGGCTCTCCTGCTCAACCAGCCCGGTACACCATCCATGTCCATTGGCTCTCCCACCTCCATACATCGCGGCCAGCACCGACCTTCGGGATGGAAAGGTAGAGCAGAATCATGGATCGGGCATGGCCATTTGCTGTGCCTGTGCGCTCATCCAGTCATTACACGTGCTGTATCAGTATTACTGTACACTTATGGGCGCCTCTTCATATTATTTTCTTCTGCTCTGTCCTCCTCTGTCCTATATCGTGGACCCACCATCTAGAACAATGTCTAGCGCTCTATGTCCGCACATCGAGCGAGCAGCGTCGGACATGCGGTCCTGGCAGTATTGCAGAAAGCTGTTCCGTTGTCCAACGAGAAAGTGCTGTAGCGTAAGCATAAGCGATCTGATGTGATCGCATGAATCCAGAATAGCATAACACATCTTCCTGACGTTATACACCCTACGTAGCAGTGCATTTTGAACGCATTTATTATACGTGTACTGCCGCAATGGAGCTGCATATCCCGCAGCGGAGCGCCTTCTTATCATGTATATGCACAGCTCGGAACTTGAGGCTAATCATCGCAAAGCTCTCCCACATCAAGCTGGAACGCTCCAACGATCCGAACCGCCGGATACAAGCGTCGTGCACAAAACATGTTCACAACACCCATCGTCGCCAAGCATAGCCGGTCTTCTTCCTCGGACCTCGGTCTTAGGCCCTTGCCCTGTCAATGCCTACCGAGTAAGAGCGATCTCAAGGTACGGTAGGAACTGTACATGGTAACAATAGTCCCGGAATGAAATATGCCCAAACTTTTCCTCCCAGCATGGCGCAGGCCGGCTGACGTGAGAACTGCTATGTTATGACAACCCCTCCTTCTTTTCTCCAATGTTCTTGATCCACGCCCCAATCGCGCCACTAACGGTGCCAGTCAGCCACATTTTATAGATGGTATAGTGTGATATCTGGATATCCACTCACAGGAAGCCCTCGTGTCGCAGAAATAGCGCGCGCTTCGTGCCCTTACTCCAAAACCTAATCGCATATGAGAGCGTGCTGATGGTCGCGGCATGCCCTGAACGTGATGAAGAACATTGATCAATCAGGATCCAGTGAATTTATAGCAGCAATATATTGTGAAGCTGACGCACCCCGGATATAGAATCCTCCAAAGTAGATACGGTCCAGATTGTACTTCTCCGCGTTCATGTACCTGTCCATTCCATCAGTCAAACGGCATGGATATTCGGAGAGCACGTGGAATGCCACACCAGAATAAGCAACTTACGCTATCTGTCCAATGTTATTTGACACCGCATACAGTAGACTTTTGCTGATGTCCTCTGGTGTGAATGTGCCCTTCTGGCCATCTCTCTTGAACACCTTGCCGAACGAACTTGCAATCATTGTTGACTTGAGTCCGAGCTTGCTGTAGTCGGAGCCGTAGATATCGCCAACGAGCATATCCACCTTTGAGTTGTCGCCCTTCTCTGAAAGCTCGAGGATTTCTGCACAATATGCATGAAGGGAAAGCTAGCTTGTGAGACGAGGGAAGCGCACCATCAAAAGTCGTAGCGGGTGTCAACAAGCTGAGTAGACCCCAGAGCGTCCCTCCCCCCAGACTCGTCCCGCTAACACGCTCATATGTCCCATCTTCATTCACCTTGATGATGGATACACCAGATCCAATGTTCACCAGTAGACATGGCAATTGAGGCGTCGGGTGTTCCACGAAAGAGACAGCATACTTGGGCGGATCCGGGCTGGGGCGTTCCAGCGGGACGCCCGCCGGCGGCGGATGCGATATCGCGTCGATCAGCTCATCCGAGAAGTAGTACACCTCGTCTGGGATGAGCGTGATGAACTTTAGCCCTTCGATCAAACACTCCATCTCGTCCTCCCTCCGCACCTCGACATGCAGCTCCTTCCCGAACATCTCATAGAACCTGTGCGCACCGCCGCCCGTCGCCATGATCTTCACGCTACGGCGCATCTCATCAATGGAGACGCCGTTCAGCGTTGCGCTGTGCTCGATGAGCCCCTCGATGAACTCGATGCAGTTGTCAATGTGCTCTGTCTCGAAGCGCTCAAAGTTGAGCTGCCCGCCGGGGAAATGCTGCACGGAGACACGCCGCAGGAGCGAGTCGCGCAAGAAGCTGTGGTTGAGTGAGGGCTGTTCGGCGGCTGAGATTGTTGCGTTCCCATTTTCGAGCACCGCGGGTGTCAGCGCACCATTGATTTTGCCGTTGTGTCCGTTGTGCTTCCCAGACAACGGCGATGAAGAGACAGGGGTCTCGCCTGGTGACGACGATGACGATGATAACGACGATACATCGCTTGAAGATCCCCTTGTCGCTGCTATTGATGGCGACTTTGGCGGCTCTGGCGAGCGAGTGAAGTAGACGACTTTGGCTAACGAGCCTCCAATCTGGAGGCAGACAATCAGCACGGCGAGTTCAATCGCTCGTCGGTTGCGGATCTTACGTCTACAGCGACATGAGACACTGGCTCGATGTAATTGGGCAGGTAGATCCCCCGGCTGTCGCGAGTCTGTGAGGGCGTCAATATATCGGCTCAGAAGCGTCGACGGGACCGCACACCTCAGGTGACTCTTCGTCCAGTATAAGTGCCCCCCGGGTATCGACGTGAATTGCCTTTGCAGTAGGAAGTGAGGGGCCCACAGTAGACATGGCGGAGAGCAAAGTGCGGAGCAAAGTCCACGACGAGATTGGCGTAATTGGTTAGCAGCACCGGCAGTCAAATGCAAATGAATGAACAGGCGAAACTGAGGAGCAATTCCGACGGAACGGCTAGTGCGGCGGAGGCGGGGAAGATCGTGCGGGGTAGCTTAAGCTGGCGGGTGTTGGGGCGGTCGTAAATCCGAAAGGGGCGATGGCCGCGGGGAGCGTCTTGTGCTCGTCGTACGATATAACTCTGATTTCAAGCATGAACCAAGACAATGCGCATGATCACGGTATGCAGCGGCGCTCAGGTATCTCCATCCTGTAGAGCGGCTGCCAAAAGAGTGGGCAAATAGCCGACCGCGCCCGACCACCTATTTCACACTGGACGCCATCGAGCTCCTCTTGTGAGAAGCCTCCTCGACAGCGTGTCTCGAGATGTCCTCCTAGCTCTCGTGTACAAATAGTCATATGAGAATTGTTGACGACAGTCCACGGGATACCATCCTCCTCTACCGCAAACAATATGAACAGCGCCAGCCTCGGCTTTAACCTCCAATCGCAGCAACCACCAGGTCGCACGCTTGCTGCTGCTCCGCGCGCACTCCCAGCTCCAGTGTCACGCCTTGCGCCTTGGAGTAAGTCATACGACACCGCACGAGCACCTTTCCTCCACCGCCTGCAACCAGGCCTGAAAGCTGCAATGTGTGCACATTCGAGTTTTGGGGTTCCTCGGTTCCGCCCAGCGGCTGCATATTGAGGATCTCGATGATGGAATCACAAGCAGCTGCGCAGTTTCGTGTGAGAGACGCTACTCGCGATCTGTAGGCAGGAACGCACCTTTGAGAGATTCCATGGCTGACAGTGAGAACGTCTCGGTTGCAGAGGCACCACTACGCATACGGTCCCACTCGGATGCAAATGTGACATAGCTGGGAACGATGTAGTCTCCCGCGGCAAGTTCGACCTCCTCTAGCTGGTACTCGTCCTCATAGCCCTCCTCCTCTGGCTCACCTGTCGAAGGATCGACTTCCTTGCTGACGAACTTGAGGATGCACTGGAAGGACGCGACGGCGTACACTTCTGGGTCATCGCGTGCGAAGGAAACGTATACGATGCCAGGCGAATTTGCTGTGGAGAGGCTGGGCAGGGGCATGATAAAGTCTTCTGTCAACACAGAGTCTCCCTGTGGCTGCATAACCACGGAGACCTGCTCCAAAACGGTATCTGCTATCGTATTCGACACGTTGAACTGTGGGAAACCGTTCAGCAACGTATGATTTGAACAGCCAAATACCAATGAACTGAATACCTGGAAGACGACATGTTCCCTGAATATGTGTTTGACGCATGACACTTGGTATTCCGTCTCAGTCTCCGTAAGTTGAGCCGGCTTCGTGCTGCTGCTGAGGACAGTGTCGTAGTTGGCGAACTCCGGTATCTCGGCCAGCTGTTGCGCGTAGGCAGATTGGGTATCCGCAGCTGTCGGAGGTGGAGGTGTCGCTGCCTTTGATGTGGACGGAACGCCGATCGTCTCCAAGCTGCCCGGACCTGTTACACGGATCAAACCCATGTTTTACGGCTGCATAGCAACGCATACTCACGAGCGGCATCCTTCGCAGCTTGTTCCCTGCTGATCTTAGGTATTGACGACGCGTCGAATGGTTTCTCCATTGCCTCAGGGTCGCTGATGTAGGAGACCAGCTTCGATTCGAGAGCAGATAGAGAATAGATGGACTCTGATAAACCATTATGAGCTAGAGCGAACAGAACATGCGGAGAACTGGGCCGACCTTCTTTGATGTACGTATCAGCGAGAGACGGCTCTTCGTATACCTCGAGGTACATCGCAGCTCGATCACGAACTTCGTCATCAACATCGTCCAAACAGCTGTCTTGACGCATAAGATAGCAATCCTAGCACATTTTCCAAGAACCCACCGCCGCAAGAGTACGTTCACGCTCTTGCTGAGCTTGTCGTCCAAGCCATTTAGACCAAACTTCGCCAGACTGGACACCGCCGCAGCGCGGACCGTCGCATTCTCGAGCACCACCCGGTTGTAGATATACCGGATGTACTTCGTCGGTTGAGGCGCCTTTGGACCCTCGACGCCAAGTAAGTGTAGAACCCGCACAGACAGCTTGGTAAATTCGCAGTCCTCGATGAACTCGCATAGGTACGACAGTGCCTGTTCCTTGCAATCGCCGATGAACTTGATCATATCAAAGATGGCCTCGACAACCGCGCGCTTGAAGTCATAACCGCCCTCGTCGCGCAGTACACCAGAGAGGAAGGACAACATGGACACATGCTTCGCTGGGAACTTCAAGCAGAGAGAGCGAATAGCCTCGACGATGATGACCTTGAACTCATCGCTGATCTCGCTCATGAATCCTGTGATCTGCTTCATGAGACGATCCACAGAAGCCTCGTTACCCGTCTGTGTCTCGTGTTAGAACATCGCAGCGACAGGGTATGTATATCGCCGACCTTCAACAAAGTGGTGATGGCGTATGTCGCTACACTTCGGTTAGAATCTGAAATCAGATTCTCCAAGTCCATATTGCAGGCGGCGACACTCGCAGGGTGCGTAAGGGCGAGCGCCGCAAGAGTACGAGTCGCAGCGAATTTCTGCGTCGACTTGGGTGATGTGAGGAACAGCTGGAGAACTGCACAAGCATTTCAGTGACAACCTCAGGATACACAGTTATGCGCTTTTGCGTACCGGCAACGGGTCTGGTCAGCTGAGATGCAGTGACACCCTTCATCTCGCAAATCGCGCGTGCAGCTTCGAGGTTCACCATATCGCTCTTATGCCGCAGCCAGCCCTCCAGAAGTTCGAACATCTGTCGTTGGACACTAGCCGGGCTGCGTCAGCGAATGCGACCTATTTCACGATAGCTGTACACACTTGGGATCCTCCTCCATGACCTTGGCGGCATAACGAATGAGCATACACAAGGCCATCGGGTTCCTCAAAGCAGTGGATGCTCCTCCCTTGGTGCCGCCCAGTTGTTGAATCATCTTGATTATAGCCATGCGGTCCTGCTGACGGATCAGATAGAGGAGACCAAGGGCATGATACTGCGTGATGCTGCTCGTTGATGTAACCGCCTGGTATCCATTACCGGATGGTGCGGCAGAGCCTCCCCAGCCCAAGTACGAGCCCGGCGAGCTGTTGCCAAAGAGTGACGAAGACGACTTGCCAGACGCAGCCTCCTGCGCCTCGTTCACCCATCGCTTGACCACGTCCTTGGCCGCCGGGAACAGATGGTATGCGGAGACCAATGCAGCAGAGGAGATGGACGGGTTCTTGTCAACAATCGCCGCCTTGAAGAACCGCTCCACGCCTTGCGCCATAGAAGGCTTGAACATTCATGGATGAGCTGCATACACGATCAAAGGCGCGCCGCTTACGTCGATAATATGGCATAATGCACGAATGGCATTCGGTCGGTAGATGACTTCCGAGTTTGGCTGCATGTCCTTCATGATACTGCTGGTGACCATGATGACATCCTCCGCAGTGTTAGCTAGCTCCTTGATCGCCAGATACACCATTTGCCGTAGTGCGCTCTGAACGCGGACACGCGGGGATCAGTGGGAACGAGTGTCTCAGACCAAACGGCGTGCTCACGTCCTTGTTTTGGAACAATCTCGTTGTTCCAAAGAATAGCGTCGTGGCTTCTTGTGTACCAAACGTCTCGCCGACATACAGCAGATACACGATGCGAGTGAGGAGCGCCCTGCACTTCCGAGGACTAATGGGAGTATCATTGAAGACACGAGCTTCCTGGATCACGGTAGTTTTGTTGTTGTAGTAGGTGCTGAGACCATTTTCCTCGTCCTTCTTCGAGGCAAGAGACATGACGATGGCAAAGGTGAACTACGCGCTTTGAGCTTGAGCGCGACGTGGTCGTTTGGAATTCATTGAACTCCTGGGACCATCATTACGTAAGCATGTACCATGATATTGATACGGGGCTGTACTTGATACTACTGCGCGTTCATGACAGCATCTCTCACCGTGTTTTGCTCCTCTTCATGCGGCTCTCATATGTGCAATCCCCCTGCATCGCACATCAATCCAACTAGGCCGGCGACATTGACGTCGCACAAATTTTGATGGGCGACAGTAACGCCAAAACATATTAAAGGAGTGGCACGGTCTGGATTACAAGAATTGGCAAGGAGACAAGCGCGAGGTTGTAAGGAGATACTGTATGTGCTAGTCCCGGATAGATTGCAAGAAGTCCGTACTGTCCGTGCTGCGCGATTACAAGGGTATACTCAATACCAAATGAAATCTTCTCAGGTCCAACAGAAAGTGGTCGTGAAGTGTCTGTCCTACATCGTCATATGCCCTATTGCGCCTAGAGTGCGGCGACCGCACCAGCAACAGCGCCGATAGCCATCACAGCCATGGAACCGTAGCTGAACTCGAGATGACCGGCACCGTTGAAGGTGCTGACAGTCGAGGATGGGGCGGAGGAGGTTCCTGAGGAGGCTCCAGAGGAGGCGGCGTTAGCAGCAGTGGAAGAGGCGCCAGAAGCGCCGCTGGAAGATGCTCCCGAGGCAGTCGAAGCGGCCGAACCCGATGAGGTCAACGACGCCGAGCTATGGCCACCAAGGTCAAGGATTATATTGACAGAGAAGAGGCTCACTGCACATACCTAGCGCCACTTGAACTAGCAGCCGACGTGGATGACGAAGCAGTGGTCGAGGGCGGAGCCGCGACGGAGAACTCGCCAGTCTCAGCGAAGACATCGTTAATGTTTCTTAATAATACCAGAAGTGAGTAAACGTAGAAGAACGGACAAGAATGGAGACCACTCACGACACATTGACGGCCTCCAAGTAGTAGCCGGACCTACGAATGCAATGTCTGTGGTCAGAGCCAAGCAACCCACATTGCACCACAACGCACCCAACGTCAACGGTTGGAAGGGTCAAGCTAAGGAATCCCAGAGAAGACTGGATGTTGGTCGCAATGGCGTACGAGTTGTGGAAAATGTCCGGGTTCGTCAACTCGAATGAGACGGAGCTCGGGTCTCCGGAAGCCGTAACCCAGCTAATGTTCACGACACCGTTGCTCTGCCATCCGTTCGGAGTCTCCAATACCAAAGCAGATGCCAGGGGGACGAGGGCGATGAGGGCGCTACGACGGACGTTGAGACCCGCTCTCCAAGATGAGGAGGTAACGAGGCAAACACGAACCTGAGCTTGAAGAGCATACTGAACGAAAGGCCGTAAGGTTACTTTTGACGACTTGAAGGCTTGACTACTGGGAGGGAGGGCGGGAAAGGGAGGCGAACGGGAGGACTTTGCACGCGGGGGAGGACGGCCGTTGTGTCAGGCTTTTGTAGCTGCCTACACATCTCCCACGGTTGCTGACCAGAACTTTCGATCTTCTGGCAGCCGCCAAGCAGACGGTTTCACCTCCCGCGCAATTTTAGCAAGCGATCGCCACCCGGAGCTCTTACGCCGCCTTAGCGGCAGAGGGCTCGACCGCCCAGCCCGCCTACGTAGGTTCTTCCCTTGCGCAGGGGTCAATGCTACGATACTCCTACGTTCGTCTACAGCTCTATCCAAGCACCTCCTGAGAATCGTAGCAGAGTTCTACAGTTATCTCTCGAGAACCCTGACGACCTCGGTATCTGTGTGATCACGAACACGCCAGCTGACAGGCTTCGAAGAGGCATCCGTGACATCCGCCATGCGCATGCTGACCTCCATCCGACGCCTAGTAAATCTGCAAGAGGAACGGTGCCGTCTAAGAATAGGCAAAGCGAAGATCGCGGCGTCTGCGTACCTCGTCGAATGGCCTCGTGTCATTGAAGCAGCTTTCCCAGACTTCATTGACGGCGCGCTCGGCGGTCGCGTCGTCCGGGCACGCTGCATTCGCGCGCACAGACAAAATGGCACGTCTGCGCACGCAAGCCTAAAAGCAACGCAAACCGTGTTCAGAGAGCTTATTGAATCCTTCCGCGGTGTTAGGGGCAACCGCACACACCTGATGTTGCTTCGAGAACGCTAAGAACCCACGGCGTAGCTCACGACCGAAACGGCAGTCACCGCTCAAGCTGTTGGCACGAATCTTTTCACAGCGGGGCGGGTCGGAAACAGTCAGGCGAACAGACGTGCGGTGAAGAGGTGTGAGAGCGGCAGCCCGCCTACCTCACTGCAAGCATGATGCCTCAAGTTGTTCCAGTCGACTTTGAATTTGGCGTGATCGTACATATGAACCAGCTCGTGTACAAGGGTGTCTTCCATGTGGCCCTTGTTGAAGAACCTACCCTGACAGAGAACGACGGCGCCTGCCTCGGGGCTGAAGCCTCCCGCTCGCGTGTAGTCGCATGGTGCGCAGACGATATCCTTCGACGATACGTCGCATCCCGAGAGCTTCAGGTGCTTCAGCATGAATATGACCGCTGGACCTAACGACCAGTGACACAGTAAACAACCGGAACGCATCACACACAATGTGATTAAGCACAATGCCCATTTCATAGCAGTCAGCACGACGGGACGACGGGTTGTGAGCGCGAGCTGACGACGCACTATAATTCATCAATTCTCTCTTCCACTTCTCACAGGTCTCGCTATGATAGCGTTCCAGATCCGCATTTCGCTGCTCAGGACTGACACCTAGGCCTGTAATTACAGAAAATGTGCGACGCCATCGCTGAAACGTAGAGTTGTCGCTGTCGGATAGGCCACTGCTGGACGTGTCGGAGTCAACGGAGTCAGGCATAGATGCGGAGGAGAGTCGGTTTTGGTCGACACGTGCACCGCGCCTAACCACGATCCAGATCTCTGATCGGGTCTGCGAGGGATCTCACTCCGATTTTTTGCTCTTGATTTTGTTCGGTTTTACACGACGCTGCGTATTGCGCAGTACAACTCGGGATCCACAGAGTACCACAACTCGCTTCTCTCATGCAAAACATTCAACGCTTTGGCATGCAACCCTCAAATCTGCCAGTCGGGCTCAGCCGATGCCAAGCCTCATAATCTCGCTGGATTTGTCCAGATTGGTCTCACCCTCTGCATAGACGTCAGCGAATGGCCGACGAGCCGATGACAGCAAGGACGAACCTCCGAGAACGCTCGTAATCCCTCCTGAGTCGATGCACACCCATCATTGCTCGTCTCAACACACCGGCAAAACGAAGTCAATGAATTTTCTCACCTGTATGTTCTTGCCGGTCTGCTGCCTTATGCTTTCTTGGGAGCGCACATGTGCTACGACAACGTCTTCGACGCTAGCGTGCAGATTCGCAAGAAGCAAAGCACGTTTTGTGCTCTGCACGGAATCAGGGGAATTGGAACAGATCTCTTCTGCCCAGGCTAGGGCTGTGGCTAGGACCTCGGACTTGGGCACGACCTTATTGACACTGAGAGAAATAGGGTTATTTCATTGTCTTGTACTGCACGGAGTGATAGGAGGACGTGACAAGACTCACAATCCGAAACGGGTGGCAGCATCCGACGCTGTGACATTCCTACCGAGGAGTAGCATCTCGCTAGCGAGCTTGATATCTGCGTTACTCCTGTGTTGCGATCTCATGGGCTAAAGGCGTACCTGATGACCAGCGATTCTCGCCAGCCTTGGCATACCTGCGTGCGTGTTTGAAGAGGCTCGACTTCACTGACAAATGCATTGCACGCACCACCTTGGATCGCGACCACGCCGCGCTTCACCTCAGGTAGAGCGAATGTAGCCTCCTCACTCGCGACCACGAGGTCACAGTTCAGTATGATTTCCACTCCGCCACCATAGGCACTGCCATTCACAGCAGCAATTATCGGTTTAGGAGAGCTGGTCCGGCGAGAGATGCCTGCGAATCCATGGACATCACTGATAATGGACTCTCCCTCATCTTGGGGTCCATCTTGCGTCCGTTGCTTCCAGCTTGCATAGTTATACGTGTTACGAACAGCACGCGTCGTTGCGGTGAATGCACCTACGCAATCAAATCCGCTCCTGCGCAGAATGCGCGTCCTTCCCCAGTTATGATGGCGACCCTGTCGTGCAGAGCGTGAAGACAATCGGTCTGAATGCTATTTCGGGAACACAGACCAGAGGCTCGGCTCATTATCGAACCAGTCGAAGACCCTTTCAATGTCCTCTTTCATTGTAGATGTCACAGCATTTAGAGCTTCGGGACGATTGAATGTCAGAAGCATAACGTGCTCCTTTGGAAATGCCACTCTGATCTGATCTGAATGGACAGGTGGACGAAGATGACTGACAGTAGCAGTGGGCTTTGCAGTCATCGTGAGTGATGTGTATGTCGACCGACAGCACGACGATCTGACTGGCAAAGCGGCGCTTATATGATGCCACCTGATCGCGATCATGCGCCCCGTGGGGAAACGCCCGCCCCGCGTTCACCAGTCCCAGCAGCCGCGCCGCCGACTCCAGCAGCTTGTAATTAACGTTCAGTTAGAGCATGTGTATAAGCTGTACCACGACCGTACTATCGAAGCCAGCATCGGATACTGCACCCACATCGACCAAATTCTTGCTCATGAGTCTGCCAGACAGAACTCCCACGTACGATCCTCCCCTCCATGACCTGTCGTCCCCTGCCCATGTGCTCTCTCGCCTTTCGTCATGCGATGACCATACCCCTTCCAGAGCTTCCGATGGAATACAAACGACCGAAGCTGTATGTATCGTGGACTTGGCTCCTCGTTACCTGAAGGCGGCGGAGGATTCTTCGCCAACTTCGGGACATCCCTGCGCTCGTGTCTCAGCCAGCGCATACATGCCACAACAAGCTAAGACTGACCATGCAGTGTATGGCAAAACGTCTCGAAGAGTGATGAGAACGGTTCCGCGTGTCTTGATAGACGTATTCCCTTGGTCACCATCAAGTGCGTCTTCTTCCGCATCGCTTGGCGCATCGTCGCCGTCATCATCTTCTGTTCGTTTGTGATTGCGTTTCTGGTTCACTGACGGAGTGGGACCTGCTGCCAGAAAGTGTGCAGTCGAACGAAGGAAACGCAACAGCAGAAGCTGATTCGACAGTATGTTTCTGTCCTGATCAGCTATACCCTTGCCTTCAGGGAGAGATCTACCAATTTCAGCCGCCTGACGAACGCCAGATGAAATACTGATACTCACCTGCGTGCGGGAAATTCCAGACAATCCGGTCCCATCTCCTGCCCTTTAGTGCTGCACACTTCTCCAGCTTAGTAGCATCAACGCCAAACAACACTTCCATGCCCCGTTCCCGCAAAACATTGACGATCCCTGCAGCGTCTGGGTATTTCCCGTAGCATTCGACTTCGGTGTCGTAGGCAGTGGCGGTCACATTCGCCCCGGGCAGATATTCCAGGTTCGCAGGTGGATCTGCCACGAGCGCGTGGGCAAAAGAGAAGTTTCCCTCTCCGATAAGTAATATCCGGTCCGTAGAGTGGAATGGAATGGTGGGACGTAGTGGTGTAGCTTTCGCCTTGCCTTTTGCTTTCGATTGCGTCGCTTTGTTGATAAGATCGGCTGCATGCGCAGCTTCTTGTTTCTTCTTCAGCCTGGTTTGCTGCGATGATAGAGCAGCCTTTAGCGACGTCTTTTTTCCGACCTTGTTCTTGGCCATTGCGAATGTCGAGTGTCCAGAGAAGGCTCTATCTGAACGCTTAGACGCTTGGTGTTTGTTGTGGCGTTGTGTACTACATACAACGCCACGTATATAGTCGATCGCGCCGAACGTGGCCGCACCCCCTATCCTCTGACGCCACAACCCTCTCACGCTGATCCTTACAAAAAACATCTCTAGTCGTTCTTTACATCTCTGATACTACGTTAGCAAGCAATATGGTTTGTGTGCCTCTCTCGTCGCCTTGGAAAATGCTGAAGAGCAGACGGCTGTTGACAGCCCACTGAATTTGAGTTGCGCAAGCGGAACGCACAGTTCGCGGACAAGGCTCGTGCTGGCAAGAAGCCCACCAAATCATCTCGTCAAGAGGTGCTTGCGAAGCGTAATCCTCTCGGGCTTTGGGCCCTGGGAGTTATCCTCTTCGTCGTTGTGGGAGGAGGTACGATTGGGGTCTCGTGCGTCGGAAATGCACACTAACATGTGTCTAGTCATTCTGGAGCTTCTTCGATTACTGTTCCTTTAAAGGGCTTTGCTTTCCGCTACAGGCTGTCCGAAGATCGTGGTTGGTTCCACTAGTTTCCTCCTGCCTACAACCGGTCCTGTATAGCTTGTATAAAAGGCAACATAATCGAGTGACACTACAGTCCTCAAACATCGTGTCGCAATACGCATTTAAAGGTGCTATGACAAACCATGAATATATTGTCTGAACTTCAGCTGTCAGTACCCTCTTTGCTGCCGCCAGATGGACCAGCACTGTTGCGCTTAGGTCCAGATGCATCCTCGGCGACACTCTCGACTCCTTCCATCGGTTCCTCGAGTTCTCTCTCGTCGATCTTCACGGCATCCCCTGCCCATACGTGCATGGTTGGCTGCCATACCATTACGATGTTGTCCTCAGATGTGCTTGCTGCAGTCCAAGCCTCTGCTTCTCCTGGTGCCCAACAGAAGTCGGTCGGTCGCGCGGTGTGGCCTGCCAGAGATCGTTAACGTTTAGCGTGCCTCGTGCCGAGTCGCTACGGGTCTGACTGCGCACCTCCGTGAACGAACAGAAGTTCTGGCGGTCCGTCTTCTTGGTCGTCTGGTGTTTGTTCCACTCCAATCTGCGATAGATCCCACACATTGATTCTCCTATCACTCGATGCTGAGGCAAATATTGTCGCGTTGTGAGGGGACCATGCTAGGTGCAGGACTTCATCTGTATGAGACTCAAATGTGTGGAGCCGTTTCGTGGGCGACCTCATGTCATGCAGAACGATCGTCTGCAGGTAGAATGCTACTGGATGAATGAACGCGAGATTAAACGGAAACATACATGATCTGCGCTGCCTGTAAGAAGCAGATACTCGACGGCCGGACTGAATGCGACAGCTAGAATTTCGCGATCGTGCGCCTGGACCTTAGTCGTTGGTTCTGATGATGCTCGTGTATCCCAGCTGTGTCAACATGAATGTCAGCTTCACCAAGGTGAGACGAAAGAGGACGGACATCATCAGCATCTTATCATCTCCTACACTGGCCAACACATTCTCATGTTTTGAATTCCAGTCTACGTCCTGTCATATGGTCACTACAGCCGCCTCAAGAAAAGATCGACACCGTGCTCACTCCCACAACCGATGTATGCCCTCTGAACACTGTAGTCGGCTCAATGGTGGTTTTAGCCTTGGTGTAAGAGTTGATGTCCCTTCAACAGAATGTTCATGTACACGAGAGATTCTGGACGAGTACTAGCCACGTACCAATGGCACACGGTCATATCTTCCGAGGCACCGAGGATATGCCCAGACTTCACTGGGTTCCAAGCTAACCCAAATCTGCGCGATTCAATTAGGTGAATCCTTAGCCATTAGGGGAATCCCATTTCGAGTACCCTTCTTTATTTTGGCCCACTAATCGTATGTCTGGCTTGCACACGCCGCCTCGCTCCGGCTCGCTTGAATGTTTTGTACGGTCGAACACCAGAACCTCACCAGACACAGCTTTGGTGGCAATCAAATCAGGATTCTGTGGCATATACCGTGCGCGATTGACTTCTCCCTCGTGATTGATTTTCTGGATGATCTGGATGCGCGGCTGTGGTGGTATAGAGTGGCCGCCGAGCTCGCCCCGCTCGTCATCGTAGTCTGCGCGGTCCAGCCTGTCCGCGGAAGGGCTCTCATCGCGCTTTGGAAGTTGAACGGTCGCTATCTGCAAGTAATCCTGGGCCTGACCTGACGTGTGGGTACCTAAGAGTAGCCGATGGGTCGTATAAGGCTTGTTGGGCGGTCTGCGCAAGCTATATCTTAGTGAGTGGCGCGACGGGGAAGTTTCCATAAACGTACGACTCCTTGTCGGGAAACCACTGGCAGGTCAAGCTCGGCCAATCTAACGCGTGCGTAATGACGACGTCGTACAGATATGGGGCATTCTTCTTCCTGAATGAGACAGGACGCTCAGCTTGTTCATTCAGGAAATACTCAGTGTGTCTCACCATGTCTTGTATTCCTGCGGATGTTGCCGTGAAGTCGGCCAATATCAATCGTGGACGGTAGTAGGGTACGCGGAATCGTATTCACCTCGTTGATCAGCTTGTTTTCCTCCTCAGCGGCAAGATCGTCCTCCACTTCTTCTTGTGATGGTTTCATTGTCTATGCCCGATTTAAAGTTTTTCGCTACGCCAGACGATAGCTTGCCAGGTCAGACCAAGAGGGGGGCTGAGCACGAAGTTGTCGGAGAGTGGCAAGCCCGGTTGCTTCTTCCGTTCAAGCCTGGGCGCGACGCGTTATAACAGTGTGACGGAACGCGTCTACCGAATGCTGTCACGCCTCTCGGTCACGCATTCAGGTGGCAGTATGTAGTCCAATGAGATCAAGGCCACCGCTGCAGCTATTGTTCCACTACCTAGCACAATGGAGAAGCGCGGACGACATGAGGAGGTTGGACCAGCGTACAATGCTGCACTACCCACGCCTGTACATGCACAAGGCAACGCGTTCTAATGCGACAGGATTCAATAGGGAATGGGGTATGCCTCGAACGTTATGATAACTCGGTTTCCCACTTAGCAAACAACTTCTCGAGGTCAAATCTAGGGTCCTCTGGATCCGTGACAACTGATGAAAAATTATCGGTTAGCGAACCAATATTCAATAACGGAGTAGGACATGGATGTAGGTTGGGGATAATGACAAAGAGTGCAGCATTTGAAACTCACCACTACCCTTTGGGCCCTCCTGCTTCTTCTTCCACGCCTCTCTCGCTTGCGCTATTAGCTGTTCGCGCTCATGGATAGCGTGATGCAGTTTTTCCTCATCGTGTGCCTTTTGAAGTGTTCGGCGGTGTACAATCCCATACAACACGCCCGCCACAAGTGCGGAGTACCGGACAACCTGCAATAACACCGCACATCAACTGCGGAAACGCGATATCGGCGAGGCAGATGTAGACGTACATTGACCGTTGTAGATGCCATTGGACTGCCAGCCTAATCCGAACCCCCGTGACAATAATCTGGCAGTGCGAGCGGGGTTGACTACCTGATGAGTTGGTGGAAATCGCACGTTCAAAGCTCTTCACGCATAACGGAGATTAAACGATTCCAGACGTACCAGTGAGCAATAGCAGTATGAGCGCACAATACCGAAGTTGTGCCTCCGCTATGCTGGGACTTGCGGGAATTTCAGGAAGGTGATTACGTGATATCGGCACGTGCCGTTGTCTGGCCACTTGTGACACCGGATTTAGTGAGCCTTGACTTGACGTTCACCTTCCACCAACGTACAAGCTTGTGTAACCTCCTAAACATCGAAAATATTGCATCCTCACGACTCTCTGGCAGTCATATTGCCACTGTTATCTGGGAGGGCGATCTCTTACTGGAGCTTACCCGGCTGCAGGCAGATTCTGCCTCTCTCGCACCGAATGGCCAGCAGACTGTCGATGCATATGGGCTTTGGACGATAATGGAATACCCTCAAATGATGGGTTATAAAACGATGTATTGAAGGCCACGGCGAAGGCTTAGTATGTCCAGCTATCCGGTGATTTAAGGAATTCATTTGGACATCTGTAGTGAGCTCTCGAGCGATAGTAAGCCTTCTATTGTGCGCTTTCCCCGCGACACATACGCATGTGGGAGGGCGTAAGTACGCTGTAGCGAGCACTCTGAGCCTGTGCCGTCTGGAACGGATGGGGTGAGCGACTATATTGATGACACAGACGCATATATATATATATATGTGTATACCATTCTTCGGACTTTGCAGCTGTGTGGTGGCGACACACGGAAGACGCTTCTAGTCGTATCCATATGTAAGAGTGTACTATTTTGTAGTCTCCGACCTCCAGTGGCCGGAGGTGCGGATAAATGTAGTAGAAGGCTACTTTGAACTCCCGCGATATCGGACCTCAGATTGCCAGAATATGTCAGGTAGATTGCTCAATCAAGTAAGTTTTGTTTAGTAGAGCTTATACGTACGAGGTGGCACAACATGCAGCGTCGCCCCTCAAGTTCTTGAAGACTTGTCGCCTGCCTTTCTCTGAGCCTGCGCTGCGACTTTCTGGCACATGAGCGGCTCGTCGCACCGGAAAGCTGGCTATGCTGATGCACAGGACATGTTTCGCGTCTCTCCTTGGATAAGCTACGATCCATCACCCGACATCCGCAACGACGCTCTAGCGCGCAGTAACATTCACTTCTATAACATGAGCGAGGACGTCGACATGGATGCACCTCAGATCTCTACACTGCCAGAGGAGGAGACCCCCGAGCCGCAACCAGCCCGCACGTCCAAATTCCGGGTGAAGCTCCTTGTCAACGAGGGAAAGCGGTCTGGATCATTAGGAAGCTCATCCTCGCGCAAACCAGCGCAGGGGGCCAGTGATGAAGAAGACGAGGAGGAAGACGAGGAGGAAGACCAGCTCATTGATGACGATGACGATGGCGAGATGAAGCTTCCGGCTGCCCCGATCGCTGCGCCCTCTACTAGCACCTCATCCAGCAAACGTGGTTCAGGGAGAGGCAGAGGAGGTCGTCGAAGAGGTGGAAAGACAGGTACGCCGTAGCTTTCTGTCCATTCCCTTTTAATAAAACCCGCGCTGACCCACTTTGCGTCCTCAGAGCCTGCGTTTTCGACAATAAGTCATGAACTGCAAGGTGGACCGGTTGATATCCCTCTCTCTGGCGCTAGCACCCCTCTGGCCGCTTCATCTGGTAGAAAGAAGGCAGGTGCTGGCAGGGGTGGCACAATTCAGCGGGCAATCAGGAAGAAGCCATCCCACTCAGCGTCGAAGCCTCCCAGAACGATTCCATCTATCCATAGAGATGAGGTGGAAAGTATACTGAGCGAAAGTTAGTATTTGCATCTGTTCACAGTCGTTTGCTTAATCAGATGTCCATCAGCATATCCTGGCACTGCAGCTTCATCCCCCCTCATGCGTGACGACCGGACGCCTGAGTCCGAATTGCCCATTCCACCAGCGATGCCAACTATGGTTTTGGACGACGGTGCTCTTGAAGGCGTGCCTCTTCCCGTCTACCCCCTACCTTCCAAACCATTCCCGGTTCAGCCACCCCCGAAGATTGGAACTGGGTTCGCGCCCGTCATGCCTCTCGACAAGAGTGGTAAATCAGTACGACGCTGGCGGCAGGTAAACCGCGAGATCCGAGGAATCGCGGGTGGCCGATGGTTTGCGCGTACCTGGGCTGGCGAGAAGGAGTCAGAGTATGCCTCCGCTGCCGCCACCCAAGCAGCGACACACGCCGCGCAGGTAGCTGCTGACCGTGAGGCCGCATCTGCTGCTGCTATGGTTGCTGCTGGCATCACACTGCCCCCGAAACTCGCTGGTGCTTCTCTTGGAGCAACTTCGTTCGGAAAATCCACGAAGGCAAAGATGACGAAGTCAGTCTACTCTTCTACTCCTCCTTTTTTTGTACATCCTGATTAATATACTCCCAGCAGCATCTCTTCCCACACAACGAAGAAACGCAATAATGTTCAAGTTGCTAACACCTCTGGTGAGGTGCCGATCGTGGTATCCGCACTTCCGTAATCATGGATCTTATGTTGCATATCGTACCTTAGGTTTTTTATAGTCTTTTAGAATCATTTTCCTGTGTCTCGTCAGGATCGTTGCTGTGATATTTTCCTTGAGCTACGCGTTGCAATCGAATTCCTCATAAGTTGGTGCCACACTTAGTATCACGTGCGCCGCGGCTCCACTGGTCCACTGGTACACGCTACAGCGCTAGGCAGTCCAGTTCGACGCGTTCTACAGATCGGCTTGCACTACACACTACATAGCACTCTTGCTCGGTGGCCCTGGACTCCTGCACAACAGGTGTCGTTGAGCGCACAACAAGCCGGGACAGATTCTCCTATGTCAACAAGTAATTCGCCCCAGATTGTTGCCCCTGAACCTGCGAAGAGAGATCTGCCATGGTCATCATTACGAGGGAGTGAGCGTGGTCAGTATGAGCACTACATCTATCCGGTGCGGGACTCAGTAGCAAAATGCTCAGTGTCAACTCCACCGGCATACAAATCTGATCCGAAATACAAGAAATACACGCAACAGGTTGAGAAATGCCTAAATTCCTTCGATAGTGTGCATGAATGGGCAGACTTCATATCGTTCCTCAAGCAACTGCTCAAGGTTAGTCTGACCTCCTAGGCCTGACCACTACTTAGTTAGTTTGTGTGTAGACGTTTCAAGCCTATGAGCAGTTCAAAGAGATACCCCGCAAGCTCGTAGTCGCAAAACGTCTTTCACAATGCCTGAACCCTGCGTTGCCTACCGGCGTCCACCAGCGCGCGCTGGACGTGTACTCGCATATTCTCGCCGTCCTAGGAGTATGTCGTATCGGAGAATTATAATGCTCGTGTAGTGCTCACTTCTCCTCTCATCAGACAGAGGGTCTGCACCGCGATCTGGCGCTTTGGTCTTCTGGGCTGTTCCCATTCTTTGAATATGCAGCCACCTCGGTGAAAGTGAGTGCACAACCGCCGAGCAGTCCGACCTTGCTGACAACCCGATAGCCGACGTTATTGAACATCTTCGATACGTACTACTTGCCTTTACAAAGCGGTCTGCGTCCGATCATGAAATCCTTCATACTTGCCTTGCTGCCGGGATTGGAAGAGGAGACTGGAGAATACTTCGAGAAGGTGTTGAGTCTGCTGGATCGCATATCTGGGACAGTCTCCCAGTCGTACTTCTTTCAAAACATCTGGCTGATCATGCTGACCATGCCATCCGCTCGAGGCACCTCGCTGAATTTCCTTTCCAGAAGGCTTCCGACCTTGAAGGCTGATGAAGGTATGTTGTCTTCGTTCGCGTGCGGAATACCAGAATTTTGACTCATTCAGATGGGGAATAGATATCAGTTTCATTGTGGGCCGCGATATTGGTCTGATGATTCGCGCCTTCTCCACCGCATTGGAAGACGATGACCTTCTTGTTCGAAGAGGTGCTCTCGATCTGTTGCTTCAGTCGCTCCGCATCGACGGCGTCGCATTCAGACGTGCCCAGCATGAAGATCGTACGATTCTCATGCATGCAGCAAGTAGCGTAGTACTCAGGAGAGATCTCTCGTTGAACCGGAGGTTGTATTCCTGGCTACTCGGACCTCATGAAGATAGCCAGCGTCAAATCGAATACTTCAAAGCGCATGCTCTCGATTTACTGCGATCCACCCTCAGGGTATGATTTTGCACCTAAAACGCTCGATGTATTATCTCATCACTCTCTCGGTAGGATGAGATGTTCAGTCCTTTGGCGGATTACTCGCCATCTCGGCCATATAAAATCTTTGTTTCCCTCCTGGACAAATGGGAGATTGGCTTCCCACTGACAGAGGTTCTTGTCTATGATGCCTTCAAGGCATTGAAAGCCACCATTGAAGCAGGTTCTGATTCCGGTGACGACGTAAGGCCAATAAGCGACCAGGCTGTCCCTTTCTCACAATGCTTGCCTTTAGCTGAGCATTACTGCAAGTACAGTATATGAAGCGGTCGAGCCCCAGCTTCTATGGAAGCAAATGTTCACCGCCATCTACAACGAGGTCGCATTAGAAAAGTCTCGAACCGAGGTGCGTCTGCGTTCATGATGAAGTGGAAATCTAAAAGATCTCCGCAATAATCCTGTAGGCTTGCGATATGGTGCAATATCTCCTAGTGAATGTCCACACACAGGATGAGGAAATTGAAACGATCCATTTGCCTATCATATTTGCCGCTATTGCAGAGATGCTAATGGTATGTTCATCATGTGGTGCTGTCTCCAACATAATGGTGCTACCATTCCGTATCCAGGACCATATTGATCGGCTACAGGGGACATCCATCCTACGAATCCTGTCCTTACAGCAAGAGGTCCTTGGGCGCATCTCTCCAGCGGTGGATTTCCTATCTCTCCCGAAGCTATCGAATGATTTACAATCAGCGATAAGCGAGGGCCCTTCTTCCTTCGCTTGCGCATTCTATGGCATACAGAGCTATGCGCGCCCTCGCGCGAGAAGTTCATCCAATGTTCCGCTGGCGACAATTATCGAAGATCTTACACTGCTTAGCATAACCGGCGCGACGTCTCTGCTATCGACTCCGAGCGATCTGGGACAGGCCCGAGGGATTCTCATCCGGTCCCTATTACTCTTGGATCTTTTTACTTTGAGGGTCGATAGCGCTAGGTCGACGCCCCTTGTCGTCTCATGGGATCCCGCTCAATGGTTGTCGGTCTTCTTACGGTGTTCAGATACGGAGGTGAGCGATGCTCGCATTGTCTACCTGAAATTGATCGATGTTGATCAGAATGAGATCAGAGGGTAACGTTCAACATCGTGGATCGTATCATCAGTACGTCGGTCAGGTTGCATGGCTCTAATGCGTTTCAACCGAAGCTCTCGATCGGGGAGTGGTCGACCATCTCAACATTGGTTACCTCTGTAAGTGCAAGCGGATACAATCAAAGCGCTGCTGATGGTAACGAATGAACAGCTTCTGCGATATTTACGCTTACCCTGGGCAGCCCATCATAGCCGTGCTGTCTCCCTGGTGTGGTCGCTGGATGCAATCGGTCACAGACGGCACGTCGAATCCGCAATCTCTCGACGAATGTCCTCCCGAGATCCTACTGAGGTTGAGATTTCATGCGAAATTTTTGGCACCCTCTGGAGATTGACAGGTAGTCAGTTATCCTAAACGTGAGGTTAGATGCTCATCTGCCATATGCAGACGATGATATTGTGCCAGGGTCCAGGTTGAAAGTACCGATGATGATTGTCCTGGACACCTTGAAGAGCGGGGATCCTACGTTTCGCCGGATCGGAGAGACGTGGATGCGCTGTAGCCTGAAGTCGTACTTGCGGTGAGTATGTAAGCTGCTGTTGGCACTGCATCTGACATGCTCTAGGGTACTGGATCCACTCCTATTTGACTTATCAGATCCTTCGATCCGCCGTACGAATGCTACGACAGATCTTAACAGCAAGATATTAGAGGGATTTTACTACGAACGTCCGTTCGACCAGCGTTACATCAATCACGCACTGGAGACGTTGCTCTCTGTCATCAAATTTGGCGGTCAAGGATTCACCAGGATTGCTCGTACTACACCGATCGTCCGTTCTCTCTATCCCGACCTGCTTCAGCGATTACAATCTGGTAAGAGGAGAATTCGCCAGATTTGCGTATGGGTTGACTCATTGTCCCAAGCTGGTGTCAGCTTTGCCGAGGCGACGTATATGGAGGTCTTATTGTATCTGCTGCTCCGGTGAGGTTGTTTCCCATCTCACTCGGTAATGTGACTGAACAACGCTCCTTAGGTTCCTGCAGTCTGAGCCTCGGCCCGCGCTTGCGCTTACGATGTCCCCGCTCAATGTCTCCTCACAAGCCAACTCGATCGAATTGCTTCAGGCCCTGGTCTCCCGCGGGGAGATCGAGTTCCCTCTCTTGCAGACTATTGAGGCTGCCATTGTCAAGAAGTTGTATATATGCGTGCATACAGGGCGTTTGGACCTGCAAAACAAGTTGCTGCACCTCTTACATTCCATCATCTCAGCGTCCACCTCTGGCGCATCCATGCATCCGGGAAGGGGATCCCTCCTACTCCCTGGTGGAGCTGTGGACGGAGTTCCGTCGACGGGCCCACCGGACGCGGACGCAGAAACGTATGCGGTCAATCCTTTACTAATCCAGACATTGTTGGACGGTATTTCCCGACCGACCAACCGTCCCATTTTACAACACTGGCTTGACTTCATCCTTATGACAATACCGCAATTTCAAGACCTCCTGCACTCGTGTGTCGATCCTGTCTGCGATGGAATATGCAGACAGCTATGGTTTGCTCTGAATGACCTTCGCAAGATCTCAATCAAAGGCGAAGCAGATGATGACGTCGAGACCACGACAACCGACGCTGACTTCATAATGCTTCTCACTGCTCTGGAACGTCTAGTGCTCCTCAGTTTTTCTCAGGTCCCAGAGACTCATCAAACGGATGAAGAATATTCCGCACCAGGCCAGGAATCCAGTGGTCTCCTCGGTTATGTTTCGAACGTTTTCAGCTCGGAAGCTCCAGGAGTGACCGAAGAGCCATTGGCGGTTCGTGCGAGCGAAAATGTATATGCCTTTGAGTTGACGATGTGTTTAATCAGTCTTCCGACTATCATGCCTTGCATGAAGCTGTTCGCGTGCTATATGCTTTGTGGGACAATCTGGCAGCATCGACTTCACGATTGTTTGATATATCCATATATTCTAAGGCCAGGAATAGGAGTCGCAAGGTCCTTGAACATCTTTTCCGCGCACATTCGACCATGGTCCTCGAGTCTATCATTGACTGTTGGCAAAGGGAACCAGTACGTCCCCATGCACTAGATCTGCTGGTCGCATTGACTATAAATGCGAAAATGACTTCAGGGAACGATTGGAATATTCGAGATCGTGGACATCCTCGCATCCAGCTCGCAGAACGTCGTACACATGTTGTGCGAAAGCATATCCTCACGTAATCCCAACGTCGCGGATAAATCAAGGAAGTCATCCGTGCTTGCTAATTTGTACGACAACGGTCAGTGTTGTTTCAGTGGTTATTGACACCTATGTACCTCCAGATCCGATTTGACAATTCTCGATTTCCTGGAACATTACACCGAACGTCTTGAGGGTCCATTGGCACTGCAAGTCTGGGCTCGCTTTCTGCAGTTGATTAAGGAGACCGTGGCCACGTTACGCGAGTTTAAGGTGCAAGCATATCCGATGTTGAGGTGAGCTCGTTGTGATCTATCGTGGATTTCGTTTTGATACTTTAGGCTCCTTAGATGTTTCACAGTCTTGGCCGACAAAGTCTGCCAGACTACGGCAGTAGAGGATCGTCGCATACGCAAGGAGCTGCAGGTGATATATGGTGCGTTACAACGTGCTTGGGGCTTGCTGACGTGAGAATAGGACAACTACAGCAAATTGTTAGATCTCTGCGTCCTCGCTGGGCGTCCCTACGATCAAGGCTCCTGGATCCGTCGTACGCCGCGCGACACTCTGACTGTGAACGGCGGAACCTCATCTCTTCCTCGTGGTATGTGGTATGTAGCTGAGAGCAGTCTGATGCGTAATATCTCGACAGTAGCATCGGACGGCAAGTTGGACGAGAAGATCAATGCAAGCTCGACGTCGCTCCCCGAGTCCATCAGACCAGCGTATGGATCGGAACTTATCGAACAGGTGATTCTCGTGTCATGGCCCTTAGATTCTTGCTCATACCATAAAGATCAACCTATACATCGCGTCTAGCGTGCTACCCAATCTGCGAAGGTTCTTCCCGGAAGCTGACAAGGTCCTTGCGGCATGCAATAGCATCGTCTACAACGTGATTACGCCGTCGTTGAAGGGAAAGGCAAGGTAAGACATTGTTCACCGGTCCAGTGATGATCGCTCATTTCAGAATGCAAGGCCACTAGACATTGACAGCAGTGTGGTGTCATTGTTTCAAGAGTTGACCAAGATCGGATCCGCTCTGAAAGCATGGCGGGGACCAGTGACTGAGGCGCTCTATGACAACCGTTGCTTCAACTCGACTCCTGATGCCGGTGCCAATTGGAGAGTCATGATCAAGTCTTTCTTCGACACGGACAAGACAGCTCTGACGGAGCTGCTAGGTGAGCTACATATCACCGAATGGTTCATGCATGCATAGTGATCACTCTCAGGCAAGATCACCACCGCGCCGTCCGCAAACATATTCACGAACCGGGAATATGAGATGTTGTTGCGTTCTCTCAACCTCCGCAGGCTCTCCTACGTGCTGCTATCTGGAGAGAAGAATCACTTCTTGGTGCACCTGCCAATCATACAGGAGAAGCTGGTTGACACATTGCGCAACGTCATCGCACCAGTAGTGCAGAGCGAGGTCTACTTATGCGTGCGGGTGCTGTTGTGCCGTCTTTCACCTCACAATCTCTCGAGCTTTTGGCCTGTCATATTGACGGAAATGGTACGATGTGCACTCGTAGTGATATCGTTCAGTGAGCTGACGCCCTCTGTTGTCGATAGTATCGGCTGTTCGAGCAAGCCTTGATAAGCCTGCCATCTGATGGCTCAGAAGAGCTGGGGCTGATACTGGCCGCGTGCAAGCTGTTGGATTTGCTCTTGGTCCTTCAGACAGAAGAGTTTCAGACGTACGCTATCATGAGCATTCTGATCAGGTGTGCCGCTGACAGGCTACGGCTTCTTAGACATCAGTGGATCTTTATTACGGATACCGTTGATGCGATCTACCGCCCAGACGACTGGTTCCCAGAGGCCATGTTGGATCGGATGGCGGAAGTCACCAATAAGCTACCCTTGGACGAGGTGCGTCTCAAATATCTTGAACCTGTAGTTATCGTCTAAGCGTGAAACATAGAATGATGCGCAATGCGTCTTGGGAACGGCCCCAACGCCGACCGTGGATACCAAATCCATGCGACGACCCATGCTGCGGTCACTCAGGCAGATCGACAGCATCCGAGACCTGGGACCGTTTTTCTCTAGCGCGAGCATCGCATCGTACGAGAGTGTCTACAACAGCGGTGGGAACATTGACTGGGAGGCGGTGGAGCGAGGACTGTTGGAGGACATGTTTGACGGGAGATGATATGCCCTTTGAGCTAGGGCCGCATTGGACTGTAGGAAGCCTGTGCAGGATTTAGTATACTTCTCCGTGTAATGAATCTTTTGAGTTCCGATCAGATGAGTGCCGATGCGACGCATCGGAGCGCAGGCGCATATCCACTGGCAACGCTGATAGGGCGTTGCGCCCAAAGGTTTGTAGTAATAGCACATGTCCAATGCCCAGCACATACGACCAAAATGCCTTGACATAAACACTCATACATTACATTCATAAGCCAACCGGCCCCGAACGAAAGATTAGAAATCGCCCCAGGTGCGGCGGAACTTGTACTGCATTCCGTCCTGCGCGTCAGCATGCGTATCATCATCGAGAGCTGGGTAAAGGGGTACGGTACCTTGTACGGCAAGTTCTTTCTGCGCACGTAGGATGGATGAGTTAACACCGGCCCGGACACGTAAGAACCAAGAAACAATGACACGCACTTGAGCCGATCTGATGGCGACTTGGGAGGCTTGTACCCCGCCTCGCCCTCACCCCACTGGCCGTCTGCCTTTGCGCTTGCGTAGCGTTTCACCGGGTCGTCCTCCTCGGGCTTGGTACGCTGCACGCGCGGGACCGTCCGTGCGTTGGCGCGCGCCTCGCGCTCCGGCTCATCGGGCTCGTCGTGCTGCGCGAGGGCCTCCTCGACGGTGATGCCTTGGAAGCGCGCCTCGCGTTCTGCTTCTTGGCGCTCGATATTCTCGTGCTGCGCGAAGTGCTCGATGTCCTCGGGGTGTGTGTAGGACTCGTCGGTTTGGGTTTCTGGGGTGGAGTGGAATTGCTCTGTGGGATGGTGCAGGGTTAGCTGGTGGGGAGACTGGAGGCTGGCGCGAGAATTGCGCACCTTCGTGGTGAAGGAAGAACTCTGATGGCCATGAACAGAAGTGAAGATTTATGAACGTGAGGTCTGCAGCTCATAATGGGATGGACGGACCGCTCTCCACATCGTAATGGTGTCCCTCCGCACCGAGATCGTCAAAATTCGGAAGCCCGTCGAAACCAACAGCGACGAACTCTTCCATCGTGATCTTTCCATCCTTATCCTTGTCGAGCTTGGCAAGTACGGTGTTCACGATGTGGTCTGCCTTTTCTTGGTGCTGGATCTCATCCTGCAGAAATGTCCCTCAGCTGGCCGTGGAGCAGCATCAAGAAACGTTCGCACTTTTGACTTCTTCTGCGAGTAGACATGATGCACGCCGTATATCGCTTCTATCTCCTCCCGATCCCAGACACCGTCGCTGGACCTTGCATTAAGTTAGGCAACCATGAAACGTTTATGCGAACGTACCGGTTCAGATCATGCAACTGGAAGAAACTTGGTGTGTCAAAGGAGTCACTGAAGCATATCTCGAGTCAGACTAGGCGTCGCGTGCAAAGCCGAAAGCCTCACATATGGTGCTCAGAGGCCATCTGCGAATTAACAGTAAGCACGAGATAATCGACGTGGTGATGGTAGGAATCACGTACGTGTTTCTGGGCATACTGCTGAACAGTCTCTCCAGCTTCAGGTCCATCGTTTCCGTGCGCCGCGGTGAGGTGTGTGAAGGCAAAGAATGCGAGACTCGGCAGGAGGTGCATGATGGATGGCGGACGTTAATGAGCAATGGGCGTGACAAACTCGGTTGTCACGAGGGCGGTGTCCAGGGGCCTTGGGCGGACACGACCACGTGGCGCGAGCATACATCGATCGCGTTCAACACTCCTTGGCGGGGGTGGCGTTATTCACAGCTGCTTATTCGACCACGACTCATTGGCACCCTATGTTTGCCACTCGAGCAGATACGGTTTCGAAAGTCACACGCTGCATCTGGCTTGTAGAATCATCCGTACTAGCGCAGGAGCCGTTAGCGAGCGACGGCCGGTCGCGTCGTGTCTGTGACTCGGATTATATGTGGAGCACTTACGCTATCTGTATCATGTCGACATCCTTCTGCTGGCTGCACTGTTCCGCACGAACTCCTTGATCAGCCAATCGTTGATCAAACATCGAAGCAAACGTTATAGCGCTGATGTCAAAGAACACTGCTTGGGTAATCCATCCGGGCCCGGTCTATCGGATATTTTGATGACTCTCGTTGAATGCATATCCCCACACCTATATAACCGGCTTCACACAGGTCATGCCGTTTCCGCTCAAAGGCGACGTGAGGTATCCATCCCTCTGATCCCGTATCCCCCATGAGCAAGACACCAGGCGACGACGAAACGCTGGCGGGCGCTGAGCCACAGGCCCACCATGTGGATATCGTCCAGGCTGAGGCTGCCTTCATCGAGCTGTCCAGAACACTTTCAAGGCGTTCGCGTGCGACGCAGTTGAACGATGAAAGGGAAGAGAAGGGATATGAGCAAGACATCGAGAAAGCAAGAGAAGCTGACTTGGAAGAAACATTCGACCTGCGCGAATACCTCAGCAGCACCAATGATGCCATGCAGAGTGCTGGCATCAAGCACAAGCACGTCGGTGTCACTTGGGAAAGCCTTCGAGTGGAGGTGCTTGGAGGAACAGGCCACAAGGTATAACCAGTTGCTTCATCGTGACTTTTCATCACGGCTCATAGATTTCTACTTTAGCTATACGTCCGAACATTTGGCCGTAGGTAGCAGCAAAACTATATGTCGTGCCGGTGCTGATATTCCACGCAGAGGATGCCCTGAATTTTTGGCTCACTCCATTCTTACTGCTCCAGCCACTAGTCCGGCCACTGGTATCAAAATTGCTTCCCTCCAAGCACATCGAAACAACACCTATTCTTCAAGAGTAAGCATATGCCGTCAATTCGTGCATCATGAGTATATTGACAAAATTCTTAGGCAGTCGGGGCTTCTGAAGCCGGGGGAAATGTGCCTCGTTTTGGGATGTCCTGGGGCGGGCTGTACCACGTTCCTCAAGACCATGGCTAACGAGAGGAGGGAATACGCGAAGATATCCGGTGACGTCCGTTACGCCGGTATCGATGCGCACGAGATGGCCAAGTATTACAAGGGCGAGGTCGTCTACAACCAAGAGGGTAAGCACGCATGAGACGGTGCAGGCGTAGCGGAGCTGACAAGCGACCTAGACGACATCCATATCGCGACATTGACCGTCTCGCAGACGCTTGCATTCGCATTGTCGCTGAAGACACCGGGGCCGAACGGTCGCCTGCCGGGGATGTCGCGTAAGGAGTTCAACCAGACCGTCATGGGCGTCTTGCTCCGCATGCTGAACATCCCCCACACCGCGAACACGTACGTCGGCGACGAGTTCGTGCGAGGCGTGTCAGGAGGGGAGCGGAAGCGCGTGTCGATCGCGGAAATGATGGCCACGCGAGCCCATGTGCTATGCTATGACAACTCTACCCGCGGGCTCGATGCGAGCACCGCGCTGGACTTTGTCAAGTCGTTGAGGGTTATGACGGATGTCCTCGGCCAGACAGTCTTCGTGACATTGTTCGTATGTTCTCTTCACACGCGTATACTCATTCTGACTCGCCCCCCTCTAGATACCAAGCTGGCGAATCTATCTACGAGCTCTTCGACAAGGTCCTCGTCCTCGACAAAGGCCGCCAGGTGTACTTCGGTCCGCCCTCGACCGCTCGGGCATACTTCGAAGGGCTCGGCTACAAGCCGCTCCCGCGCCAGAGCACGCCCGACTACCTCACCGGCTGCACGGACCCCAACGAGCGGCAGTTCGCGGAGGGTCGCTCGGAGGCGGATGTCCCCACCACGCCCGAGGAGCTGGAACAGGCGTTCCTGCAGTCGTCGTTCGCGCACGAGATGCACGCCTCGCTTGCAGATTACAAGACGCTCATGGAGCACGACAAGGCGGACCAGGAGGCTTTCCGCGCGGCGGTCGCAGCGGACAAGAAGCGCGGCGTGTCGAAGAAAAGCCCGTACACGCAGGGCTTTTTCAACCAAGTGCGCGCGCTCACGATGCGCCAGTTCCAGATGCGTGTGCAGGACCGGTTCCAGCTGATCACGAGCTACTCGTTGCACACTGTGAGTGTGACCGCCCGTGAATGGGTTCGGTGTCTTTACTGACCGAGCGCTACGGTAGATTTTGGCGCTGGTCATTGGGGCGGCGTATTTTGACCTCAAGCCTGATGCGGCGGGCGCATTTACGAGGGGGTCGGTCGTCTTCGCTGCGATGCTTACTACTTGTTTGGATACTTTCGGAGAGGTATGCGTCTGCTACTAAGATTATATTTCCTCAAGTTCATGTATTGTGAATTGCAGATGCCTGTGCAGATGCTTGGTCGACCCATCATCAAGAAGCAGGTTGGTACGATCTTCCAGTCTTAAAGGCATTTAATCTCTGATTATTACTGTTTCTAGACGAGCTATGGCCTGTATAGACCGGCAGCGATAGCCATCGCCAACACATTAGCGGATATCCCATTCTCTGCAACGAGGGTCTTCATCTACAATATCATCATCTACTTCATGGCGCACCTCGCGCGATCGGCAGGCGGTTTCTGGACGTATCATCTCTTTGTGAGCAATATTTTCTTCACGCATTGATTATGGATATGCTGATGCATGCGCAGACGTACATCACGTTCTTGACGATGCAAGGTTTCTTCAGGACGTTTGGGTTCATGTGCACCAACTTTGACTCGGCGTTCCGCCTTGCGACATTCTTCTTGCCGAACATGATCCTGTATGCTGGTTATATGATCCCTGTCTTTCAGATGAAGCGCTGGCTGTTCTGGATCGTACGTATCTGTTCAGCATGCTGACTGGCAGTCGCTGATGTTTGCATGCAGTACTATATTAATCCGATATCTTATGGTAGGCGTCTGAGAATCTGCTGATGGCCAATCGCTTATCGGTGTTCAGGCTGGGGTGGGAACATGGAGAACGAATTCATGCGCTTATCCGTACGTTCAGTCCTATCTCTATCCGTTGCGCATTTTGCTCAGTTATGGTAGTTGGATTGCGATGGCGATTACATAGTCCCACGTAACCCTCCAGGATCAAACAAGTATCCGTGAGTGTCTCCATCGAGATTCGCAATAGGATATGATCTGAATTTTCCCCCACCAGTGACTACCTCGGAGAAAACCAGGCTTGCACGCTATACGGTGGTACATCAGGACAAAGCACGATCCCTGGCCGGTCGTACGTCGACGCTGGATACCAACTCAATGTCTCGAATCTCTGGCGCGAGAACTTCCTCGTGCTAGTTGGATTCTTCTTGCTGTTCCAGCTCACACAGGTTCTTCTCGTCGAACTTTATCCTGTAAGTCTTCTTGCTTTTATTTTTCAGCGGTAGCAGCTTCGTTATTCAACTCTATGTTTCGCAGCAATTTTACGGTGCTGCGGCTGTGACTATCCACGCCAAAGAGAACAACGAACGGAAAGCACTAAATGCTCGTCTGCGGGCACGCAAGGCAGAGCGAGAGGGAAAAAGTAAGGAGGGCGTTGACATTGAGAGAGTTGGGGAAAACAAAAAGTGTGTCTGAACGAACTTCAGCTACGAGAGCTGGTACTGACCAGGTATGGTAGTGACGGCAACTTCGACTTTGAAAGCAAGACGTTCACTTGGGAGAACATCAATTACCATGTCCCCGTAGCTGGCGGCTCGCTCAGGCTTTTGCACGATGTGTTTGGCTATTGCAAGCCGGGTACGTTGACTGCTCTCATGGGCTCGTCCGGTGCAGGTAGGTCAAATCTTTGTTGGAATGCTGTCCGCAGGATCACTCATCCCATGCACGAATAGGCAAGACGACTTGCTTGGATGTGTTGGCACAACGCAAGAACATCGGGGTCGTGACTGGGGAACTGCTTCTCGACGGTCGTCCGCTTGGAACAGACTTCGCGCGCAAGACTGCTTACGGTGCGCGAACATATATGAGCTAGGACATATGCAAGTTTACTGAATTGCGCCCTTCCAGCCGAGCAAATGGATGTCCACGAAGGCACTGCTACCGTCAGAGAGGCCATGCGGTTCTCCGCATACCTCCGGCAGCCATTTGATGTGCCGAAGGCAGAGAAGGACGCCTACGTCGAGGAGATGATCGAGGTGCTGGAACTGCAAGACCTGGCCGACGCAGTGGTGTACAGTCTTGGAGTGGAGGCGCGCAAACGGCTCACTATTGGAGTGGAGCTGGCGAGCAAGCCGTCGCTGCTGTTCCTGGACGAGCCAACGTCCGGATTGGACGGGCAGAGTGCGTGGAACCTCGTTCGTTTCCTGCGAAAACTCGCAGACAGTGGGCAGGCGATTCTGTGCACTATCCACCAGCCGTCGTCGATGCTCATTCAGACGTTCGACAAGCTGCTCCTGCTTGAGAAGGGCGGTGAGACGGTCTACTTTGGCGGCATCGGTCCTGATTGTTACGTTCTGCGGGAGTACTTTGCTCGCTACGGAGCTGTTTGCCCGCCTAACGTCAACCCAGCTGAAGTGAGTTCGGCAAATATTGGGTATCCCGAAGGTCACTGAACACCCCCTCTCTTTTATAGTTCATGCTGGATGCCATTGGTGCTGGACTCGCCCCTCGTATCGGCGATCGTGATTGGAAGGACGTGTGGCTGGATTCCCCTGAGTATGCAGATACAAGGACAGAGATTGACCTAATCAAGCGGGAGGCCTTGGCCAAGGCTGTTAATGAGAACGATAAGCCCGCCACCTGTAAGGATTATTGCAGTCGCTGCATTACTTCATGCTAATCTTTGCGTATCATAGACGCCGCGCCGTTCTGGTACCAGCTGAAGGTCGTTGTTGTGCGGAATAGCACGATGTTGTGGAGGTCGCCGGATTATGTGTTCAGTCGTCTCTTCGTGCATGCCTTCATCTCGCTGTTCGTCTCGCTGCCCTTCCTTCGATTGGGCAACAGCTCTCGTGACCTGCAATATCGGGTCTTCGGAATGTATGTGTTTCCGTGTTCGTTCCTTCCGCGCTGCTGAATGTGCCGAATAGCTTCTGGGTGACTATCCTTCCGGCTATCGTCATGGGCCAATTGGAGCCAATGTGGATTTTGAATAGGCGTACGTACAAATAGTCCGCGTCATCAGATTAACTGGCTGATAATTATGGTATCCAGGGATTTTCATTCGAGGTTAGTTCAGGGTGATCGTTTTCGGGAGATAAGTGCTTACAATGTGTGATGCAGAGGCGTCCAGTAGGATATACTCCCCGTATGTGTTCGCCATCGCACAGCTTGTTGGGGAGATGCCGTACTCTGTTCTTTGCGCTATTGTTTACTGGGTTCTGATGGTATGCGAGCTTCCGTCACTATACGTCAAACGGTAGACTGACACGGATGCCCTGACAGGTCTATCCGATGGGATTCGGCAAAGGTTCGGCCGGAGTGAGGGGGACTTTCTTCCAGTTCCTGGTCACCCTGTTCATGGAGCTGTTTGGCGTGACCTTGGGTCAGCTCATCGGTGCAATCTCTCCTAGCATGCAGGTCTGTTCTCACCTGCCTACGAGATGGTACAACGCTTAAGTTGAGACATACAGATTGCGCCTCTCTTCAATCCGTTTATTATCCTTGTCCTGAGTACCTTCTGTGGAGTCACGATCCCGTATCCCACGATGGAGAAGTTCTGGCGTGCATGGATGTATCAACTTGATCCGTACACCCGTACGCTCAGCTCGATGTTGTCCACAGAGTTGCAGTATGTCTCAACGCCATGCACTGGCTGCTCTCGCTAACCGGAGGCTCTTGCCAGTGGATTAAAGATTCAATGCCAGAGCGAAGAGTTTACGGTCTTTCACCCGCCTTCCGGGCAAACGTGTCAGGAATGGGCAGGCACCTTCGTCTCTTCCTACGGCGGTTATCTGGAGAACCCGAACGCAACCAGTTCATGTCATTACTGTCAATATGCTGTATGTGCTTGCTTTTTGAAGCGCTTGAGACAGACTGAGCCAGCTATTAATCAGGTTGGTGACCAATTCTTTGAGCCACTGAACATCAAGTACTCTGATCGATGGAGAGATGCGTTCATCCTGTTTTCTTTCTGCAGTATGTGCACTAGTCTCCATCTCTGCTTTATCTGACACTGACAATCTTTATTGCAGTATTCAATATCATTGTGACCATCAGTAAGTGGCGCAGCGCTGAACCTTCGGCACACGCTCACCCAGACCTTTCTAGTCGCGTCGCGTTTCCTACGCTATGCCAAGCGATAAAGCGACCATCTATATTGCGTACGTTTACAATTGAGTTGGATGAGAGAGGAACGAACTGTCGCACATGTCTCTGGCATCTGCTGCATACGTAGAAATGCGTAGAATATGATAAAGCCCTGTAATGAATGCACGAGTCATGGTCACCGGTTACGTACCTCTGGCCTTTTATTTTCATGCTATACATCACTTTGGCAGCCACTGTAGACACCGATACAGGCGAGGTGGAACAAGGAAGACCTTACAGGTACAGAGCACTGACTGGGTATAGGAGACACTATACAATACAGCTTGATGAAGGCTAATGTGGCAGGCATGGGTACAGAGTATCGGTTAACGTTGTTGAGACGTGCTTTGGAACTGAACGAGCTAGACGTCAGCGTCAGTTTTGCTGAACTATACTGCAACTCACAATGTCTCGGAGTTGCGCCTGGGCGTCGTTGAATTGCTTCTCCAAGTACTTCGACTGGGTGGTGGCAATAAGAGAATGGGAGTGATGCTAACTGGTCAAGAATTACCTTCTTGTTTTGATTGTTGATGTCATCCGTGAGCTCCTTCTCCTCTGCCTTAAGTTCCTTCTCCATCGTCGGTCTTGGGACCATCATGAACCTAGCAGCACCTAATCAGTGCAGGGTCTACAAGCCTATGAAGCGGTCACGGACATCTTTCCAACGCCCTTGTATAGATTGACATCTCCCTCCAACGAAGTAATCTCCTCTATCGTAAGCTGGAGGATCCGTCGTTCCCGCTCCCTGGCCGCTATCTGCTGTCGAGATACATTTAAAGCCCGTTGTGACTGGACGGCGGTTTGCTGAATTTGCACTAGGATCTGCCAGATGTAAGCATCAAAGTCGGAATTGCGATGACAAGCCAAACAAGAACCTTGCGAAGAGTTTCATCAGGAAGGCTAGCCATAGTGGGTGGCGGATGGTGGTCGACTTTGACGCGTCCAAATGATCGACGCGTCCTGTGGCGCGTCAATGTTAAGCGCTGGTACACTTGTTCTTCAACTCTCTCTCGTAGTGTACCTCTCGGCTTGCTCGCTCTCGTGCATTTTGTCATCTTTCGTCTTCCTCTTACGCGCTTTCTGTCTCAGCCACTCGTGCAGTCTTGTGCCCTATTTTTGCCGCTGACTAGCTGCCCGCGTCAGAGCGTCCTCTACTACTATGGCCTCCTTTGAAGACTATGATGAGTTCGGTAACTACATCGGTGCTGACCTCGAGTCAGAGGAGGAGGAGGAATTGCAGCAGAATGAGTTCATTCAGCAGCCGCAAGTCCAGCCGCTGGAGGGATTTGAAGAGGAGCCTATGCAGGTCGAAGAAGAGACAGCGTTGATGGAAGTTGATGGTGCGCTTGCTAATACGCTCTGTATTGACATTTGATACATTCTCTACACCACAGAACAAATGCACAATGCCGTGGTACTGCATGAGGACAAGCAGTACTATCCTTCGGCGGAGGAGGTGTATGGTGCCGAGGTAGAAACGCTAGTGCAGGAAGAGGACGCACAGCCATTATCTGAGCCGATCATTGCTCCAGTAAAAGTGCGAAAATGGACGGTGGAAGAGAAGGATATGCCGGAGACTCGGTTCGACAAAGGGTAAGTTGCTTAGAGCTGTTCGTCTAACAAGTCTCAGTGTTTGCGTAGATTCATGCTGAACATGACCGGCTTTCCCGAGTTCGTGCGGAATGTTGCCGTGGTTGGACATTTGCACCACGGAAAGACGGCGTTGATGGATATGCTGACCTTTGAGACTCATAAAATGATGTGGGATTCCGATCATCAGGTGAGACACCCTGATTCGTGTATTTAATTCGTTCTGAGTCTCTTCTTTCAGACACGGTACACTGACACACATGTACTTGCACGAGAACGTGGTATTTCGATCAAGTCCTCACCCATGTCCCTGATACTGTCCACAAGCTTCGGCAAATCACACTTGATTCATCTGGTAGACACGCCAGGCCATGTCAACTTCATGGATGAGGTTGCCTCGGCAGTTCGTCTGGTGGACGGTGTCGTCCTTGTGGTCGACGTCGTTGAGGGGGTGAGTCGTTGTCTTGCCATAAATTGACGGCATATTGATCACAAAGGGTAGGTGATGGTGAACACAGAGCACATTATTCGTCACTGTTTGCAAGAAAACGTGAAGATAACGCTGGTGGTGAACAAGATCGACAGGCTAGTGTTGGAGCTGCGCATCAAGCCTGCTGATGCTTATTACAAGATCAAGCATACCATTGAGGAGGTCAACACGTTCATTAGGTGCGTATAGGCATCGCCTCGCTATCACACCAGCTAAAAGTGGACTCCAGTGGCATCAACCCTGATCCAGCGCTTCGGCTCAGTCCAGAAAATGGCAATGTCGCTTTCGCGAGCACAGATATGCACTGGTGCTTTACCCTCAGATCGTTCGCTCAGATGTACGCTGACACATATGGTGAGTGTGGTCCCAAATCCTTTAGGCCTTACATTTATCTGCGTTCGTTCAGGGCCTCTGGACGTCGCTACATTCGCGGACCGACTCTGGGGCAACATTTACTTCAACTCTGAGACGCGTAAGTTCACCCGGAAGCCTGCCGACCCGGAAGCAAACCGCTCGTTCGTCCACTTTATCCTCGAACCGCTCTACAAGCTCTATACCCAGGTCCTGAGCGAAGAGACGGACGGCCTCAAGGAGACTCTCGACAGCCTCCATATCCAGCTGGCGCCGGTGATGTACAAGATGGATGTGAGACCGCTTCTGAAGGCGGCGCTAGCCCAGTTCTTCGGGCCTTCGGTCGGCTTGATAGACATGATCGTCGAACACATTCCATCCCCTGTGGAAGCCACAGCGGACAAGGTTGAACGGACTTATATGGGCCCAATGTCCTCAGAAATAGTTTCGCATATGAAGACATGCAATCCTGATGGACCTGTGATGGTGCAGATCACCAAGCTCTACCACACAACGGACGCACAATCGTTCCGTGCGTTTGGGCGCGTCATTAGCGGAACGGTTAGGAAAGGTATGGATGTGAAGGTACTTGGCGAAGGCTACTCGCCGGAAGACGAGGAGGACATGGTGAAGGCTACGGTGGAGGACATCTGGATAAGCGAAGCGAGGTAATGACATGCAATCAACTGTCCATTCTCCTAAACTTACGGAGCACTGCAGGTACTTTGTGCCTGCGGAGGAGGTTCCTGCGGGTAATCTCGTGTTGCTTGGTGGCGTGGATGCATCTATCACAAAGACAGCGACTCTCGCATCCGCCGACGTTGAAGATGACTTGTACATCTTCCGGCCGATTAAACACATGACGCAGTCGGTGCTGAAGATCGCCATCGAGCCCATAGCGCCATCAGAGTTGCCGAAGATGCTTTCAGGTTTGCGAAGCATCAACAAGTCGTACCCGCTCGTGTCGACGAAGGTTGAGGAGAGTGGCGAGCATGTGGTCAGTGGAACCGGGGAGCTCTATCTTGACTGCGTCATGCATGACCTGCGGCGGCTATTTTCTGAGATCGAGATCAAGGTTTCAGACCCTGTTACGAAGTTCTGCGAGACGGTGTTGGAGACGAGTGCGTTGAAGTGCTACGCAGATACCCCGAACAAAAAGTGAGAACAAAGTTGATCCTCTGAATGCCAAATCTAATAAACAAACATCCCAGGAACCGGATTACGATGATTGCGGAACCCTTAGAACGAGGTATTGCAGAGGACATTGAAACTGGACGAGTGACGATGCGGATGTCTGCGAAGGAGCGGGGCAAGTTCTTCGAGGAGAAGTACCAGTGGGATTTGCTTGCTTCTCGGTCGATATGGGCCTTTGGTCCTGATGATAGTGGTCCAAACATTTTGCTGGATGATACACTGCCATCGCAGGTGAGCCACATACGACTCGATCGGGTGTCGCCTCCGTTGCTGAGAATGGCCCCAGATCGACAAAAAACTCCTTGGGACCGTCAAGGAGCATATCAAGCAAGGGTTTCAGTGGGGTGCTCGAGAAGGCCCGCTTTGTGATGAACGTTCGTGCCCTATTTCTGTGTCGTTCCTATGCTTACTGACTGATTATGGACCGCGCAGCCATGCGCAACGTGAAATTCCGCATTCTGGATGCAAGCCTTGCTCAGGAGCCAATCTTCCGTGGGGGAGGGCAAATTGTTCCTACAGCGCGTCGTGTCTGCTATTCTTCTTTCTTGATGGTACGTTAACTGCTTTGAGACTACGAGGAGATCTGACAAAGAGAACCATCAGGCCACACCGCGGTTGATGGAGCCAGTTTATTTCGTCGAAGTACAAGCGCCGGCGGATTGCATTTCTGCGGTCTACACAGTCCTTGCTCGCCGGCGTGGCCATGTCACGCAAGACATTCCGAAGGCCGGATCACCATTGTACACGGTCAAAGCTCTCATCCCCGTCATTGATGCGAATGGCTTTGAGACGGACCTGCGGGCGGCCACACAGGGTCAGGCATTCTGCTTGCAGGTCTTCGACCACTGGTCGATTGTGCCAGGTCAGTATAACGTCAGTATCCTCTCAATTATGTTCTGATGAACATTGCGATAGGTGATCCTGCGGACACGAGCATCAAGTTGCGGCCTCTAGAACCCGCTTCCGGGCAAGCGCTTGCGAGGGATTTGGTCTTGAAAACACGGCGACGGAAAGGTCTCGGAGATCAGATTGCTGTCTCAAAATACCTCGACGACGAGTTCATTGTGCGTGTTTGGTCCCAATCATTGTTCATGGCTGTTTACTTATGCTGCGCATCGCTCGCAGCTGGCATTGTCCGCCTCGGGGCATGCGGATCTGCTGGGTTAGTGTAGGTAGAGTTTGGTTGCTATATCTGATGTACAACGCGGGAGCACTTTTGCTGCATGTGTGGCCGGAGAATGAGAATGGCACTAGGCAGGGGCGGGCGCTATTCGTGCCTTGTTAGAGTCCACGTGGCAAGCATAGAACTTAGTGGAAAGTGGATACGTGGCAGGTCGAGCCAGGCGCATTTAGAGCAGACAAACACTCGCACGCTCGCCATCTGTTCTTGTCATATCCTCGCTCGTTTTCTCTCCCTACCACATTGTTTTCAACCGTCACGGTCCTTCGTATACCATGCGAAGAGTAGCGCTATCTCTGCTCGCCCTCGCTGCGACCGTTGCTCTGGCACAGGAAGAATCCAAGCCTGTGTTCAAGGCAAGTCGCAGGGACGCGTTGTCCTGAACTTATACTGACGTCGCATTACCATTGCCTTAGCCCACCGAGATCAAGGCGCCATTCATCGAGCAGTTCACGGAAGACTGGTCTGAACGGTGGACCCCGTCAGAGGCCACTAAGAAGACCCCCGTTGGCGGCACGACATTCAGCTATGTCGGCAAATGGGAGGTCGAGGAGCCTACTATTTCTGTGATTGAAGGGGCCAAGGGTCTTGTAGCGAAGACCAAGGCTGCGCACCATGCCATCTCCGCACCCTTCGCTGAAGCTATCGACTTCAGCGACAAGCCGCTTGTCGTACAGTACGAAGTGAAGTACCAGAAGGGCGGTAATTGTGGCGGTGGTTACATCAAGCTGCTGGAGGACGGCTTCCAGACGGCGGGTCAGGAGTTCGACGACAAGACACCGTGGACGATCATGTTTGGTCCTGACTTGACATGCCCGGGGACGAAGGTCCGTCCCCTTCCCCAGGTTCCATCTTTCTTCCAGCACTCACACATGCTCTCCTAGATTCATTTCATCTTCCGCTATAAGAACCCGGTTACTGGCGAGTACGAGGAGCACGCTTTGAAGACTCCCCCAAAGCCTTCAATCGAGAAGCTCACGAACCTCTACACGCTCATTCTCTAGTACGTCTCATTACGTCTTATCTCAGTTTCTTGGCTTACGTTATGGCGACCTAGCCCCAACTCCACGTACGATGTCCAGTTCAATGGCGAGAGCAAGTCTTCGGGTAATCTGCTGGATGACTTCAACCCTCCTGTCAACCCGCCTAAGGAGATCGACGATCCTGAGGACACCAAGCCTGAGGACTGGGTTGACACGAAGAGGATTCCGGACCCCGATGCGACCAAGGTACAACTCCATACTTCCGCTTAATGATCATTTCCTTTATCTATATTATGACAGCCTGCTGACTGGGATGAGGACGCGCCTTACGAAATTCCTGACGAGGACGCTGAGAAGCCTGAGGGATGGCTCGACGACGAGCCAGAGATGATCCCTGATCCTGGTACGTCTTTTCTCCAAATGCCGCCGTCAGCGATGCTCAAGAAGTCGTCGTTATTCTAGACGCCGAAAAGCCTGAGGAGTGGGACGATGAGGAAGACGGCGACTGGATTGCACCCGTGGTACGCAACCCCAAGTGCGACGAAGCTCCTGGCTGCGGCGAATGGAAACGGTACGTTTGCAAGTCTCTATCGGCTACATGAATCCTGATGAGCGCCCTGCAAAGCCCCATGAAGGCCAACCCTGACTACAAGGGCAAGTGGTACGCTCCCATGATCGACAATTCGGCATACATTGGCGAGTGGCACCCGCGTCAGATCCCCAACCCCGACTTCTTCGAGGACCTCAACCCTGTCCAGAACCTCAAGAAGATCGTGAGTGCATATCTACCAGCAGCTAATCACAAGTTACTGAAAAGTCCCTTCCTGCAGGGCGGCATTGGTATCGAGCTGTGGACCATGACTGAGGATATCCTCTTCGACAATATTTACATCGGACACTCGGTCGAGGACGCCCAGGCCTTCAAGGCGGAGACATTCGATATCAAGAAGCCGCTCGAAGTCGAGCAGTCGAAGGTCAAGAAGAACGTCAAGGATGAGGACGAGGACGAGGCACTCAGCTTCATCGAGGAGCCGGTGGAGTTCATCCGCCAGAAGGCGTTCAAGTTCATCGACCTCGCCAAGGTCGATCCTGTCGCAGCATTCAAGACGCAGCCTGAGGTCGGCGCTGTGATGGTGCTTTCCGTTATCACCTTCTTCGGTATGCTTGGCGCAATGTTCGGCCTCGTTGGTGCGTCGCAACAACCCGTGACCAAGGTATGCTACGTCGATTCTTTGGCCCGTATCAGATGTTCACGAATGTTTATCCTCACAGTCATCGAAGAAGACCGATGCTCCCACGCCCGATGACAAGCAGAAAACTGAGGCTGTTCCTGTTGCCGCTGCTGGCGGTGAGAAGAAGGAAACCCCGGTGAAGAAGCGGAAGTAAAAAGGGAGACGGCGTTTCTACTTTAATGTCACGATCCTATTCCATCTTGTGCTTATGTTTGCGGAGTTGAATCGATATCCTGTTTGAGCTCGCGAGAGAGATGATACAGGACGTGTTACAACTCAAAATTCATTGTATAACACTTGGGATTGCGCTACAGATGATGCGATGCGTTATGACAAATCTCGGCTAGAAATACAAACTCGCAGCAAACACAACTAGTTGAGATGTGGTCAGGATCAGCAAGGCAATTCGAAGTGACCGACGTACTGTCTCTCTTGATCTTGATTTGAGATTCCTCCATTTTCTTGAACAATTCCGCATCGCCAATGACTCGTGCAGCATCTCTAACTTCACGACAAGTCTCGTCCAGACGTGTAATTACGCGGACGATGGTGCCTTCTGGCACATCTGTGAGATCAGTGATTTGCTCGAATGGCTGCAGGGGGATGTTTGTCAACAGATACTGAACAGCATGGGCTGTAAATGCTCCTCACCATGCCTTTCGCCCATTCGTACACCACTTCCATAAGGCCGAACTTCAAGGCGCGGAAATCGTCTCCAGGTACTTTGTGATAGTCTTTTATCTGGCTGACCCGTTCAGCGATTGCAATGATAGCATCCCGCCCTTCCTCCAGTTTGGGAGAGATGATTGGCTCCACATCTGTCTTCTCCTGGAACACGAAACAAGATAGAAGTGCGACGACTTCCTCGGGCTCAAAATTCGCGAGGGTGTTCTCGAGGATAAGCTCAGTCAAAACGAGCTCATTGGCCGAGTTGATCTGTTTGTGAAGAGATTCAACGAAATCGCAGATACCAATTGCCAAACCACTGACCTCGCAAGCAACACGGCCTTTGAGCAAGACGGTCGAGTTCTCGTCGATGAATTTAAGATCTTTCAGAACACCTATCCTCTGCTCGTAATCCGGGATGAGCTCCATGTTTTGCTCTGACACCGCGCGCTTGAGCTCCTCGATGTGCGCGATTAACGACTTCCTGCTATGGACTTGCATATACTAAGGAGCACTTCAATTTCTCTGGAGACGTTGTAAACAGGACAGACCCACATGATCATCAAAATCACTGCATATGGTGCATTGGAAGCCCCCCAGTTCCTTCACCAGTTCATCTCGTTCTCGCAACGCCTCTTGAAACTCCAGGGAGCGAAATTTGCTCCAATCAGCTTCAGGGATGCTATCAACTTGCAGCCATTTTTCCAACTCCGCATTCAGTAACTGTATGGCACTGTTCATGCTTGATATCCGTTTTTGAGATAGAATCACGTCGGCGTCCACCTGATGAGCTCTGTGAGCGACAATCCACTCATACAAGGAACGACCTCGCTTTGATCGTGGAAGCAGTCATCATCGCGATACTTGTCAATGGCACTTTCCAAAGGTAATACGTTGCATCGTCCACCACGAGCGATGTCGGAGTCGGAGGCCATCGAGGAGGGGGGCTCTGGCCACTCGCATCTATCGAGTGGTGGAACGTTATTTAAAGGACTTGCTCGAAGCGAATACGGCCACACAAGGGGCTGACCTTCCTTCCTTTCAAGTTCTAGCAATGCCGCCTTGGTCTCGGGATCAACCATCGCCAATATAATAGTCTCGTCCGTCTTGCGATCATTTCTCAGTACCACTGCCATGTTCCACCTAAAACGCTACGAAATTGTTAGAAACAAAATCATAGGGTTCGTCAATACTAACCTCATCCCGTAAGACGACGACTCTGCCAGTCCCCATAAGTCTGCTCCACTGCGAGTTTTTGGCGGCTAGCGACAGTATCGTCTGATTTAGGTCAACAATTTCGTATGACGCATCGTAAAAGTGCTCGATATCGGGGAAGCAGACGTCGCAACTCAATTCTGGCAACCTAGACAACACCTTCTCGCTCTGCATAGTTTATGATTAGTGCATCAGCATGGATCCAACTAATAATATTACCTCTATGACCTTCTTCATTTGATCTGGCAACATCTTCTGGGAACTGTTCTCAGAAAAGCTTCGTTTGATCATCTCTTCGACCCTTAGAGCCTCGACCCGAAGAAGATTCAGTATCATATTGTATGTCAAACGGAACTGGGACTGTAGGTTCGATGGTTTCCCCAGGATCATACCATTGAGCGTGGATTGCTGTTTGGTCGGCATGTAAGCGAGCGCCCGGGCGTGATCGCATAAATACCGACCTCCGGTAATGTGTCGTTTGCAACGATGACTACTGTGCCAGTTGGATCTAGTCCACGACGTCCAGCACGCCCAGCCATTTGCGTGTATTCTCCGGGAAGAATATCCCTGAAAGCACGACCGTCGTGCTTGCGGATATTGGAGAACACCACACACTTAGCAGGCATGTTCACTCCCTACGCAACATGAGTCATCAATGTTGACTGATTTACTAGTATACGTGCCATTGCAAATGTTTCCGTTGCGAAGAGAACTTTGACCAGTCCTCGAGCAAAGAGAATCTCCACGACCTATTAAAAGTGAGTTACCCGGCGTAGAACATATGGCCTCGAAATGTACCTCCTTCACAATAGGGAGCAACCCTCCATGGTGCACGCCTATTCCACGGGAAAGCAGATCGCGCATTCTGCGAATCTGGGGTAGCCGTCGATCACTTCCTATACATTGGTGAATACCTGTCTAGCATTCACATTGCATGAAACAGTACCTTTCAGCCGCGACAACGCTTTCTCAATGGCGACATGAATCTCGCTCTTCTCCACTGCTGTGCACAGGTCCAGATTTGTCAAGGTGCTCGCATTCTCCTCGCATCTCTTTTTGGATAGTGTGAAGACCACAACCGGCAGCAAAGATTTCTTCTTCAGATTACCCATCAAATGGACATAAAGGTTCTTGTCAGGCTGGTGGAATGTCCGCGGAGAGCCTCCACGTGGGGGTGGCGCAGCACCTCTCGATGGTGTGCCCCCACGCTGACCGCCTCGTCCAGCTGGACCGCCGCGCTGACCCCTCTGTGGTGCAGCAGCACGTGCACCCAAGCGTTGCACAGGCGCTAGTCCCGCTGCTTCTCGTTCCTTGTCTTGCTTCCGTCGAAGCGCTTCCGACGCAGCACGATACCTATCAGGGAAGGTTAGCTTTATGGCCACTCGTGAACTATTTGACAGTACCCTTCTCCTAAGAAATTACCGTTGGCATCTACGATCTTATGGAAATCTCTCCCTGCATAAAGGTAGTGTTCTAGAGGAACAGGTCGTTTTGATGTTGAGATGACATATATATCTTTCTTTTTCGTTCGTCTGCCATTCTTCTGTTAAGTCTACAACAGAATGAGTGTAGTGGGCTGACTTACCCCACCCAATCGGCAAATTCTTTCGCGTTTGGTACGGTAGCTGATAGAAGGATGATGTTGACATGATCAGGGAGCATGATGATAACCTCTTCCCAGACGACTCCGCGCTGCATGGATAAGGCTCAATCAACGGCATACGCGCAGAGGCAATTCACTCACCTCCGCATCGTTCACGTAATGGACCTCGTCGAATATCACAAACTCGACGTCTCGGATGAGATCAGCGCCTTTGTATAGCATGCTACGCAAGATCTCCGTTGTCATAATGAGACAATTGGCTTCCGGATTGATCTGCACGTCTCCTGTCAAGATGCCGATGGAGGAGGATGAGAAGGTTTGCTTGAAATCACGATACTTCTGATTAGACAAGGCCTTGATAGGTGAAGTATAAATTGCTCTAATTTTTCATGAGCGCGAGAGTTCAACATATGCATGCAGACGAACCTCGTCATATGCTTTCCAGCCAATGCAATGGCATATTCCGCAACGACCGTTTTACCTGCGGATGTATGCGCGGCAACAAATACAGAGTCACCCATCTCAAGGTGATACACTGCTTGCTTTTGGAATGTATCGAGCTCGAATGGGTACTATGTTCCAGATTGAGTGCCTGTTGGTTCAACGGGGAATTGAACAAACCTTGTGTGCCATGTCTGGTACCAATTCATGGAAATTGGTCATTTCCTTGTTGACATTTACTACGTGCGCCCAATCTCGCTTCTGCACATTCGTTCGGTGTGCTGGTCGGCGTGGTTTCTTGATCGTTGTCAGTTGTGTTCTCTGTAATAACTGCAGTCAGCCTCCACAACAATGGTGTGCGTTGCAAGTGAAGTGTTCGTAACCGCGCATGCTCACAGTAGTTGGGAGAAGTTCGTCGATCTCAGATGTGCCGCTCAAAGTGACCTCATTTGCGTAAGCCTCTCCATTTGGCTGGCCAAGAACAGGTCAGCACTGAAAATGTATAGGAGTTACATAGCATATAAGGCACCAAGAATTCAATGTCAGTCTTGATAGGTCGCGATAATGGCTCCAGCTCTTCCTCTGGCAACGTTTCCTCGACTTCTTCTCCAGGCAGACGCAATCCGCGGCTTAGTCCAGGAGCAACTCTCCTCAAGCCGATTGACTCTTCTTGCAGGTCATTGATCACATCCAGCTCACTCTTCTTGCTTTGCTCAAGCCCTCCCGGCCAGAATGGCACATAACCTGCTTTTCCTCTTACGAAGCTGCCACTGGGGCCAGGGGCACGATCGAGAGAGGTTGACGTCAGTCCCGAAGGGATACGGGGATTAGATACCTTATACAATTAAAAAAAGTTGTTATTAGAAAGCCGGTATGAGTAGTACGGTAGACTGACTTCTTTGTACCCTGTAACGCGCCCATGCAGACCGGCTCGAACGAACGCTAAAGTCGTCGGCGGTGGGGAAGGCTCTAGCGAGAGCAATGAGGGGACAGAAATCTCATGGTCCCAGTGTCTGGCGCGATGGTCAGCGCCGCCGAACATCCTTTCGCGGAGGATCTCACATTTGGTAGGTAGGGAGCCAATGTTCCGGCAAGCGTTCTTTAGGAAGGAGCAATTTCTCCTCGATCTCCCTGTGCACCTGTTCCCTTGTAGGCAGCCCAGATAGACCCAGCTCCAGAAGAATTTCCGCAGAATCCTCTGGGCGAGGACGCAAAAGCCGTTCGAGCACCTTTTCGTGCTGTTCAGAACCCATCACTTCCAACGGGCAAAGCAGAGTGAGATCGTCAATGCTGCACACGGCTTAGGCTCTTGCCCTGAACAATGTGATTGCAACAACGAACTGGTCGTATTCCAGACGGTTGGACGAACGCGTCTTGAGGTGCCAACAAGCTGGTGTGTGGCGGAATCAAGAAGCGGACGCAGAAAGCAGAAGCACAAGCGCCCAATACATTTCCTGATAGATTAGACGCCCGCAGGTGGTATGACGTAAGCGCTTGTCGACATTTATAAGCGCTCAAATCATGTGCCACGGTGAGAATATTATGTAAGCCATGCCACTTTGACACCGTATCAGTGGTTTTACAGTATGAGGTGAATGCATAAACACTGCTCGAGCACGACAAGTCCGATACAAGAAGCTATGATAGCCAACCAGCTTGGCACCGGAATGTTTGCCACATTTCTCGATGGCAAGCTGCATGCTCCTCGGACGTGAGATAGAGTTTGCGTGAGTTAATTCTGAGCTCACGACCCGATCTTTTCCGCAACCTAAAGATCTCGCTTTTCACAGCCTAGCAGCTCTTCACATCTCATCTGTGGAGCAAACGTTTCTGTTATTTGAAAACGGAAGTCGTCGCCAGCTTGGCGAGAGCAGAGATTTGTTTCATGACAAAGGATCTCGGCAGGATCTATATAATCGCCGTACGCCATTGCTGTTTTGAGGACCTCAGCGGAGCCTCACGCTTGCCACCCGTAGGTTCTGTTCAAGGGAATCTGGCTTAGCTCATGGAAACGATCTGTGGCCATTTGGCTCATGCATTCCATACCAATCTCAAATGTTGCAGATTGTCGCCGTATTTATTCATCGGTGCTGCGATCACGCGGCGCGGCGACAAGGCACAATATCTCTTATTTCACAAGACTGTCCTGGCGATAGCGGTCCATGCATGACAGGATTTTGAAACCCAGCTCCCATCGCGAGATACGTGCGAGCAAAACCCGCTTTCACTGTCGACGCAACCCCGATCGGAAAGAAGGGTCGGGCGGATCGTTAAGGGAAAGCGCCGTCCTCCGACAAGACCACAAAGATTCCTCAAGGTCATCGCTCTCCGTTTCCGTTTTCAGCAGCACATTGACAGCGGCTAATATTATATTTTACTATATATCGTAGCACGGAACCAAGATGCGACGTATACGATGCAGAGGTGACAAGATTGGGACAACATGATAATGATATGCAAAACGACAACAATGCGAGCGAGTCAGATGATGTGAGGTACCGTACCGTCCAAGATATAAAGTCGTGATCGAAAGTTAATTACGCTTCTTGAGGGCGTAGACATTCTCCACGCGAATGTATGTGCGCATTCGTGCATCCATCAATTCAGTGCGAGCGTTTTCCTCTGCTTCATCGACGACAGCCTCTGATATGCCACTTCCAAGGAGCAGCGGACGCCCAGACCTCAAGAATGCCTGCATAGTTTGGTCTTCAGAACCGCTCTGAGACAATTGACGATCAGAGCTTACCAGGATGTCGTTTCTGAACACGACCGCAATGCGGTTCTGCCGTTGCGTCTCTGGATCGTTCCCCTTTCTCCACGGCGCCGATGGCAGCCAAAACTCGCGGTAAACGACGTTCTCGAACGCGCCATGTCGTGATATCCACTGACGCAGATGATTTGCTGCGTCGGGTTCGCCACCACTTCGTCGGACGGCATCGTGGGCGAGATTCATCCACGTCGCAAACCACGAGCGTCCGTTTGTCAGAATGGGCTTGCAGTCGGACCCGTACACGCGGAAGTCGAACTCGGTCAGATCAATAAGGCCGCCAGGACGGAGGGTCTGCGACAATTGATCGACCAAGCCATGGTAGTCCAGGATCTGAGATCAGACAAGTGATGCCCAAAAGTGGAAGGTGGTCAGGAACGGAGATTGCAGTTCGATCGCTCAGATCTGGCCACTTTCGGAGCCGACACTTACCCCAGACGAGATCAGCCGGGCATGCACGACGTTGAAGTCCCCGTAGAAATGCTGCAGGCCAAGGTTGATGTCGTCGACCTCGCTCCTGGATCCTGTCTCAAACTCGCGCCCCGTGGCGGTGGCGAAGAGACGTACCTGCAATTGGGCGGCATGTGTCTGTAGAGCGAACTGTCAATCAACCGCCGCCCGTCCGCACGATACCTCAAAAAGAACGCTCACAAGGACTGCATGGGAACCAAGTCCACAGCGACAGTATCACAGTGCGGAAAGTCTCTCGCCACATCCAGTATCCTGGTTACCAATCAGAGATATGCTTCGGAACAATGCAATGCGGAAGCACCGACCAGCTTCCACTCCCACAACCGAAATCTACGCAGGTCTTCCTTTCGCCGGGCGTATCGTCTTCGAGAATGTGCGGCAGCGGCGGCACGTATCTGCCCATGACCTCCGCGAACATTGCATGCTGCTGATCTAACGAGCAGTCAGCTCCGGCAGGCGATACGTAAACCATATGACTCTACCGAGACGGTCAAACTCCTCATCGTCCGCTGGCAGCCGGTAGACCTCTGAGTAATTGTTCAGTCCACGGCCATATTCGTGTCGATAGGAAGCGGCCCGGAGAGAATCAGTCATGGAATATATGGAGGGGGCTGGCGAGGCTGAGCGCATCTCCCAATCGTGCGAGGTAGCGGAGCTCGCTACGCTGGGAGCGAAACGAGACGAAGTTGTGCGGATTGAGCAGGCATCGCTGCGGTCATCTTCGTCCATGTCGTGGTCGGATGGCATGGCAAAGACGGAGTGCATTGAGCGCGCAAAGAGCATCGGGCGCAGAGTCCTCGAGAGATAGATGGTTATATATGAGACGCATCCTGCGAACGGCGGAACATCGCGCTGCTCCCGACGACCATCTGTGCCGTGAAAATCGGATTGCACGTGGCCGAGGCGCCGGCGGAAGCCGGACGCCTATTGGCTAGGTTCATCTCCGTGCCCCGACAAGCCGCGCCTCTTGATGGCCCGTTTCGAGATTGCCGACGGTTCGCTTTTCTCATAATGGATCGTCTTGACAATTTTTTGTCGCTCTCGCCTTTACGTCCCACCAGCATATTCGCTGCGGGAACCCTCTTCACTGCGGTTCTATCCCTCGAATGAACGGCCTCGCTCATCCGGGGGTGTGCCAGTAACGCGCTGCACTTCAGTTGTCGATGTCCGCCGTGGGTTCTGCTGTGGGCCGTTATAGTATTCTTCCTGTCCATACAACGCGGTACTTCTATTGCGGCCGTTCGTGCTGGCTTCTGACCTAGGCGTTGGGCTGATTCTCGCTTGAGCCCCACCAAGAAGCCGACCCTTATGCGAAGGTAAGACTCGCGACTGATCTACCCCCGAATCGTTGAGTTAAAGTAAACGGCCAGTCATAAGCAGGAAAGAAGTTCATGACTGTGCACTGCCCGCTACTTGCACTCATCTCCGCCTGAGTTGGGTATTACCTAATCGCTGACGCCCCACGATTAGCTGCTCAAGCATGCGTCAGCTTGCAGTCCAGAGTAATTCGTTCCCCTTTCGGTTGCTTCAGTGCGGAGGCGCTAGACCTCCACTGTATCACCGTGGTTCGTCCGATCCTCATTCGTGCCTTGTGCAGCAGCTCGCGGCGATGGCCTCCATGGCACATCACGCACCCTGAACTATCATCCAGTGAATGGAATTCGAGCGTACACTTCCAGCCATGCCTCAAGCGGCGTTCTGAAGCCTGTTTTTGTTCTGCTTCGCGATATCAACTCGTCACGATGCTGCTCAATGCTGCAGAATCACCGCTTCTCGGGGCCACTTTCGCCCTTCTCCGTTCGGTCTACTCCTAATGCGGACTCGCCAATAGCTTTGGAACATTCTCGCCGGATCGCATGGATAGCCAGGGAGGAGTTATGGCATCGCATTGAATTCCCGGCAAAAATTTCTGGTAGATATATCATATTGTATTCAATCAATTGAGTTGCTCTGATCAGTCTCCGATGGCCCGACGGGTTGCGCAATCATCTCTACGGATACACATCCAGATGGTGATGAAGATGAACCTCGGCATCTCTCAGATTTCAGCTGATTGTGTATCTCTGCGGAGTTGTCGTCTTATCAGCATCCTCTATTGTCAGCGAGCACTTGAAGGTTAGTGGGCCTCGGTATAATTGACGAGATCTGCGATTGAGTCAGACTATAGCATAGGTGCTCGCCTTCCACGCCCCGGGTACAATGATTAGTCTCGGCGCGCGTACCCTTCCCCTCTCGCTGGAACGCCAGCACACGCGACTCGTCAGACTGGGTTAGACGTTCTATTGGCATTGAAGGGGATTCTGCCCGCTGTTGCGAATCATGCGTTTACTGCGTGGTGGACCGAACAGTGCAGGAACCCTCACCCTCGGCTATCGGCCAGCGCTCCGTGGCCGCAGTGGCGGTAGTCAAGATCAACCCCAGAACGCGTGTACGTACCGCAATTCCAGAAGAAAGGGGAAACAATTGGGCCGGCCCGGTCTAGACGTGCTCATGGTACCTCCTGCAGTGAAGGTAAGCCTGATTTTGCTGCTCTAAGTCCGCACTATGTGGTAAAATCATATCTGAATTTGTCGCCGATGAGTCAGAAATGGCAGGACCGAAACTTTGAGTTTTAGGCTATAAACGGTACAAACGCTTCGGCGGGAGCATGGGAAAATCGCTGTGTATGCAAACATTGAATGTTCAACCCGACGTTGGCTGCTGAAGTTTCCGACGGCTGCTATATCTGCGTCCCGGTCGGAAGAGCTCGAGGAACTTTCAATCATACGAATTGGGCAGTTTGCTTACGGTACGTTCTCAGCTGCGTCAGCGACTGACACAATCATTGCAAGCGACATCTCGCCGTGCCTGTGCATTACACCTCACAGGATTGGACCCATAGCTGGGGGTACCTTCTATACCATCACCGTCTGAGCTCTCGACAAGCTGGATCATTCAGCATGTCATTCGGTATCTCCACTACTACTTTGAAATAGTAGCAAGTCGGTCAGGTGCTCGTTGGTTGGCAAAATTGACGGTTGGCACGCACCCTATTTGATGCATTTATATGGGAAGGCTGTCAAAATGCGTCGGACATTGTAGCCACCGACGTCCCGTGCTCCCCGTGAGGCGTTGGCAGTTGTGATTTTTGAACTGGAAGTCGGCCTATGCAGGCATACTGCGAGCGCACGTTGTGAATATGGTCATGGGAACATGCATGGGCTCTGCATCTCTTATATATGTCGTATTTTGCATCCGTGCGAGCATCATGGGCCCTTCCAGATTTTGACAAGGTTCCTGACCTTCTCCGTTCATAGAACTATCACAAGAAACTTCGATGATGCAGGGTTTGCGGAAAATCTCTTTGATGAGCAAGTTCTTACGAGCGATCAACTTCAGCCGAGCGCATCAACGCGGCAGAAGAGCGTCCGAATGGATACCCGCGAGAACGCGACAAGCTGCTCATTTCCATTGCTAGCCGCTCTGCTTGGCTCGCGTCTTGACCAGGGAAAACCGCGGCGTCAACGAGGCGCCTTCACAGAGGCGCATTCTAGGCGGTGCGACGTTGATAGGGCCTCCCCGAGCGACGGTACTCCGAGCGCCGATGTCGCATGCGTGCACGTCCCTTACTGCAGACTTTTTCCCCCGAGGTCGGAGATCATCGGGCAAGAAGATAGGGATCAACTCGTGTGTGCGCAGATTCTTTGATGACAGAGCTTTACACCGCCGGTGGCTACCAGTTTATGATAGGCGCAACAGGAAACGGTGGAGGTAAGTATTTCCAATTTGAATTGTCACTCTTCTCTGATGCAGACGTAGGCAACCCATCGTAGATTCATCGGCTACTTAAGGAATTACCATTGTCGCATGTTTCATCTGCTTTGCCTCACGTGGTAGAGCAGGACAAAGTAACGCAAGGTATATAGCTTCCTCATTACACATGGAAGAGCTGCGGTGATACTATAATACAATGCTACATCGATGGGGAAAACCTAGTCCACAAAGAAATCCTGCTACAGATCTCGTAGAACTACCGCTTCTTCAGCGCCTCGAAGCGCTTTGTCAATGCTTCAAACCCGTCTTCAACGGGCGAGGGAGGTGTTGAGGGCTTGGCCGTCTTGTCCTCGGAGACACTGCGATCTTCCGCCGGCGGAATGTCTGGCAATTTTGGAGTTCGCATGCCCGCACTCCTTGCCTCCGCCGAGATCGTCGCCGCCTTTACTGGTACGGGCGACTCAAGCGTCTCCTCCTCGGGCTCGGCGATCTATAAACTCGTCAGAGAGACTCGCGCTGAGGACGTTTCGAGACATCGTTCACATACCTTAACTCCGCCCTCTCCGCTGTCGTCGTTGCCGCCGCTGGATGGCGTGGGGAGTGACCACTTCACCCCGTAGCCTTTAGCTATTTCTGCCAAGTAGGCATCTACCAGAGAAGGCGACGGAGTAGCAATAACGAGCTTCTTCGCGACCTTTAGAGGGATACGATCGCGCATTAACGGGCTTCGCCACAAGCATCTCATGGGATACTCACACGATCACTGACGCATCCGTCACGGTTCTCCATTACGGCAATTGCGAAATCCCGCCCATACTTGTGCATCAACATGTCTCGCAAAGTGTGCAATTCTAGATTATCATGTCAGCGGTTAGACTTCCGGTGGCACGACAGCGCATGCCTTTCAGTTCTGTGTGAGGGGCCGCATATATGATGCTGCACACGCCTTCGCTGACTCCCGGGTCCGGTTCTGCAGTGCTTCATATGTTGATTGACAGCAGGTCTAGAAGAGTTCTTCGGGTAACAAGGCGGTACACTCACTTCTGATCTAGAAGTCCGAACCGTGCATGCAGCAATTCGCAATACAGCTCCAGCAGTTCCAGAAGCTCGACGTATATATCTTCGTGTATAACTGATCCCGTGAGAACCTCGTGAAGCTTGAGACTTGACGATGAGCGGCGGATGCGACTCACTGTTCTCAACCTTGATTCTGGCCGTTTCGAGCTTTCCTTTCTCCAGAAGTACTGCGATGTCGCGCCTGGAGGCCTTGGCTTGTGCTCCTTTCTTCTCTTGCAAAGTACGTAGCCTCTGTACCGCCATCCTGCACAGTGTCAATGTCGATCAGGTTGCCCACAGAAATGACCTCCTGTACCGTAGCTGGACCTGTTTCCAAAGTCGCTGTCAAGCTCACTATGCTCGCTGGAGGAGTTATGGTTGCCTTGCCTTGGCTTTAGCTGAGACCCATGGTGCCATCGCTGAAAGTCGGGATGTGGAACGGTGTTGCTATGTCGTAGCGACTTCCGCAGAGTCTCAGACGCTCATCCCTGATCGTGATCGGCTTCAGCTGACGGCCCGCTGCTCCGAGCGAACGATGCGTGTGCAACGGCGCTGCAGTGGCTGCGCGATATTGCAACGGTCAATGTTCGCTGATTCCGTGATTAACAATCTGATACATGACCAGACCGGGGACACGCGGAGAGATACTTGTGTCACAGAGCATCGCGGATGCAAGTATTTTATCCCATCATTACCGTGCAACCTCTGAGGTAATTTATTCATGTCATCCGCTGTCACCAGAATCAACGCAGAGACATTGGTTGAGTTAATGTTCTTTCACAGCCCTCTCAATCATGGTTGGTCGGAAATTCCCGCGGTGCCACTGATGGCTCCCATGTTAATGCGGCCCGGGTAAGAGGTTACGTATGTATGTCTGCTCGCTGCGAATATGCATCGAAGGTATCTCAACTGCGGACATACGCACGCCAACGTTGCTGCTGCTGTGGGACTAGATCAACTACTCATCAACGCCTTCTTGGCCGCAGTCCTGCCGTCTGATCAGCCTTTGTTGCGTTTCATGTCGACATCGGGAATGACTCACGGCCATCCTGCAACTTTGTGGACCTCTCGCACGCTACGCAGCAAACACCGAAATATCCGTGCTTGACATCACTGGTACGTCTCGTATCGGGTTCGCATTTGGGCTTTGTATCGTTAAGCAGACTATATTTCGCATCGGTACCTGCAGTTCGTATAGCCGGGTCGTGAAGCTGATGCCGCCGGGAGGATCAATTTTGGCCACATCATAGCCGTCGGAGTTAGGAGTTCCCTTTAGCAAAAGAGTTCCTTTGGGTATCATCAAGTCCAGGTATACGACGCCTTCAAGTTCATCAAGACGTGATGGAATGGAAGCGCAACTCTTCGTCGTCCACGTACTAGTAACTCCTCCCTTACACTCCTCTCAAACGCGGCTCCTCCAATCCGCACATCGCTCATCGACTGCGCCAAGGAGTGAATTCAAATGGTAGGGTTGATATCGCACGCGTGTAAGCACCGATCAGGTCCCGGCGCACACGCAGACCAAATGTATCGTGTCCGTGATCTCGTCGTTTATCATCATAGTCTTGATGGTTGCAAGGTCCTCAGCTTATCTCATAGGGTCTGGAAGAGGCGACAGAAAGCTCACCGCTGAAGTTGTCGGTCGTGTGGATCTTCTCCATTGTCTCCTCTCGTCGAGCGTGCTGGGTTCCTTTGAAGCTGCTTCATTCGACACTCATTGGCTAGTTTCTTGTTTCCGGATGGAGGCAGTACTTCTATCTCGCACACCGTCTCTCAGACGAGGCGGCCCGCTTCCCCGCCTCTGGATTGACTCTTCGTTGTCCACATATCAGGACTTTCCGTCGTCCAGCTTGCCTTCCACACGTGTCAACGACACAACGTCTATAACAGACCCATCCTCAGGCGTGGACACCTTCTACGTCCTATGCTTGTATGACTTTGAAGCTCAGGATGCAGGCCAGCTGTCTTTCCGGAAGGACGAAGTGTTGGATGTCATCAAGGTTGAAGAAAGTGTGAGTGCGTCATTTAGTTCGCCATGACGTTCGTCTCACGCTTCGAGACAGGGTTGGTGGGCAGCCGTGCGTCCAGGCGAGAGTCAAGCAGGATGGATACCCAAGACGTTCGTCGAGCCCATCTCTGAGAGCGTGGCTGCTAAGCTCCGGGAGGTGAAGGCAGATCCGCCAGTGCATGACGCCACCGCGGCGACCGTATCGCACGATCAACTAGATTTTAGTCCAGAGGTTCCATTGTTTCCTACCACACCTGACGGCGAGAAGCCTGGCCATATGTGGGTGCCGTTATTGGATGGCGATCAGGTCTGTATGATTAGCGTTTGTGTGTTCATATATCAAGAATTCATATCATTGCAGGCGCCGGTCATCAGCCTCTTCGCTGAGTCTGATTCCAAGACAATGCTCACCTCAATCTACAGTCCGATCGTTCCACCTCACGAAGGGGTCGATGGATATCATCTAGATATGGAGTTCACGGTCTCACCCATCAACGAAACCATCCCTGAGCTGGAGCGAAGTTCACTCTCCCCAATAAAAGAACTACATCCACCGCTTCCAGCGATGGACTTCCAAGCCTCCACCAAGGCGAAGCCGACCTTTCAGAAACAGAGGCACTCATCTCCTTCACAGGCGACGATCGCAGATATGACTTTAGCTGATCACACAAGGAGCTATTCAGATCCCATCAGCTCGGCTAATAGCCGCCACCTTCGTCGGCGTCCAGTCTTAATTGAGGATCGCTCCTCCCTCAGGCGGCTATCTACTCTTTTCGAATCGACCAGTCCCGAAGAACTGGACCATATTCTGAGCAGTCCTGACAAGCCTGTGATCATAAACCCTCTGTCTGCTACACCTCTGGATTCGTCGCTTCCTCGAAAGTGCAGTGATCTCGAACGAATCTCTGAGGGCAAGGAGGAGCCGAGACAGCCAGAACAGCACCATGCCGGATCTCATCACAAGCTAAAGCTGTGGAAAGACAACAATGAAGTGGCGGTTCATGAAGACAGCAGCATCACAGCCGGAACGTTTCGGGCTTTGCTAGAATGTCTATCTGCCGATGTGCTTGGTGAGTATACTTGATTACTTGGCGGAGAAGTGACGGTTGACAGCAACTGCACCTAGACGCAGATGTGCACAGACGATTTTGCCGGGTCTTCTTCATGACCATCAAGACCTTCGCTACCCCGGACGAAGTGTTCATATTCCTGCTGAGTCGCTTCTATATGGGCCAGCCATCGATCGCGAACGAGGAGGAGTTGACGCACTGGCGAGAGACGGTGCTTGAGCCGACGCAGAGACGGGTCTTGTCCGTTATCCAGTTGTGGTCCGATGGACACGAGACGATCCGAGACGATCCGCACATCGTACGACGAGTTATCGATTTCTTGAGCTCTGTCCCATCTCGGTACTCGGCTACTGCACGAGGAATGATCTTGTCTCTACAGCGTTTCGTAAGTCCTGTACAATATCATCGCTTGATATGATGTTTGACTTCATTTAGATCTACCCAGCACGCGGGTGCCACTCAATCAAGGCTGCGATAAAGTTCAAGCATTACAAAGATAATTCCGATTTCATACGCATGCACCCTGCTGCTGTGGCTGCACAGCTATCCATATATGTGCACGGGCTGTACACCAAAATTCGTCCACAGGAATGCCTCGCCCTGACAATTCGGAAGATATCTAATCATCCTTCATTCCTTGATGCTTTCCGGACAGTCCACGACAAATTGTCAGCATGGGTGAAAGATGCTATCCTCGATGCAACAACATCCAAGAAAGCAGCCGATGCTTTGCATTTCTGGCTGCAAGTTTTGGAGGTGAGCCCTGAAGAGCGTTTCGTCAGAATAGCAGATTGACGCCATGTGTCCAGGAGTGCAAGTTGCTGAACAATTTCTCCTCGATGTCTGCTGTAGCTGCTGGGCTCTACGACCCAGCAATATCTTCAATGCAATCCACATGGGCGCAAGTACCGCGAGATGCGCATCTAAATGCTCTCGAAGCATTCAAGGCTCTCGCTGCAGATTTCGCTGCGTACCAACGTTTCCAGGACTCCATCAACGAGCCTTGCGTACCCCACGTGGAGCTATATCTCAAGAAGATTTCCAGAATTCACTCAGCCTATCCTGACAACGTGTTGTCGCCCGACGGAAGGACATCTTTCATCAATTTCGCGAAGCGCGAGAAGTTACACGGTACTGTGCATGCCATGATGCGCTACCAAACGTGTTCGTATCCTTTCGCCGACGACGCCTTTGCCATGGAATGTATCGAAATGCGGCTAGGGAGATCATGATGCGAGACGAGCTTGCCTAAACTCCGAATTCTCACGACTTGGGGCGGGTCGGAGAGGCGGGGTATTGCAGAAGAGGAGTGGCTCTACTCTGGACTGTGTGTGTAATTTATCTCTGCTTCTTGGGTTGTTTCTGTCAACAGCAGCTTCAAAGGACTTTTCTGATATCCATTGCATCGCCATATCGTGCACGAACGCGGCTTGCAGGCATGCCTCTTTTGTTATCCACGTGCACATGCTGTCATGGCCTGATTCTCTGTAATGGCTGGAAGGGACGATGTATTGCAGTACACGGAAGTCCATATATTACTGAGGATGTCAGGACACCACATATAGTACAGAAAGTGAGAGATGAGAAAGGATGAAAGAAGAGCCTCTAGCAAAGCAGACAACACGCTGAGGGAATCACAAACATATGAAGGCGCCTAATCCATAAGCATGAGGAGAGGCATGCACAGGACGTTGCGCCTGTTGCGAGGTAAGAGCAAAGGCGCTCAGCAATTGCATGGCTCGTTCTGCCCAGTTACTGCACCCGCTTGCTTATTGAGATCGACTCCTGCTCTTGCTGAGGAGCCGGACCTGCCACCTCTTGCAGCCGCAGGAGCAGTCTGCGGAAGCTTCTTGGCTACACGCAGAGAGATATCAGAGACCACAAACCGCAGAGCGACAGAAGGGAAGACCAACCAATCGCAGTGAAGATCTCCTGCACACCCTCGCCAGTCTTCGCACTAGTCTCAGCCCACATCAGGCCTTCCTCTTCTGCATACTTCTGCGCCTCTTCCTGTGTGACTTGGCGACGAGCAGCAAGGTCAGCCTTGTTTCCGCAGAGCGCAATGACTATTGATGGATCAGCTTGACGCTGTAGTTCGCGAATCCAGGACTTCGCCTTCTCGAGAGAGGCTACTTGAGTGATGTCATAGACTACCACTGCGCAGTTGGCATTCCGGTAGTACATTGGAGCCTTTCTAAGCGTGAATGAGAGGGAACTGGAGAATATGGAGCGAAAACACATACAAGGGACTAGGAGACCGAGTCAGTAATGGACCACATGCGGTGCTCGGATGGACATACCTTGTATCGTTCTTGCCCAGCGGTATCCCTTGCGTGGTGCATGAGAATACGAAGATATGGTGCTACACATAAGTTACATACCATATCTCGAACTTGACTGTCGTCTGATCGTCAAGTGTCACCGTTTGGGTCAGGAACGCAGCTACGTAGCGCAGACCGTCAGCTAAAGCCCAATCTCGCTCGCCACCATTGCCAACGATGCACATACCTCCAATTGTGCTCTCTCGGTAGTCATCGAACTGATCCTTCACGAAACGTAACACCAGGCTATGGGAGGAGTAACTTAGCCCATATGCGAGTACTGTATGACTTGATGCAATACCTGGATTTCCCAACGGCAGACTCGCCTGGGCACAAATTGTCAGTGCGCTGCTGTATCTGCGTCGCTGCTGGCGCACTCACCGAGAAGAACAAGCTTGAACTGCAGCTGCTTAGACATGGAGAATACAGAAATGAGGTCCGGACAGGCGCAGCGGCCGTCATGGGGGCTCCGCTCACAGGACCTGCCAGAAAAGGACACATTTCCCACGGTGTTATGCCGGCATAAAGCGACTAAATTTTGGTTGTACAGCTCTGTCTGCTGGCTATCATCATCGCCTCGTCGCCACGTCTTATTGCTGTCCTCTGGGTTGCACAACCTCGGCTGCTTTGTTCTCGAAGTGAGGCCTTGTCAAACGAGCTGACTGCAGAGTCGGGAGCAATACCTCGTCTGAGCTAAGCTTTGTCTCATCCGTGCCTCCAACGACCGCCACTCGATCCATACAACGTTGAGAAACATGAATCGTCACCATCCATACGGAGCTCCATACGAAAATCAGTTACCGCGTAGAGGCGGCCCACCGAACGGTTTTGGCCCAGACCGAACACACCGTTTTAGTGACAGGGGTGGCGGACCCCGTGGAAGGGGATTCGGTCGTGGCCGCGGCGGCGGCGGTGGTGGAAGAGGAGGAAGTAGTGCATATGGGGGTTACGACAGCAACGTCGGCCCTTATGATCAAGGTCCCCCGCAAGGCGATATGGGAGGATACAACAATTACGAGTCCGGACCTCCTGCGCAAGATCAGTTTTATCAAAATGGAAATTTCAATACGGCAGTACCAGGGCAGTATGGTCCTCCTGCAGACACATCAGGGCGGTTTGGCGGTCAGAGTTATGGAAATTTTGAAGGTGCGCTAGGAAACGTCACATTGAACATAGCAGGTCAGCCGTGAGGCTCGCCGGATCAAAAGCATCTTGAGTGTGCCGTCAACTCTGAGCGAAGGACTATCTCGCGCTGCGATGTGAGCTCTCAGGAACGACACACGCTGGTCCGTTCTCGGAATGTCTCGCTCGGAACCATTGACTTAGTGTCAATCGCATATTGCTGCGGTGCTATTGAATAAGTCCACAGCGCCGTTGAATAGACGCCTCGCAGAATTCGTGTTACTCTGAGCTGCAGTACAGGCGGTCCACGTGCTAAGTTGTCATCTCGCTTCGCTTAAATTTCTTGTCGTTAAATGCATCGATTAACGTTCTCACACACGTCGATTTCTTCTGCTAGACGACTCAGGATCGAATTATGGTCAAGGAGGCTTCGATCGACCGCCTAAGCGGTTCCCTCGTCGTGAAAGAGACGATAAAGTGCACGATACTCTGATTGAAGAGCGTATTCAGCGAGAGCGCCCGTGTCGCACTCTTTTTATTCGTAACATAAAGGCGAGTACTGTATTCACGTCAACAACGCCCTCAGAACGGCTGGGATCTGTCTCTGCATGTGACTTTGACGGACATGAGAGTTGAAGCTGACGAATCACCTTCGTTCCATAGTACGAGACGAATAGTGAAGATGTCCGTCGACTGTTTGAGGAGCATGGAGAGATTCGCACTTTCTTCGACCTGATTGCAAACCGGGGAATGGTCTTCGTGACCTACGTGAGTGGAAATCCCGGTCTTCCTACATAAACCTTACGTTTTCGGCACGCTAGTATGATCTACGTGCAGCAGAACGCGCGAGAGATCGCCTTCAAGGATCGGAGATAAGTGGACGCCCGGTAAGCGCAACAATGTGGTATCGCGTACATAGAATAATCCGAACGTATCGTCTAAGATCGATGTGCACTACTCCCTGCCTCGTGACGATGGCGGTAGAGGAGATAAAGATAAGAATCAAGTGCGTTGCTTTCTACATCGCCGTTTTTTGACGCATAGCAGTTGTTGATATGACGGTTAATTGATATTGTAGCTTCAGGGTACCCTGATTGTTACTTTGCGCAGTTCTGCATCCGGTCAGCCAATCGACGACAACGAAGTGCGCCGGAAGTTCCAACAATTCGGCGACGTCAAGTCTGTGAGGCCGGTAGGCGACCGGACCGAGTACGTGGATTTTGACTTTGTCCTATCCATGGCAGTTTGTAATTTGCTTGCAACAGTCAGCGCTTCGTTGAATTCTATGACACGAGGGTATGTGGTACCATTATAGTATTGGCCGCGGCGCAATCTCACGTCTTCTGGCTGACATACAGGCTTGCGACGAGGCGCATGACCGGCTGCGTCACCAGGGGCTGCAAGACGGTGTTATGGACATCGTATTCGCTTCGGACGACGAGAGTCGAGGTGCATCCCCTAGGTCAGTTGCGCCGCTCTCCGTAAATTGATGAAACTGATATCCGATGTACGGACGCGGCGACAGAGGTTTTGACAGAGGACGTGACTGGGATGAGCATCCGCGTGGTCGTCGCGGAGGTCGCGGAGGGCGTGGCCGGGGCAGGGGAGGCCATGGCGGCGACGATTGGGATCGGAGAGGTGAATGGGGAAGAGATCGCGAACGCGGCGGTCGTTTCGATGACGGATACGGCGGTGGCAGAGGTGGGGGACGAGGCGGCTTCGATGACAGATTTGATAACAGAAGTGTTGGGTTCGGTGGCCCAGGTCCCTCCGGCCCGTCGGGCTATGGAGGCGGCCCAGCAGCTCCTTACGCTCAGCCACTGGCAGCAGCCCAAGTAAGCAACGTTATCCTGTAGAGGGATCTGCTAACGATTCTTTCAAAAGCCCGTCGATGAGCGATTGGAACAGGCTAAGAAAGTTCAACAGGCAAGTCAACTTGTTATCCAGTCTGTTCGTGCTTTTCACGAATCCGTACTTCTCAGTTACTTGCAGCACTAAAACAACCACAGAACGTTCCTGCCGGCGCTTCTAGCAATCCAGCTCCTTCAGCTGCGCCGGGATCGGTGCCTCCGCCCGCAATGCCGCCAATGTCACAGGGAGCACCAGGTGGCAATCCCTATTACTCTTCGCCTGGAATGCCGCCCTTTCCGCCGAATGCAATGCCTCCAGCGTCGAGTACAAATGCATATCCGCCAATGCCTCCTCAACCGTCAACGCCACAACAAGCTCAACCTCCTGCTTCTGCATTGGCAAATCTTCCTCCTAACTTGCTTGCTTTGTTACAGCAGAATACACAGGGCCAGGCTCAACAACAGCCGGTGCAGAGTTCGATGGCACCGCAAATGCCGTACAATATGCCTCCGCAACAAATGATGCCATCCTCTGCAATGCAAGGCATGCCTCCGATGCCTCCGAATGCTGCTCAACCCGGATACCAGCAACTTATGGCCTATTTGGTGGGCACTTTTCGAACTTGCGAAATGCATCGCTGATGGGATTTGTAGCAGTCGCAGAAGCCTCGACAGTGAATAACGATGAATGCTTGCAACGTACGACAGTTTTGGGGCGTATGTTATTGAATCATTTGGCTATGTGGCGAATTATATTTGCTACTTTGTGTTCGCGCTTCAGTCATGTAATCACGTTGGCCTCGCTTTGTCGCCCGCCTATGTCCCCACTTTGAACGCTTTCTGTAATGCTTCGCGGCTCGGCTGACGAGACTCTGCATGTTTGCTTTTCCCTGTCGTTGTTACGCGACGTAGCTACCGTACCACTCGCTGTATCTCAGGTGTAGACGATCGGGGTGGCCAGGGTCCTACACGCGTCCGCCATTCTGCCGCAGAACGCGCCCGACGCGTCTTTCTTATGCCATGCTCAACCTCGCCAATCTCCGTAACCTCCTCTCTCAAGTGCTTGCCTTACCTCACCTCCACACAGCAATCCTCTTTACTCCTCAAGGACACCTCGTCTCCTACGCGGCGGGTGAGGATGAGCCGAAGGATCGCGTTCGTGTGATCGTCGGGTTAGGAGGGGAGATTTGGCGGGAGACGCAGGAGCAGGGGATTGGATATGTTGATAGCGAGGTAAGGCGATGCGTCCATACCCCATTGCTGAATTAAATGTCACGGACTCCTTCATGTACGCGTCAGCTTGGCCGACTGCTAGTCATGTCTGTCGATCCGCAGAATGGTGGCGAGGAAAATGCCGATCCTGTCCTCCTTCTCGCTCTCAACGCGGACGATGCTATATCATGGAATGAGTTGGAGATGAAGGTCTGCAGTAATTTTTCTTTTCACAGGGCCACCTTCTGATATTCGCTAGGCGAGGGAGCTGGCAAAATACCTCGAACAGCCAGTCTCCAGCATGCGCGACCGGCTGGCCGCATCTCCATCTGTGGCGCCGCGCCCCGAACGTGCGCCCCGATGACAATAGACTTCGCGCCCATTGGACAGTTCAACTTGTAACCGTCAACTCGAAACCTGACCAGCTTCTTACAAGCGATAATAATATCCGCTTGTTACGACATTGCTGATGGGTGGGGAGATCTCGCTACGACACCTCTTCCCTGCCAACGGGGCGATGCACTTGCATACATGGTTTCTAGCACAATGTGGTTCCGCAGGCTGAACGATGGAGCGAGGTTCCGGAGGTTGTGAAGTTGTGCGAGTTGTAGGGCACTATAGGAGGTCTGCATTGATGCTACGTTGTGTACAGTACTGTATAATTTAGTAGACAACCGAATGTAGACTATGATGATGTGGAAATACAGACAATGCCGAGGTGCCCTGGACACATACGCGTACATGCGCATCATCTCCCATACGCGAAGCCGGCCGAGAATTCCTAACAAATTCCCCAAAGGACTCGCGACAGCGCCCGACGCGTTCTGCTCAACCGTTTGCCTCCTTCCTGCTCGGCCACTGCCTACCGACGCTTAGCGTCCCTGCTGGTCATGAGACGCTGTTCTGTCGCGGGCGTGCGCGTCGCTTCTCATGTTTTAGGTGCAGTGCGAACGTATTCGATCACGCGAGTTTGCCGAAAATATAATGGACACGCTCAACAAACGAGGTCCTTCCCTGCACAAGCCGCGGTTACACCACAGGCCGAACGCGATTTCGCCGCTCCTCCGTCGCCTCTGTCTCCTACGGCACCCACACGCCCTGATCCATACACGTTGCTTGCGCCCCAACTCGCACAACTGCGAGAAACACTACTAAGTCTGCTCGGCTCTGCGCATCCCGGCCTCAGCGAAATTGCCAAGTACTACTTCCTGCATCCCTCAAAACAGCTTCGGCCACTGCTGGTCCTCCTTTTTGCACAGGCTACCAATGGATTGGGGGGCGGCTGGTATCTCAAGAAATGGGCAGCAGAGTGCGAGGGTGCCGGTGGTCGGACAGAGGAGTTGGACAAGCCGTTAACGCGGGCAGACGTCTTGAACGACTGGAATCCAAATATGCCAGACCACACTGCGTCATTCGAGACGTCGTTTAGCCTCCGACCACCAAGACCTCCGCATCAGCCACCCTTGCCACCACCCGTACCATCGGCGAATGATGTCTCAACATTGTCTTTCCCGCCATCGTTACTGCCCACCCAGATCCGGCTTGCACAAATTGTGGAGATGATACATGTGGCCTCGCTGCTGCACGACGATGTCATCGACTCTTCGCCTCTACGCCGAGGTGTTCCCTCAGCCCCCGCTGCGTTCGGGAACAAGCTCTCAATTCTTGCCGGGGATTTCTTGCTTGGACGCACAAGCGCTGCGCTATCACGGCTAGGAGACAACGAGGTCGTCGAACTAATAGCCAGTGTGATCGCCAACCTCGTCGAAGGCGAGATCCTGCAGCTGAAATCCGTGCATGCCGAGGAACTCGGGATTGCAGGCGAGCCAACTGTGGGTAAAGAAAGCTTCAATCTCTACCTACAGAAGACGTACTTGAAGACGGCCAGTTTAATGGCAAAGGGAGCACGGGCAGCGGTAGTGCTCGGTGGATGCAAAGATGGCGAAATCTGGAAAGAGATTGCCTATGCATACGGCCGCAACCTCGGCATTGCCTTCCAGGTACGTGGAATTTGGGTTTCCTGATTATTGCGCCCTGAATGAACATGCGCACACAGCTTGTGGACGATATCTTGGACTATGAATCTGGGGAAGCCACATTGGGCAAGCCAGGAGGAGCCGATTTGCAATTGGGGCTGGCCACAGGACCAGCCTTGTTTGCGTGGGAGGAGCACCCCGAAATGGGACCCCTCATCAAGCGCAAATTCCAGCAAGATGGCGACGTCGAGCTTGTAAGTGTCTATGTGTCCTATCTTATCGGAGCGCACTAGCCTCATAGTATTCGGCTCTCCTCCGCAGGCAAGGGATCTTGTGCGCCGATCGTCCGGTGTCGAGCGCACGCGCGATCTGGCGAGAACGCATGCAGACAAGGCGCGAGAGGTGATTGCGCTGTTACCAGACAGCGAGGCAAAGGGCGCGCTTGAGGTGTTGACAGAGCGGGTGGTCAAACGGACGTGGTGATGAGACACTCCTGACGGTATCTTGCACGGTGATAATGCACCGACGATGTACTGCTTGCCGGTGTGAATTCCATGGTCCCGGGCGTGTTTGCCTGCCTCTCCAATATTTCGCGAGCGTCCCTCCTGTGTTACAGAATGTCACGATGCTGGCCACTCGCTGAGCGGTGTCCGAGGGTCTGCCTCAAGGTAAACAGTGATGCCATTGAGGCCACACGCGTCGATCGCTTGTTCAACTTTCGCATCCACGACTACAAAGCTTCAAGCTCAGGCTTCGGAGCTTTAAGGTCTTATTCAGGTCAAGACATTAGCGTAGGCAAGATTGATCAATTTTAAACGACAATGGCAAGAGCACCTACTTACGGGGAAACACCTATCCTCCCAAAACGCCGTCCAATGCCAGCCGGTGAAATCATGGACGGCTCGAACAATCTCAACCGACGCGGCAGATGTTCCATTCCGAGGACCAACATGATGTTATCTGCTCCCGGTACTCGCAAGCGCGTCAACCCCGACAGTCTGGCAGCGCGGCTTGGTCCAGAACTGGTGAAAGAGCTCGAAGCTTTGCTCGAGCCTGGAATGACAGAGATGCCTCCCTTCTCGGTCCGTCAAGCGATTCAAAAGCGATACAACATCGACCGACGACATGTCTACGATTGGTTTCATAGCAAGGGGCTTCGGGTGACCAAGGACCGTTCCCTGGAGGATGAGAGCAGGACGAGTTCCCTGGAGCCTCAAGTAACGAATCATAGCGTATATGATGATTTTTAGCAGCTGACTAGTGATTTCAGAGGACCGTGTATCGTTGCCTCACCCCTGCTTCTACTCCGTCCATGTCATCTTGCGGTACCAGCTATGGAGATACAAGCAGCGACGTCTCGACTCCGAATATGCTCTTGACTCCCGTCAGCAGTGTGGACGCTCACGATGTATTTGCCACTGGAGCTGGTTCCTACCAAGCCGAAGCTAAGTCTGCTGAACATCGACTATATGCGCCTTCTTTTCACCGCAATGGCCACTATGATGATCTGCTAGCCATGAACCTTATTGCCACTCCTGGTCTCACCCCTGGCAACCTCTGGGATCAGGATGTCTTCTGCGCCGAGCATAAATTGATTCCACAAACCGAAACCGAAATCCAGGGCACTGGCGCGAATACTCTACCCGCCGAAACAACATTTGCTTTCGACGGACGAAGCCTCTCGCAAGCCGAGCGCGAGGCGATATATGATAGTCTCTCTTCTGTTCTGGGTCCAGCATGCGGCATTCAAGAATCTGTGGGCACCTACAAGGCTTTCATGATGAAGCAAACCGAGCTGTACTATGAGCGCCTTCTGTCTGGTGATATTTCCCCATCTATGTGCCTGGAACCTCTTGAGAACTCCTTGTTGTATGTGGACCCGTCGCCTTCGCCAGGAGCTACTTCTTGCTTTTCTGGCTACGAAACACAACCGCACGAGCAGAACCTCGTGCCTCTTGTACCCTCGACTCCGCAAGATCTCACGTACTACAGCTGGCTTCTCTATGGAGGGCACTCGTATCCACCAAGTCTACTTTCCGCTTTTTCTCCGGTGTCCAACGCGCGGTCTGACACCACCATGGAAATCTCGAGGTCTGACCTTGCGCTGGACATCACTGAAATTCTGTCAAGCCCGGTGCTAGAGCCACCGCTGACTTCCGAGCATGGAAACACGCTCAACCACAATAGTGCGCCCGACCGGCACTTTGGCCAGGGTGTACTATACGAGATGATTCCCGGCTACGAAGCACTCGGTTTCTCTGTCGCGCCTGTCTATCGTCCGATGGTACTCCACCACATGCAATCCGGCCGCGATGAACACGTCATCCAATATGCACACCTTCCGATGGCAGCTATGACGGCGCGGGATCGCGTTGAAGCATCTTTGACCTTACAAAGTGCTAAGGCCGCACAGGGCTTGGAGAAGACGGTCCAGGACAAGAACAGAAGTAAACCCAAGGGCAAGAACCGCGTAGGAGGGCGCCAGCGGAAACGTTCGAGCGTTGAATGCATCGGCGGCAAAAAGTAAAAATATCAATCGTCGTTGAGCGCGTCTTCCTTATCTCCGTACCCTGCCTCTGATTCATGTTCAAGCTCGGAGATTCGTAATGTCATAGTCACGTCTCCTTAGGTGCACAAGAACTTCCCTGCTAGACTGCCTGTGGCTTCTACCTTGTTTGTCCGTCCCCTTCAAACCATCCTTAGCGCTGAGCGGCTTTTTTTTGTTGTCCTCCCAATCCCATTGTTTGATGTATCTTTGACCCTCCGAGCCCGAGTATTGCACGTCACGACGTCCTTATGATCCGATCCGTTGGTCCCCGTATGTTATTACTACGCCTCTTTGTCATAGGTTTGTCCGATCATGCGAACACAGCTTCATCGCTATGACTAGCTATATTCCCAGCTGGTCAAAGTCTCCGTCAGCCCGGGACACCGCGTGAACATTCCCATGTCATCTCCGGATTCGCGCATTCGCTGCTTGCGGTTTGTCGGCCGCGCTATCGGTGAAGGTGGGCTGACTTCGTGAGCAAAAGCTCGTTAGAGCACCCGCTCCATTGTCCCGATTAATTAACGCCAACCCGCCGTAGCCTTCGTATTTGATCAGTGTGTACGCCCAGAAGACCGACAAAGATGCCCACTAGACTATAGGCAGAATGTTGCACTGCTCAGCCTCGATGACATAAACCCATGAACAGCGCATACTGTCATCTCGTTGTCATGGATGACATTCACAGGGTCAACTTTGACCGATTCGAACGTTCCAACGGCCGGGAAGCTCGGAGCTGTCCAGTATGAGATAACGAATATGAAAGCACAAAGGCAAGGGCCGGCATGACGGAAATAGAGCACTTTTGCAGGAACAATCATCAGAAATAACGGAGGATGATTGCTGAATACTCAGCATGAAGGATGCGACATCAATGCGATATATGCCCGCGTTGTTAATTGGAGAATAATGAACGGCACGATGCACACTGTCTGTATATGCACGGATAGTATCTCATGACCCGCTTCATGCTGGGTATTATTTAGGACCGACGGAGGGACCATGTGCAGTGCCGATGCGCAAAGGTTCCGTATGAGCGGAGTGTCGACAGGGATGGGAGCCGGAAGGATGCGCAAAGTCTGGCTGACGCAGCATGTTCAGCGCGTTCGTAAGACGTACGTGCAGGAACGTTCTTCCGCGGACATTACAGCGTCTGTAGTTAGTCAATCCGAACTCGATGGTTGGACGGCTCGAGGGTTATGCCATCTTGCTCATTCATCCGTCCTGTTGGCCTCACCATCCATACTCGGATATCTGTGTCTTTAGTTCCGTGACAGTCCAACTGCATCCTGTATGACAGATAGAAGTGACGGGCCACATTAGTAATTGATGGCGGTATCACTCACAGCTTGAAAGATCATGATATTCCCCAATATGCGCATAACCTCCGTTAGCATTTGATTCCACATCGTTGTCCAGAACCGCGATATGTGCAGGTTATCGCAACTTGCCCGAAGTTTGGCAGCCGCATCCGCATGGCCACCAAGGCTTCTATGTCCACCGCCAGCATCGCGAGCGTTCTGCGGATAGAGTTTAACAAATGGCACAGCATGATAGAGCGAGATATGGCCCTTCTGTGTTCGGAGCATCTCGTCGCAACGTTCCGGTGAAACAGCGAGATGAAGAAGACCGTAAGACATATGGGAAGTCGCTTTCCAACAGCTCGGAGTATACTTGCAGTGATCGTCTGGAGCCCACAACAGGTAACGATGCAAGGAAGCGATGATGTAAGGTCCGCGGTTTCGCTTATCGGCAACTCCGGATATCGGTAGTGGTCGTTGCAGAGCACTCTTGTCGAACGTTGCGGCCGCCGTTCCATCTCATACCTGGCTCTCGTAAGTGCACCGCCTGTGTGTGATTGTGTTGTGATACGGCCTGATGTTAGTGATCGCTTTCAGACCGAATGATGCGCCGATGCCGTCAGCTCAGGGAGTCAAACAACAGCTTGGGCTGATGATGATCCAGATAGATACAAGTGTCGTTTCAGCCGTTGCATAAGTGAATACGTGGCAACGCGCCTTGTGGTAACGAGCGTATCTTGCCGAACACGCATCGACGCTCAGCGAAGACACACCTAGCCTGATCATCCTCGGGTTACGGTACAGAACCAACGAACAACGCTATTTGTGTCATAGCATCATCAGCGGCCGCGTCTCACCTTCGCATGCGAGATTGTCGCTTGACCCATCCTGGCAACACTTCGCCGGGGAGCAGGTCCCGTATCTCTATGGCCCGCCTCAAGGTCTGCGCGTTGTGGGTTAGCGAGGGTACGAATCGCAGCGTGCATGCTAAGGATGCTTTACCTGGATCAAACTCCGGGAAACGAGGCCTCGCTGACGCCCACAACGTCGCCGATCAGCCTAGCCGAAATCTAGCCGACGTTTGGCGAATGCAATCGACGATAGCGCCAGGGCGCATGGAGAGGAAGCGGTGTTGAATGCTTGAAGCGGGCTATTGACTTCGCCACATGGTGCTGCACTTGGGCTGAGGATGACAATCTGAGAACGACTTCGTATGAATGGAACGTTGCAATTGACTAAAGATATCTCAAGAATAACATATGTTGCCCGCTGGCATGGTGCTGATCGACTATTTGAAACGCATGTTGCGATGGTTTCTTGAGGTTTGCACTCGTGTAGAGCTCTGCGAGTGGGCGTTATCGCTCTGAACCACCCTCCTTTCGCTATCGCCGTTGGTGCATGGCTTGAACCCTGCCAAGTCCGCTCAATTTGGTAGCGAAGTGAAGCGGCATTACAGGGTTGCGTGGAGGGTGTTGTACTGGATGAGGTCTGAATCCTAGTCTTCTCTTCGAGAACTTGAGCTTGCGGGATGTAGGGCCGGAGGCCTGCAATCCAGACCATCGAAGCACTCGAGATGGGATTTCCAATAAAATTCGAGAACTATCCTAGGCGTCATCAAAGCAGCAGTATTGTGGTGCTTATATTGACCACATGATGGTAAGAAGCATTTTGATTCACCACGCAGTACGTACATGCTGCTAACTCTCTGCCGCGACGGCATGGGAGCACTCCTGGAGTAAGAACTGCCGACGCCTGGGACGGGCGCATTCGGAGAGGTGCGAAGATGGGTAAGAAGCAAACAAAGCTTAGGGATCAGCCGATTACCACCGCCCAATGCTTGCGAAATGCCCACGAGAAAGCCCCTCCTCCTGATGCTGAGCCAAGGTCTCGTTATCCGGGTGAACAGACCGAGGGGACAGATTTGTGTGGCTGATAGAAACGCGGATAGCGCACGACGGTAGACACACCGCACAGCGGCGCTCAGAAATCTATTAGCAGGTGACCTCCACATTGCTCGATGGCCAGCGTTCAAGAGTCAAGGAGTGCCGGTTCCGGAAGATGAGAGTCAACTTACAGAACATATTAAACGCTTCATTACCATCTCCGCTTGAGCTCAGGAACATAGTGGTCACGAACTTTATTGACTAGCGTGAGAGGGAAGATACACCGAAAACATGCGTCAAGTAAGTAATGCTCAGCCGGCACGCCGCACAGAAAGCGGGGTGAGGGCAACGTCCTTGCTAGCTCGACGGATGAGTGCTGGAGGGCGGGTGGCCTGGCAGCGCATGGAAGAGGGAAATAACCATCGACAGTAATTCCCTTATCGACCAATTAACAGCCGATGAATAAGCGGGAAGTCTGGGGAAATAAGGAGGACGTTCGGTGGCCAAGTAGTGGCTGCAACTCTCGCCCGTCCTCCCGCTGATCTCCCCCGCTTTCCTTTGCTAGCCCACTCGGATACTCTGACCTGCTCTGCAGTGTTCCGATACACCACCTCGAGGCATGCATGAGATTCTGCTATCGCGTGGCCTAGGATACATCACCGCCGTCGCTGATTTCTCACAGCGGGTCAATCAACAGGTATACCTTTCTTCTTACTGCTTCATATCCCTTTCTGACAGCTTGGTTGCGCAGACACCGCAACCGCCGTCCACCGTTGCTCATCCAACCGCGAAACCCCGCGGCCGCTCTAGAGACGTGTCTCCGGTTGCTGTTGCTGGCAAAGCGAGCGAGCAAGTGATCCGAGCGCACATATCCGTTTCCGTAGTAAAGCAATCTAAACCACGGAAGGATCTGCTCTCGTGCGACGCGTACACCGCATTGCCTTGCACGCGTTCCTTTCCAACAACCATGCATCATCAGTCCAACCTGTGCTTGGCCACTACAGGACCGCTGGTGGCCTCACCAACCTCGCTGCCACTGTCTACGTCCACATCACCATTATTAGTCTCACCTTCGCCCCTTGATCCTGTCATGCCACGTACTCAGTCATCCACTACCATTACTTCGCAGTCTTCCGAACCCACTCCGCTTGGTCCCTTAACCCCGCCTGAGGGTGTATCCATGCCTCTAGACTACTATGAGAGGCCCCCGTCCCCCCCACGTACCCTGAAGGATCAGATGCAGGTCGCATATGCGCTTGATGACATGCATCTCGCGAAGGTCCTCTACCTGAAGCTACAAGGCATTGAGGTGACGGGCGACGATGACCCGCGTATTGACGAAGTCCAAGACGAGGATTTTGCAACTTCATTCGTGCCTTCTGGTTGTCTAGTTTTGGATGAAGAGGATGAACGTCGATGTCGCGAGGCTGAGAGGAGAGAGATGGAGCGGCTTCGGGTTTTAAGAAGAGAGGAGAGGCTGCGAGCACTAGAGAGGCTGTGGGAGGAGAGTGCAAGGCAACACAGGGAGGCCAGGTTGAAGATTGCTAGGAAGAAGGATGAGCAGGCACGGCAGCGGCGGAGAGAGGAGCGGGAGGCGAGAGAAAGAGAGAGGGAGAGGGAGGCGAGAGAACGCGAGGAGCAGATTCAGCGGTATACGAGGCCCATCAGAGCCTACTCACTGACGCAGCGCCCTCTTCTCGACTACAGCACCATACCTACCGACCGAACCCCGAAGCGTCGCGCGCCCACTCCATCTGACGAAGATGACTCCCAATACTCGCTAATGCCATACTTCATCCCCCGCCATTCTTCATTGTCGCACAGGTCTCCTGCGTCAGACAAGGACAATCTTACACTGTCCCGGTTCCAGCGAGAGTTGGCCCTTGAGGCCGAGCAGAGCTGTAGCTCTCGCGTCCGCTTTGCGGAGGTCATCAAGTGCCTGAACGGTCCCTTGTTCCCTTGCGATTCCAGATCGGACTTGCAAGCGCAGAGGAAACTCCGCCGCTTCCAGCGAGAGCTGTTCGACATCCTGGTCGAGCCTGTGGAGTACCGTGACGGTGAGCGCATGGGGACGGGAAAGCAACAAGAAGACATTCGTCCCAGGCGGACTGGCTTGCCGAGGGTTGGGACGACGCCAGCCTGTGCGGCATGCTCGCTCAGTTCCGAATCTGCTTCTGGGTCTACTGGTACTTCCGGCGCGTCCTCGTCTGCATCGGCCATCGTTCGACGGAATTCCTGGTTTTCTTTTGGAGGCCACAGCTCTCGCTCATCCATATCCACCACCGTCACTACGCCGTCCTCTTCGCTTGCATCGTCCAAGTCCCCGACAAGCTCGCCGTCGCTTGTCCCATCTATATTCGGCGCTGAACAGGAGATCATTCCCCACACATGCCGCGGTTCGCGGCTGACTCCCGTGCCCGCAAGAGACCACCCGCTCAGCATTGCGCCCACGACTTCCATCAGGCAAAGAGCCGTTGCCTCCCCTGGCGTTACCCGTGGACGCTCGCTGGTACGCAGCCAGTCAGTGCATGAAGCGCCGAACGAGCGTGCAGAGGCCGCGGATAGCAGCAGGCTCGTTCATCGTGTGGGCCGCTCAGTGTCCACTCTGATGGATATGGCGGCGCAGTTCCAGAAGGCATACGTCAAGGCGACACTCTTCAGCGTCGGGCTGGACTTGCCTCGCTCAGAGTCTCGTAGTATCTCTGGCTCACGCTCACCCCCTCGCACGTCTCGCCGTGTTTCCACGCATCCATCGGAGCGGAATGGTAAGCTCAGGCCGGAAGGCTACCGTGCACTCTCCTTCGACGTGAATACCTTCCTGCTGACGGATGACGAGCTGTGCGATCAGCCGCAGTCGAGGCGAACGCTCATCCCGCTCGCCGCGCGAGAGCCGAACACGGTCGTGCAGCACCACCGCGTCTTCCCTGTCCTCGCACAGCCCCCACGTTCGCCCTTCCGCCTTGCTCAGCCTCCACCGGGACCGCGCCTGCGGCCCGTGGCGAACCCGGTGCTGCTGCGCCTGCAGGCGCTGCAGAACGTGTGCGCTGACCGTGCGCTGCCGTGGGAGGGCCGCGCGCGTGAAGGGCGCATGAGTGCGGGCAAGGAGAAGCTGTTGGGCATTGCGTGGGAGGGGATTGGACGCAGTGGGCTCGGATGGGAGGTGCGCGATGTGGTGTGCTAGGCATGGTATGCATATTGCTCTTTATTTCGCATTTTTGCCCGTATAGACGGCTATGCTTATTCTTGCATTTGTACTAATGGACAATCATTGCATGGTATGTTATGCCCTATAAATTACTCGCTAGCCTTGGTCGCTCTCGTCGCGCATCGTAGATATTGTACTTTCATAGGAGCTATACCCGCCCAAGATCGCGTTGTTGTAACCTTCTGTACGTTTATGCCTGTGCAATCACTATCGCCGTCATATTGTCCTTCGTACACTTCATTGTTTGGGAGCGCTCGAAGTGCCATTGGAAACATGGTATAGTTCAACACGAAATAAAGTATGCGAAAAACGCGAAGTTACCATATACTATCACTGACTCAAATCCAACCCACTCTGTGCCTGCCATGGTCTGTCCTGCATCAGCTGATGGTTCGCCGCATCCCACAATGGTCCCGCCCCGCGCCCCCGCTGACCAAACATGGCCGGCCGCCGACCCTGCATCCCACGCATGCCCGGCTGAAACTCTGACCTCTGCATAGGATTGCTCAGTAGAACACTCCCACCAAGCCCAGTGAGAGGTATCGGCTCAAACGTGCCTCCGGTTGGGCGGGCGCCGGCGATCGTCTCAGGGCCGGGTCCGGGGCTCTCTTCTCGTTGAGGGCGGAAGGTCGATGGCCGTCGAGTGAATGTGGACATCTCGCGCGCTTCGTCCTCCAGCCAGCCGTTCGCCTCGGCGGAGGTGCGGTCGATCCCGAGTACCTTGCGGAGCTCCTCGTTCCCTTTCTCTAGACGGGAGATCTCGCTTTCACGCTCGATTGCCCAGTCGTCGTGCCCGAGGAGGTCTTCGAGGAAGTCGTCTTCGTGGGGCGCGTCCCCGTTGTCCTCGTGCTGAGTGCCCTCTGAAGTAGATTGTGAGTTGTCGGGTTCACCTCCTAGACTTCGGAAAAGAGCGCGGAGGTTCTCTGATAGCCGCGCCAAGGAATCTGCTACAGCGGTGTTATCGGATAGGTCCGCGTTCATGAGTGATGTCTCCCGGGCAAGGATGAGGCTCTCGTAGTGATGTGTCAATGTAAGCTCATGGCGTTGTGCTGCCAGCTATAAGGGCGGCTTGTATTATCGGATGTGCGCAGGAGTGAACGGGACGTACGGCATGACTGCGAAATTTCGACATGATAGTCTCCATTGTCTGCTCGTACTCCTTGAGCAACAGACTCAATTGCCTGTTCTCTTGAAGTAGCGTGTGATTCTCGATAATGATCTGTGCGTTCGTGCGCTCCACTTCTGACTCGAAGGCCTCTGCTCGGGACGACCATGATTGATACCATCATCGCACGCAAGACGTCAGCCACTCTCACCTTTCGAGATGTCCGTGTTCACGCGCCGCAAGGTGAACCCCGTCGCAGCATGTGCGGACTCATCCTGGATCACTTCGCATGCATGACGACCCGGTAGGTTTACCGAGCGGCAGTGGACGTACCTTCAAAGTCCCGGACTGCGCACGCAACGCCGCCGCCACTTTGTGGTTGTGCGTGTTCTGCTCGCCCAGCTCGTGCAAGAGCTGCAACATTCGCATGAAGTCGCCGTCCATGTCGTGGTACATGCTGGAGGAGCCGTATGACTGTGGGCCTCGACGTTAGGTAGGAGATGCTACGGGCCAGCGGAAGAACTTGCCATGATCATGGTTCTTGGAAGCGAACGTTTCCACAGGCGCGTACGCGTCAAGACGCGTGCAATATCTGCTCTCAGTCAACGTGAGCGACTCTCACATCGCACTCTCATGCATTCACAGGTTCGTATCCGTGCACTTCATACGGTTCGTTTAATGCTCTGATTTGCAGAACTCGAAAGCACCAGGTCCGAAATCGGCATGTACATGCGAATCCCTCGGGTGAGTAAGGCAGAATTTACAAGGCTTGCTTTATTCGACATACTGCAGAGTCCCAACGGTACGTCCGTGAACCTTATCGAATTATGAACGACCTCCAAGAACATGATATAAGCTTGCGACATGCTTAGAGGAAATGTATGGAATTTCTGTCCATTTGTAAGTGGATGGTGGCGTGGGAAGTTCGTCGGGTTGCGCAAGTGACGGTGCACTCGGTCGTCGGCGGTCGCCTTGCCAGTGTTCTGCTTTCTCCCCTCAACCGTCTCGTGGCTATCTCACTTTTGTACAACACCATTCGTTCCCCCCGCAAAACCTCCCGGTCCCGCATTACATATACGTTCATCGTTTAAACTTTCGCCGCCTCCCCACAAAGCCGCCAGCTAACGCCCGCCACCTCACAATACATCGCTCGACCCGCTCGCAACCGCTAACTTGCCTTCCATTTTGTCGCCATGGCGTCCTCGCTGTCTCAGCTGTCCGCTTGCGTTACGCGTATCCTGTCTCTGACGGGTTTCCCGAAGGAACTCAAAACCAAGGACATTCAAGCCGCCTTTTCTGAATGGGAGAATGTAAATGGCGGGTTCAAGATCAAGTGGATTGACGATACGAGCCTGTTGATCGTTTTCAATGATGCTACTGCCGGTGAGTACATGCTTTGCGGCGCACGTTGGTCGCGAGACTCTTGTTCCACGCGCCATGACTCCTAAACTGCTTACTGAGTCGATCTGCAACGCAGCCAAACGTGCTTATCTTCACACTCTCGCTTTCCCGCCCGCCATCTTTGCCAACCCTAATTCTACGCAAACTGCTACGATCAAACCGTATGACGGACCCGATGCACAGGCTGTCATCCAGAACGTCAATTCCCGCCAGCACACTACCGGACGAGGCCATAATGTCCGCAACTCTGTGTCGCACGGACGCGGTCTCTCCATGAGCAACGCTCACCGAGGAGCTCCCGCTAACGCTGCTCACACTGCCGCCGGAAACGGTAACGGTAGCGGCAATGGCTCCCCTCGAGACCGAGACCGTGAGCCGTCACCGACCCTGCCCAATCTCCCATCTCAGCCGACTCTCAACTCGCTCATCTCCTCATCGCTAGGCGGAGGTGTGGCCGTCGATCCGACTGCTGTAGACCCTGCCATCGTGGCGGCGCTGCCGGACCATGGCGCGCCACGGATCGGCGATCCCGGTAAACGCATGCTGGGCGCTGCGCTCGGCGTCAGGCATCCGGGGCTTGGGCCACGCGCTGTGAATGGCGCGTCGACAGGCGGCGTGGAAGTACAGAGGGCTATGGCTGGCCTGGTCATTGCCGAGTGAAGGCATTTTTCCCTGTGGGCTCGGTGGTCACCCGGGGCTGTCGTGGTAGGGTGCTGCCGACGAAAAAGGCCTCCTACTGTGCGGCGGCTTTGCAGTTGCCTCCCTGTCAGAGTCCGGGTACCCGTGCTGCTATGATTGGTTTGCATCTGGTTGGGGATCCGGCGGTGTTGCTACTTCCTCTCGTTTACGTGTTATGCCGCCATCCACCTACACCGTCCGAGTAATAATACTACGGATATGCTCTTTGAGTACGGCTAGCGTTGATCACAGTCTCGTTACCGTAGGCACAGTGGCGCTTGTGGGCCAGGTTCTGTACATAGTATTGTATCTTGCCATCTATGGCATTTTTTTTTCCAAGACATGCAGTCATGCAACTCATCTGATTGAAGCCACTGAACAACCAAACAACCATTATAGCCTCCCCACAGTGATGCGACTGTTTTTCAAGCTTCGATCTCGGAGATGTGTTTACGCCTGGAGGCTACTGCTTGCTGGTCAGACAATGATGTTATCTCATCATGCGCCGACATTCCGCCTAGTGATGATGAAAGCGGCTATGCGAAGATGGCAAACTGCCGCTCGCATAGGTTCATACGCGGCAAACTGATAATAGATGCTGTGAAGCGTCGCAACATAAAGATGAAAACGAGGTGTATGTACGGCAGGGGAAACCTGGCGGACACGCCTCGTGGGTATCACGGTAATGCTCACGAACTGCCAGGGTCACCTACGTACGTAAGTGATCACGCATCAAATTTTTCGTCTTCCTTCAGGCCGGGCTTCTGATCTTTTATGCAAAGGAGTCATCATCATGGCTTCTAAAATTCTCGTCACGGAAGCGTACGATGGGCATCTCGACCTTGAGCTTGAAAGTCGACGTTGACTCGATTTCTGAAATTCTGAATGGTTCGAAGAGCCAGCTGCTTGTTCATGTGGCTTCTGCTGCAGAGCCAAGGCTTCTCACATGATCCCACTTCCGACATTCGCGCAAAACTCAAATGCAGTTGCAATAGTGGTTGGCATTCGAAGCCGCCTTCATCGATAAGCACATTACCGCATTGTTGCAGGCCCCTTCACATTTGCCGAAGAACATGCAAACACGGACCTCGACTAGCGATATCACGAGGCGGGAGCTCTGCCAGGAGGTAAGACTTCAAGAAACACATGGTGAGTTGCTGACGCCGCGTAGTCAATCTAATTCAAACGCGTCGGAAGCTCGCGCGAAACGAGGATACGCGTCGGCGACACGTTGCATTCGAGAAGGGGGGTTGCAGTGCAGTAGCCTAGACCTGACCACACATGCCCATAGTGAGCAGCCTGTGCCTTGCCTGCTTGCTTATTTGTGTACAGAGAAGGGCGAGGGAAGGCGTATATGAATAAATGGAAGTTCAATAGACTGTAACGGAGCTACGCCGGACTCATGGTGCTGTGCCAGATGTTCCTAATAGGTCTTATCCTCTGCGAAGTGAGGCGACTTGCGCAGCGTCCCAATCAAGTCTAACCGGTGGATAGGGTCGAACGTTCGCCGCTGCAGCTCGTTTCATAGGCAGAATTCACGTCCTCAGGTACAAAACAGAAGTCGACGCGTTCTTGTTGATGGTTTCTGATGGCATCATCGGTGTGTACCTGTCCGATCCTGTTGTCCAGCAGAGCAGTTCCAAGCACTCACGAATATCTGTGATCTAGATACGTGTTTGTGTCACCCGTATCTCTGTCTCGTCGGTGAAGCGACGACGCGAGATTTGAACCAGGATGTGTGGACGCGCGTCTACCTAAAAGTTAGAGGCGTTGTCTGAGGCGTCAGATAACCTCTTACCACATAGCCTCTTCCGATCCAGCAGATGCACTTACCATCATCCTGTTATTGCGCAATGCAACTCAATAGTCCCTATCGATATGTGCCAGTGGCTGTGGCGATGACCCGAAACCTGCCGAAGTAGAATGGACGTTCCACAAAAAGTATTGGTCTGACATTCAATCATCTCCTGGCATTCCCAGGCCGCTGCGAGCCCCTATTTGTATGTGTATTCTTCCATACCAAGGTCGATGTTTGTTGCTGGTCTAAAACAAGACCACAGGGATATTACAGCCGTAGAGCTGTCATATGGGCGTATCATTGTCGCACATTGTGTGCGAGCGACCATCAATGCACGGACCTACCTTTGAGCGGCATTCAATGGCCTTAGCGCGATATGGGGAGAAAGATACGTTCAGCCGACAAATCTAGGTTATGCTCGTGGTTTAGCGCATGTTCCAAGTACGAGGCCAACTGGCACCGAGCGTCGCCACGGCGAGGTTCTGATTAGAACGAGATTCGGTCGAGATTGTGCATTGTGTTCACGCTGCATAGCACCATGCAGCGTGCCGCCTTGAGCGGAGACTAGGTTGGAGCATCATTTTGTGTTATCCGGATAGAACAGATTCCCATTAGCAGCACGAAGCTCACTTCATATGATGAAAAATCTCCGCCGCAGCGCCGTCTGATCATGCTCTTTGTTCCGTGTGCTGAGATCCTAGAGCATCGCTATCTTCGTTCGCTACACGCAGGGCGTCCTGTGGACGACAAGTAAGGCATCCTCGCGGCGCCTCCATCCGGCCGTTCGAATTCTATAAGCGCATAGACGCGCGATGACAGGGATGGCATCGCATCGACGAAGTAAGATTTGTGGTGCGCCTAGTGGCAGATATCTGGATATCCGGATAGCCTCGTCGTAATATCCAGCTCCGCCTTGTGGCCACTGACTATTCCGCCCGGAAGCAAATCAAACTCCGCTGTGTAGGCAGTGGCCAGTGCCACTCGCCCCCCCGCACCCCATCCTCGTATACTAACGCACCAATACATGGCTTCAAAGCACCGGCCGACACGAAAGACTGCGCGCGAGGCGCGGACTGGGGCTGTACGACTCTGTACGGGCTGGGGGCGTGGCATTCTCCGGTAGAATCGAGCGGACGCAGCGCTGTCACCGGATAATTAATGATCTGCAGATGAAGTGAGTGGCCCTCGGTTCCCAGACAGCGCTTCGACATCTGCTCCTCGATGGACATGTTCGCAGCTGTATTGTGCAAACGCGTTGCGGTGCACGCATTACACGCGGCATGCGTTTCAACATGCACAGTTCTGCTTCCGTAACCGTCACGTCCGTAGCACAATACCGGCTTGATCTGCCCTGATATGAACCCCAGGCGCCTGATCGCCTGCCTAAAAAATTCAGACGCGACCGCCCTTCTCCGCTTCGGCAGTCTCATTCGCGGATCTGAATTCTCTGTGGTTTCCAAGCTTTGTGCCCTCATCTGTGGCCAGTGCTGATGCCACACTCTGTGGCGAACATGTCATTCCTGATGCATATAAATATAAGCCCCGTCCGTCTAGCTCGCCTCGCACAACCCCTCCCATCCCCTCCTCGCCCTTCATCGACATGTACTCCTCCTTCGACCCAATGTATCCGTCCTCAGTGAGCACCATGTTCCAAATGGAGAAGCGTAGCCTTCAGAGTCCCTCGGGCGAGTGTTACGAGACAACGGCTATCGTCTCCACAAATTCCGTGCAGTTTCAGCCAACTCCGGAGCAATTCTATGGTGTGTGCTTTCTTCGTCGCTAACTACGTCCGACTAAATTTATGTTATAGCTCTCGTAGATGCCTGTACCAAAAACCGTTATGCGGAGCAGTATACCATTGCACCCTCCCAAACCTTCGCCCCACATGCCATGTCCGCGTCGCCATTCGAAAGGTGCTCATCGGGCTCGACGTATAGCTCGTCTTCATCATGCACCCCTTCCTCCGACGGCATCACAACCCCTAGCACGACACCATCTCCGCCAGAGCAGATGTACGAAGACATGATCCTTGATGAGGGGACAATTCAAACGCCATCATTCGCATCAAGCACCGACTTCAACCAGCATCGTGATTTTGGCATCTTGGATGGTGCCTGCTCTGCTCAGTCCTTCTCGGATCTGTCGGCCCAGGTGATGCTAGGTGACCTCAATCACCAAGCCTGCGATGCGGTCTCAGAGATGGATCAGGCAGTATCATACGGGTACTATGACCACCTGACGGCCACAAACCTGGCTTACCCTCAGAGCGATCTTCGGCACGCGTATCCGGACGCCACTGTCGGTTGTATGGCATTGCCTCCCGCAGTACCGTCCTGTGCCACAGAGGCCTACGCGACTGCGATTTCTGGATCACATCAAGCTTTCATTCAAGCACCACCATTATCATCGTATCTCGCGCCGTCATCTGCTTCGCTCCCACAGCCCTCCGCAGAACCAATGCTCGTTCTACATCAGCCGCGTCCTGTACGATCGATTCCCATTGCCTCCTGGACAGATTGTTTGGATCGCTTCCAGAATCAGCCCGAACCAGGAGATGTCGAGAGGCGGACATCTCCAAGCGATGCCGAATGCTCAGGAGGTGATAGTTTATCAGCTTCGGAGATGGGGCAGGAGGAGATGAATGGGTCTTCATTAGAAGAATGCTCTTCGTATGGGGATGGCGTCGAGATGGGCCCGAGTATACGTCTGGGATATGGGACGTACACGCTAGACTCGTCTTCGCTCTTGCATCAACCGGTTTCGGAAGCCGTTCTCCATGGCGCGTATCCAGATACAGAACCAGCGTCTTCGACGTCAGGTGTCGACGACTCGCAGCACTCGCAAGTTCCACAGTGGGTATTTCCCGCCGACCTTTCGTCTGTCCCTGCGTCGGCTCCTTCGCCGACATTTGCAGCGAACCATGAAATGCTCATGAAAGAGACAGCGAGTTGGACCTGGTTCGACGAAATCTTCGTATGATCCATGGCGTTAGAAGGGACGGTGTACGTTGCATCTTATCATTATTCAATTTGCATGTCGGTGTTCAACTTGTACCATTATCATTCATTTATTGTCTTACGTATGCGTTCATTACGGGACATACAATGCGATCCTTGGAATGCAAATACGTGTGTGGGCGAAATCAGATGGCAGTCCATACCCGGGGGAGACGGAAAGCAATCAGACTCCGGAGGCCGGCGTGGGCGTTGCAAGCAGCCTTGTGGCCAGAGCTCAGCGACGATCGGTCAACTGACCAATCGTAATTATTTCTCCTCCGTGATGCGGGGTGCAGCCGACCTGCCCTTCCTCCCCTGTTGGAGTTAAAGTATGCGAGCCTACACGGGGCTTCGCATCTAATAAGATGATGCCCGTGCGACCACCGCTCGTCTCACGGTCGTCCCCACCGTCATCACCGTCATGCTCTCCGCCCTCTCCAGGACCGCCGCAAGAGCGTTGAGCCCACAGGCGCGATGGGATGACTGGAGCAGTTCCCAGGAACCATACGATGCAGAAATCTTGGTGAGTCCTGCGCTGTTGTGACAGGTACTTCTTCGCTGAATGGCGGGCAGTATCTTGACCTGGAGCTGTGCGACGTGCTCAGGCCGCTCCCTGAGATCGCTTGGTCGAAGATCGCGCATTTGTGCTCAAGAACAGTTTCTCCTGCGTATCGGAAGCTACGCGACACGTTCCAAGATGATATGGATCGCCTTGCAGGTATCATGGCAGAACTGGAGCTGAGCTCAGTTGAAGCCGCGGAAGTAAGTCTATTCCCTCAGGCGTTCTTACAGCGCACTGAGCTAATTCGACATGTTCCGTGGATAGCACGCCGCACGTTTCGAGGATGCACCTTTCTGTCATGGCAGAACCTCGTATCTAGAACGGCCGCCCAGCAAAAGACGGAGATCCTCCGCTGCCACGGTAGGCTTTCTGCGTCACATATATCACAATCCCACTTACGTCTCCGCCCTGCAGGACGACAACGCGCCACTGGTGATCCCGGGCTTTGACCCCTCTATACCCACCATCGTCATCACGCCCTGCCCGTCGCAACCCCGGGAAGCCGCCTGCCTCGTGCCCTTCCAGGACGCACAGTTCGGCAACAGACTCACTGTGCCGACGCACCCCGCGCTGAACAGCGCGTTTCCGCCGCAGATGGCGATGCCCGTTCCGCTTGTGGAACACTGGCGGTACGAGGACGGGCACTGGGCAGCCTTGCTGCCACATCCGGAGGAGCAGGTGAAAAGAGGCATGTTCTCGCGGCCGCTGCCGAGTAGGAGGCGCAAGGTGTGCGTGGGGCGTCGCCATCGTGCCTGACATGCTGCACCACGAGTGCCGAGTGCCTTGCCCTTAATGCGGTTCATGACTCCGGTCCTTGAATGTCTAAACCGACTCCTGGACGTGTCTGCCCTACATAGGGCCTTCGTTTAGTGCGAAAGGTGATGATGTGTCCTGAAAAGTACAGCTTGGTTATGTGACTTTCCCAGTGTACATGGATGACTCGGCTATTCCTCTCGGAGCGAGGAACTTTCGCAGGGTCGGGCGGCCAAGATGTTTGGAATGCGGTGTAGAGGTTGAGGCGTGGTTTACAGCCGGCCGTCCTGTGTAGTTATGTACGATCGTACTGCATGTTACGTATCGAACCATGGGAGTTCAGCCATTCATATTTGCGGATCTCGAACCCATCAATTTCCATGACCTCAGTAGTGCACCATGGACCGCCTCTTGATTGGCATGCTGCACGCAGGCTGTTTCTGCGCAAATATGGCCAGTAGGACGTTGCTGTTCAACGCATGCGGGTAGTTCAGGCGTTGCAGTCATGACTTTATTGATGGCGACGTAAAGCCACGTGGGTGATTGTGGCGCAGGGTCCCTTTGAGGCCTTGTCAATGGCCTGCTCGCATCCCGGATACCGACATCGGCTCTTCTCCTACCAACGCGGATGTAAGTCGTCTAGCACAGTTTCTGCTAGTTCCTCTCTGACGCCCGACAGCGACCGAAGGAGGATAGCACGTCCATGTCGCTGAAGGCGCTGATATATGCATATATCCTCGGCGGTATCACCTTCATACCGCTGTTGATCCTCGGAGCCATCTTCTATACGGTATACACATCCGTCCCTGTGGACAACACCGCGGTGAAGCAGCCCGAGAAGGTAGAAGCAACAGCATCTCCCGAGGCTGTGGAAGGCGACTCCCCGTCGACCCCTTCAGCGCCGTCGCTCGTCGATATCAATGATCTCCCGAGGGTACGCCGAGCATGGTTGACCGTGCGCCGGACATTCCAGGAGCAGCAGACCGAGGCATCCTATGTGGGGATGGTACGCGGATTCTTGGATTCACGCTCAAAAGACGCAAAGCGCTCGAGACCCAAGGACATGTGGTACGTGGTTCTCAAAGGCAAGGTGCTCTATCTGTACGAGGACGAAAGCATGATCGAGTGCGAGGCGGCCATTGAGCTCAGCGGGCACGATGTGGTGATCTATCCGGAAGGCCTGCACGACGGAGAGCTGTTCTCCAAGCGCAATGCCATCTCCCTGAAGCCAAAGCTCCAACTTCCGCACACCGAGATGCCAAGCGTCACGAAGGAGATGAAGCTGCATGAGGAGAACGTCGACGAGAAGGTGGAAGAGACGGGAGGCGGGCCGAAGAGCAAGCAGAGGGAGCGCGAGAAGCTGGTCGAGGTTCAGAAAATGCGAGAGGAGGCGAGGGAGCAGGCGTTCGATAACTACACGCCATGGTTCATCTTCGTGAAGTCGGTGGTCGAGATGGAGGACTGGTACCACGCCCTCGTGCACGCATCCGAGCAGCCTGCGAACGCGTCGACCCTCGCGCCCCTCGAGCCGGTGTTCGAGCCCGACGACATGTCGCATCTGGTAGAGACGCTGGACGAGCAGCCAGACGTCATCCCAATGCGCTGGCTCAATGCTCTTATAGGCCGGTTGTTCTTCAGCTTCTACCGCACGCAGAAGCTGGAGTCGTATATCATCGGCCGACTCATGAAGAAAATAGCAAAGGTCAAGCGTCCCACCTTCCTCTCAAACATCATCGTGCGAGAGGTCTCCGTCGGCAACAAAGCACCTACGTTGAGCAAACCCATGCTCAAGGAACTGACAAAAGAAGGCGACGCTTCCCTCGAAGTCCATCTGCACTATAAAGGCGAAGTGCGCATCACGTTCGAAGCTACTGCTACCATCAATCTCGGAGCTCGGTTCAAGACGTACACGGTCAAACTGGTGTTAGCTTTGGTGATTAGGGAAATTGACGGCAACCTGTTGGTCAAGGTCAAGCGGCCACCCAGCAATCGTATATGGTATGCGTTCACGCAGATGCCGAAGATCGCGCTCGAGATAGAGCCGATCGTCAGCGACCGTCAAATTACTTGGAGCATGATCCTGAGCAACATCGAGTCCAGAGTGAAAGAAGTCGTGAGTGGCGATGGCTGTCTGCACGTTGCCGTTGACCTAACTGTATTGTCTAGATCCAAGAGTCAGTAGTCCTGCCGAATATGGACGATATCGCATTCTTCGAAAGCTCTAGGTATCATCGTCGCGGTGGTATATGGGCGGACGCTTCTCGCCGACATAGGCGTCGCCGTGCCTCGGTCTCGACTGTCCATCATTCTGACGAGGAGGACAAGGTTGAAACGCCTTCATCTGCACCTGAAGTACCGAAACGGCCACTTGCGGATCTCGAACATCCTACCGTACAACGCTTCCACTCGGAACAAGATGCCACTGTCGAAGCCAAGAATCATTATGGCGAACCGCAGGAGGTCTCAGACTTGCGCCGTGCTACAACGTCTATTAGCATGCCTGCTACTCCAACCTCTACAACAGCTTCGCGTCGACGCACCTGGTTCGGCGCTTCGCGTGAGGAGGAGCTACCACCCACTGACGAAGCTGATGAGCCGAGAGGCCGCTCGCCTGAGACGGACACTGTACCGGCTCGAAGATCGAGTTCTACTCCAACTAATTCTGTCATTGCAAGTCCACCAGAGGATATACCCCAAGCGGCCGATACTCCTACAGGCGAAGACCATATACAAACGAACAACACTCGACGATCGTCCTCTCAGCACTCGCAGTCCTCTTCCTCTCGGGGTACTTCCGCTCCCTTGTCCTCCGACGATGAGGCCGTGGCTCTAGGAGCAGATTTCGGTTCCTCAAGGCGCCCGAAAAGCCCAACAAGCAGCAGCTTCAGCCGCTCGACCGCAACAAGTTCCACCGCGACCTTCCTGCAAACATTAAAGTCGCGTGCAGGGGACAAACAGGCTCTGAGCAACACGGCGAAGGAAGCGATGCGCAAGTGGGGCGTGAACTGGAGCGGGCTGCGGAAGGATAGGGAAGTGCGTGGAGGCGAGGAGATAGCTGATGGTGCCCATGAGGACCATCAGCGGCACTCCACCGCTAGCACCACTCGTACAAGGCCGAGCTACGCTGAAGTCAGGGCCGCGGTCGAACAGAGGAAGGGGGAGCGTTTGCCTCACGAGGAGACTGCGTTGGGGGCGGAATCACGATCTGATCCTGTCTCGATACCCAGGAGTGTCAAGGGGAAGGAACGGGCGACGGAGCCACACTCGTCCAGCGCCAGTGGTGGCAGCAGCACCGCGTCGTTTCGACTCGCCTCTACCCTACCCGTGTCCTCCTCCCCGAAGCGCAGTACGGAAGGCAATGGTGCTGACTCACCTCAGCCGCGGTCTCTATCCCCCGCATCACACCTGCACAGAGTAGAGTCCGGGCGGTCGAACCCCTCCGGGGAGGTACCTGCGGGCGTTCTGCCAGACGAGCTGGATGAGCAGCCGCACTCCCCGATCCACACACAGCCGCCACAGGCGAAGACGATGACTATTCCCGGCATACACGCGAGCCACCGCGGCGAGGTGATGTCGATGGGGTACGCCCCTCCTCCTCCGCCTCCCGTGCCAGCCGACGCGAAGAAGCCGACCATACAAAGCGTGTACCGTCTTTGGAAGAACCCGAGCTCGTCACCTGGCTCCATACCACGCGGGATGGAGGCGCCTCCGCAGACGCAGACAGAGATGCAGACGGGTTTCAACGGGCATGACCAAGACGATGCCCCGCCTGTGACGTTGGGCTCACTAGAGGTGCATTCTGAGGCTCCCCCACCGCGTCCTGTCCCTCCTCCTCTCCCGCCTCGATCGATATCCGCCGTTCCTCTTCACAAACCCGCGAGCGACGCCGCGTCCTCGCCTGCGTCAGCCGCGCTGCAGTCGATCGCGTCGAAAGACAGGAGCAAGCGCGCATCGCTTGTCCCGGGTGGGGGTGGTCTGGATCCTGCGGGTGCCGGAAGCGAGGAGCGAAGCACTACTGGCGACGACACGAGTCCTGCTTCCCAGCCCGTGCCCTCGGGTGATCCTCAGGTCGCTGCCATTGTTCCTGTCGCTTCCAAGCCTCAACCACCCGCGCTACCCCCGCGCAGAAGCACAGTGACGATGCTGGCATCCGTGCCAGCTACTGCGCCGTTGTGAGGTGCGCCAGAATCGTTCGTTATACATCGTCTTGAAGCTTCTTGAAGTCGCTCGTTTCATCTATATCATTCGTCATCTTGCATTGTGTACTCCTCAACATACATTATACTCTCGGACTGTAAGTTATTGGTCTTGTGGCCTCGTCATTCCGTGACACGTTGCTTGTCTTGTAGGCTGAAACACCTTCCAGCTGATGCATGTGCTGATGCGTAGACTTTCGTAACAGCACCGTGAGTACATTCCACTGTATGAGAATGTCATTGGCCCCATTGGGGCGCGGCTGGAAAGCCCTGCCGGGACGCCAATGCGCGTGGCCGGGTTTATCAGCACTGAGGACGAAGACGACCGGCGGAGTTGTCGCTTTGGTTGGGAGATGGGACGAAGCCATGCCTTTTGCTTCGAATACCGAGACATAACCGCACACATGCGCGCGTAGGCTGATCACCAGTCTCGGCTCACAATTCAGCCATCTCATCCTCTTGAAAAGGCGGGTGCAGTACGACTATCGTGTCATTTTTTGATGTGCATGGACACACTTCGATCGACGGGCCTATGGTTGCCTGGGATATCTCTGCCAGAAGTGGGCCAATGAATACAATCGTATTGCCTTGTTGGACAAGCTTCTTAGATGGTTTTACTGTAGATAGGGCCCAGTCGGTGGGTCAAAGCTGATAGATGACGCGATGGAGAACGCTCGCGTTGCCAACGTGACTGACGAATCTTATTGACTTCGTGAGCGCCCACAGCGCTATAGTGCACGTGGCGCGTTGCCGGTATTGGGCTAGGCGGAAGGTTCAAGTGCCTTGCTGGGGACGGATATCTTGAATGACAGCGTAGGCATTCGTCCCTCCCTGTTTATCTTTCACGACCGCATCTGCTCCTCGCTACAGTTGACGACGACACCTGTTACGACTCTCACGTCATGACGAATACCCAAATGGTGATGCTGGATGATCGCATCGGAACCGCGCTCGCACGCTTCTCGACCAGTGCTGCTGTTGCTGCGGGGAACGACCTGAACGACCTCGGACATTCTGGACAGGGCTCGCCGCCTGGAGGAACGCGACCTCATGCGATCGTGTCAAACCTGCAGGCTGCACTCGACTATGAGGAACACACGCGCCAGCACTCGCGGGGAACAGGCTCTGACGGAGGACTGCCTCCACCCCCGCGTCCTAGAGGCAGATCTCGGAGGTTCGACTTGAAACGGGAGCCGGTCTCGATGTCTCTGCCGAGCTCGCCACTGATTGGCCCCGGACCAGGAGAAGGAAGGTCTGCGGGGCTGAATCTGTACAGAACCCATGCGCCGCGACTGTCGCTGCTTCTAGGCGACAATCCGCCGCCGCTAGTGGTCAGTGGTCGCCGGGCTGGGTCGGACGCAGGCAGCGGAGAGCACGAATTGTCGAGCGAAGCATACACAGATGGCAGTGCATCAGAGGTTTATCCCGGGTCACCATCAGTGAAACAGGGCAGCAGACGAGGGCTGTCATCGCTGCAACGGGTCGAGCATATGCTGGGAAAGAGCAAGCATGCGCTGGGAACGGTGGTGGCGGGCGGGCGACGGATGAGCGAGGCGGATCAGAGTGGCCGCGATGCGCTGATGCGCCCGAGTGCGCGAGATCGAGCCAGGCAGGGGGCGGCCATTAATTTCTTTAGCGCGCCCTCACCCATTCGTGCGTCCGTTCCTATAGCATCCATCTCTTCCACCCCTTGTTAACTTACCAGACGGCGACAGTTGCGACCCCGCTTGTCCCGACGTCGCGCACTGCGGCCCCGGCGGTGTTAGCAAACCCAACAATCCCCAGGCAAACACGAGTCGGGTCGCCCCCCGCACGTTCCCACGCTCGCCAGGGGTCCAATATGTCGCAGCAGCCTCGCAGTCCATCCCTCGCCTCCTCCAGCACACACTTGCCGCCAGACACTCCCTCGGAGCCTTGCATCAGCGTCTCCAGCACCATATACCCCGCCAGCCGTCGCTCTTTCAGTTCTCATCATTCCCCAGGCGGGAGGCTACCCGAGATGGACCACGATCGCGAATCATTCATTGACCTCACTTCCCCTACTTTTCCTCCGCATGCAGATCAGAACAGTACACCCGAGCACGGCGTCACCCCTGGCTCCCGAGTATTGGCTTCCCAGGACAGCAACAAGCTCAACACATCCCCCAGACGGCCTCCTCTTCCACTCATAACGACGACCACACCATCCACGAAACCACCACGACCGACCACTCCCAAGCCTGACTTTGGGAGGCGTTCCGCCTCCGCCCAACCTCGCCATCGTCGTTCAGGCTCCAATCACGCGAGGTCGCCCGGTGGCGTCGACGAAGCCCCAGCAGACATGCCGCGCGGTCTCCGCAACATTCCTTCCACTACCAACTTGTTGCATCCACAGGAGCGCGCTGATCGCATCCGCAAAACGCGCAAGCTCACCCAGCTCTTCGGACAGACGCCTGGCGTTGCACCAGAGCCTATTGATGTCGAGCTAGCGAACGGCTGCCTGCCCATCGCGCCTGCACTCGGCAAACGGAAGCATAAACCAGCAGCGTCGATGCTGGACGATGCTATTGTGCCGGCCATGTGGCCACCGGGGGACCATGGGCAGCAACTGTATCTCGGTGTGCGTCGTCGTTCGGTTCCGCTGAGCCCGCAGGACTTCTCTTCCATAAGCGGCCATTCCATTCTCACCATCAGCCAGACACCGCCGCACGTGATCGAGATAGGCTCCCAGGAGGGCGTTCCCCAGAGCGATTGGGTTGGTCATGGCCGTGCACACGAGGCTCTGCCTTCTGGCTCCCCGACATCTTTCATCGACCTGTCAGACGATGAGGGCGCCCTCGACGGCTTCTCGGAAATTCTTCCCGCCGAGAGACCTAAAGTCCACCGCCGCCCCCCGCAACCGTTCTCGCCATCTACCCCCTTACCTGACAATCTTTCGCCTGAGCAGCAGGCGGAAGAGGAGCGCCGGCGCAAACGCGAGAAGCTGGCCAAGTTGCACCGATTCCTGGGGTCGCGCGTCCCCGCCCACCTCGTTCTCGGGTCACTCGAAGAGGGTGTGCCCCTGCCATCTCCAGTCGTTTCACCACTGGACAACATGCACGAAGAGGACGGAGACACTCGCAAGGCACGCACAAGGCGGAGAAGGAGCAGCTCGGTCGCAGAGTTTGCTGGGACGTGGTCGGATGAGATCGACAGGCTCAAGGAGGATCTGAATGACCACGAGAAAGCCATCAATGTGAGAAGAGCGGTCAAGATGGAGAAGGTAGCGTATCTTCGCGAGCTTCAGTTCTGCAGTTCACCGCACTGACTCGAACTGTCCTGCGTTCACAGATGTTTGGTGTTGCACCGCCTCAGGTACTGTACCACACCCGCCAGGCAGCGCCGACGCCAAGCAGTAGCGCTGTACCCGTCCCCGCGAAGAACTGGCAGACGCCGCGCTCTCCGACATTACCCCCATCAAGCCCCACCTCACCAGGTGGCCGCAATCTTAACCAGTCGGCATACAAAGGCAAGTCGAAGAAGGGCAGTCGTCCCGGGACGGCCGAGTCCACGCAGCCGCTGCTGCCGCCGAACCACGGGGCCGACGACTGGAGCCTTGCTCCTGCGCCAGCCATGTCAGATGTATACCTGCACTACCGCCATTCGCTAAATTCTCTCAACGATATCATCGACCGAGTGAGTTGGCCATACTTTCACCTCCTATATAATTCTCTAAACATTCATGCGATGCCAGGACGACAAGCAGTCCCTTGCCGAGCTGCACGATTATCTAAGCGGGAACCTGCAGGATGTGCCGGAGCAGTCCTCGGCAGACGACACGGCCAGCGTCATCACGACGTCGACAAAGCCCGAACGCAGACGCTCGCTTCCTTCGCGCACTTCGATGGGCTCCGTCTCGTCCGACTTTAGCTTACTCGCTTCCCCACCGGCGGAGGAGACAACTTTCCAGGTGCGCCGCAAGCGCGCAGCGAAGCTCACTCATTTCTTTGGGGTGAACTACCGCGATCTCATGGGCGAGATTCTGGATAGTATCGAAAAGGGTCTTGAGGAAGAACGTGGCAAGGGCACCTTGAAGCCGGACGAAGTCCAGGTAGGTCCACTTCAAGCGAGTAGTGCGGCGATCACTTTACTAATAGCCTACGCAGGATTTGCTGCAGAAACTGGTGAAGCTCAAGACCAAGCGCAACAACCTCTCATGAAGCAAGATTTGAATCGTAATATATTGGACTGTCCACCTAGTGGACGAAATGTATATCTTAATTCCTAGTAATCGTTGAGCATACCCGCGCGGGCGCAACAGTGTAACGCTTGTAATCGTCATGTACATCAACCACATCACGCATGCATACTTTTTGTCGCTGTACCATACATTTTCTAGAGAATAACTAGGTCACCTTTGCAGGCGTGACACCAGAAGATGTGGGAGTCATCCATAAATTGAGGCTTCTTCCGTGATTGGGCATGAGCAGAGCCCAAGGGCGATGACGGCTCGACAACCGTGGGCAGGTTGGAAGCTCTTGCGGCTGGCGAGGTCAGCTTCGATGCGGGATTACTCGATGCCGCGACCTCGCCTTCTATCCGAGCTTTCAGCATGCTAAGGCTTACCCGCCGCTTGTGCTGAGCCTCAGGTGAGAGGCCTTCAAATGCGGACGCGGTAGATGGCGGCGCAAGGTGGGCCGGCCTTTGCGATGTGAACGACGCGCGACGCAGCTCGTCAGATGGTTCCACTGTCCGACCGGTCGGATAGCGAGAGTTAGGCGTCGGCCTGCCAGAGGCGAGACTATGAGCGAGCTTATCCTCTAGCGCAGCGACCTGTTTCTGCAGTGCATGTGCCTTCGCCTCGGCATCGAATACGGAACTCTCCAACGAGCGTATCTTTGACTGGGCGGCGGAGATCTCCAGAGTATGCTGCTGCTTGACCGCACTGAGCATCTCCTCGTCGAGAGAATGCTGTACCGGCGTGCGGGATTCAGAAGCGGCTTCGCGAAGGTGCTCGATCTCCTCGTTCTTCGTCGCCAGTTCGGCACGAAGCGTCTCCGCCTCGCCACGGGCTTGCTCGAATAACTCTTGCGCCTCATGCTGAGCTCGCTGCTGCTCCTCCACCTCGGCCCGGAGCGATGAGAGCTGTTCCATATGCGACTGCAACGAGGACGTGAGCCGATCGACTTCCGCGAAGTGACGATCTGCCATCTGCCGGTATTCCGCGCGTTCATTTCCGAGCTGCTGTACAATGCCTCGGGTGTCCTCGAGTTCGGCCCTAAGTTCCGTGTACGCCTTTTGCAGTTCGGAGCTGCTCTCTTCGGAAGATGACCGCTCCTTCTCCAGAAGTGAAGTGACATTTTGTCGTTCCTTCTCCAGTCGATCCTTCTCGCCGCGCAGTTCGTCCACTACAGTGTTCAGATGCGCTATTGTTGAATCGCGCTCCTGGAGGGATCTCTCGAGGGCCTCTACCTTTTCGCCCAATTGAAGCTTCGCATCCGTGAGCTCGACGATCTTGGGACGCATCTCGTCCAACGCGTGCATCAGGCGGACTCCTTCCGCTTGTAGCTCATTCTGTGTACGCTCGGCTTCATCCGCGCGTTTGTTTGCACCCTTCAGTTCGGCCTGAGCTTGTTGGAATTGGCGGGCACCGTGGCTCAGTTGAGCTGCAAGGTCCGAGACCTTGCGTTCGAGCTCAGCAGTAGCGTTCTCTTGAGCCTGCGTGCGTGACTGAAGCTCGGATCTTTCCTGCAGGAGAGCATCCTTCTCCGCTTTTATAGAAGACAGCTGGTCTTGGGCTGCATTGTGCTGCTCCTGAAACACAGCATGCTGACCACGCAGTTCTGATTCTGCTTCTGCGCGCAGCCGAAGCTGTGTATCCAGATCATCACGCTCAGCCTTCAAGCTGTCATGAGCCTGTAAATGATCTTGTGAGCTTCGGCTAGTCTATCAGGTTGTGATGATGGAGTACCTGCTGCAGCTTCGACAGCTGGAATTCAAGCTCATCCGCACGATCTTGAGTGTTTTTCAGCGTGGCTTCCAGCCGTTCTGCGCGGTCGTCACTTTGAATCTGCTCCTCCAGCTCTTTTACGTGTCGATCCGCTTGCTCTGCTTGTGAACGCAGATCATTCGCTGTCCCGTGTAACAGCTGCAACTCCCGTTCCTAAACATCACAAGGTTAGTAACAATCACAGATTCAGCAAAGATATTATGGACCTGTTCCCGGCATTTGTCGGTCAACTCCTTTCCGGACGCAGAGAGTTCCGTGATCTTTGCAGTCGACTCGCTATTTTCTGTCTTCAGCTGGGCAACAGTTTGTCGAAGCTGCTCGGAGATTTGTCGCTCGGACTGCAGAGCCTGTTCAGTGTCCTGCAATTCTAAGGCACGACGTAAGTTGCGGCTGAAAGTTTACCGAGTTGTATGCTTACTTGACTCGACGTCCTCCAACTGTGCCAAAGTTGAAGTCAACGACGTCTTTTCGGAGACGAGTAGCTCAATTGTTCGCTGTTGTTCTTCAACTCTATCAGAACTATCGTGTGCAGCCTTCTCCACTTCCTGTATGCGCAGTTGTAGTGCTTCAGAGTTACTCCTCTCAGCTTCGAGAGTTTGTTCACTGGATTGCAACTCTGCCGCACTGTCAGTCGGAGAACAGGTGGTTCTGACAGCAAACGTACTTGACTGGACTTCATCAAGCTGCTCAACAGCTTGCTGCACTTTAGTCTCCAAGCCAATCAAAGAGCTAATGGTGGCTTCTTGTTCTTCAACCTTCTTGGACAGCTCGTTGTTGCGATTCTCAACATCCCGCATGGATGTAATGGAGGCGTCCCGCTCTTTGATTTTGTCAGATAGTTCCTTGTTGCGGTCCTCCATGGTCCGCAAAGACTCTCGTAGTTTCGTAGCCTTCTCTCGCTCCTCATTTAGTAATGCGTTACTCTGCTGCGCATCTAGAACATCGACTCAAGACCCGTTGAAAAAATACAGGAAGTCAACGTACTGGCTTCAACGCCCTTGAGCTGCTCTATAGTGGAAGAGAGGGATTCTTTCTCGGATTCTAATAAAGATATGATGCGCTCCTTCTCGCTAATCACCGCTTGTAGGTTTTCTTGATCATTCACAGCAGGTGATGCCGTCTGTTGGGGGCTTGCGATCGGCGTCACAGACGCTTGGGTCGGATGATCGGGAGATGTCGTTCCCTCCTGTCGAGATGCCGGCGTAGGATTGGACTCGACTCGAGTCAAGGAGGATAGCCAATGGATATTTGCTCCATCTCCACTTGCAGCTTTGGTAAACCTGGATACAGTACCGAGCGACAACGCACTCAGACGTAGTTCAGATGCAATGTCATTGGTAGTATGTACCTACAGGTCGCCCACACTTCGCTCGCTCTTCTCCTCTTCCCCGTGAATTGAGGTGACTTCGGAGAGCGCAGGGGAGAAAGCTCGTGATGGTGGAAGACTCGGAGACGTCACAGTAGGACTAGCTGCAGATGTTGAGCTTCCTCCAGCGGCCTTCTGCTGTTGCCGCTTTTTTTTGAGCTGTTTGGAAGCGAGATGTTCAGAGCGCAGATAGCATGTGAGAAATCAGGCATACCATCGCCCGCGCTCGGGCAGCTTTTGCAGCACGGTCTTCGTCAGTCATACTTGGGAGCAATGTCGAGTTTGTGAGAAAAAGCAGGTACGCAATGTTCAGGGCCGTATCAGTTCACTCATCCACTTGCGCGAGAAAGCCGCCTGGAGACAAGCCGTCGCGAGGCGCTGTTCGACTCGACGTTAATCACGTGACCACAGCGGTGGCCACTCCGTTTCGGCTTTCTGAGTTTTGTTGAGTTTCGTTCCCCTCACTGTCTCTCGTCACATAAGCATAGGAGCTGTATTCTGCTGTTTTGGGAGGTCATGAGGCGTATAGGTGAATAGCAAAGGCCAGGTAAGGAAGAGCATCGAGACGGGCAGTTGGGCGAGAACATACGAATAACATCGATGGCACAAGAAGAATATAAAAACTCCGTTCGTACTGAAGAACAATGCAGACGATCACCGTAAAGACAGACTGAAGGTATTCGTAGAGCAGGAAAGCACGGGCGGGTGTAGACAGCTACCCGTATAAAGACACAGATATTGATATGCCGGAAGCGAGGGGCCAGAATCCAGACTTGCAGTAAGCGGTGTGGTATAGGGTATGGCGATAAAGGACGGCGATGAAGGGGGTTCTGCATGCGGAAGGACTTATGCCCACACCTTCAATGTACAATCAGTCGTGAAAAGCAACCCCCATCTCGATGAATGAACTTACCCGGAGCGTGCTATCCCAACTACCCGTACAGAGAGCCATACCATCTGCACTAACCCCCAGACAGCTGACCCTGTTCTCGTGGCCGGTCAATACCCCCACACGCTCGCCTTTCAGGGTATCCCAGACATTGCAGGTCCAGTCATCGTAGCCACCGAAGAGGATGCGACCAGAAATCGAGAACGCGACCGAGGTGATACCGCACAGAATATTATCATGGGTGAATGCGTTCAGTTCCCGATCGGCCCGGATATCGAACAGGCGGCATGATGCATCGTCAGAACCCGTGGCGAAAGCATCACCGTTCGGGAAAAAGCTGGCGTAGGATATTAAAGCTTATCCAACGGAAATACCTCTGGAAGACGTACTTCACTGCATTGATGTCTGACTCATGACCTGTGAATGTTTGCGTGGCCTTGCCGCTGCGGATGTCCCAGAGCTTTGCAGTTGCGTCACACGCCCCGGAAACGAAGACGTTCTGGTTGGGACCGAGCGACAAACTGCAATCAAGTTCTGAGTACAAATAGTGACATTGAAGAAGCGGAGGATGATACCTCATGACATCTCCGGTATGGTCGCTGAACTCTACGACCCGGACGCCAGCCTCGATATCCCAAAGCATACAGGTCATATCGCCGGAACTTGTGACTATCTGTCGATCGTTCAAGAAACGACAGCAACTGAGGTATCCTGAGTGAGCGCTTAGCTCACGAGCACCCTTGACGTTGTTGCCCTCTTTGGAATGTAAGTTGTATATTGAGCAGATGTTATCCAGACCACCGCATGCCACGTAGTTGCCAGATGGTGAGTACGCGCAAGTCATGACCCAACTGGACCTCAGCGGAATGGCATGGACTTTGTTGGTAGTATAGGCGTCCCAAACGATCAGCTTTCCGTCCTGTGACGCCGAAACGAGGTGCCGACGATCTGTCGCCCAGTGCATTGCGTATATCTTGGCCAAGTGGCCTCGTAAGGCACGACGAGGGCGCATTACGATGCGAGGCAATGCAGCAACCTCAGCCGCCATCGCACGTACTGATTTGGCGCGGCGAGGCAGTGAGACCGTGCATCGGGATGAAGAATGAACACACTTACAGCTAGTATCCGCAGAGGACTCTCTCCTCGCTCGAATTTTCTCCCTCAAACTCTCCGCCTCGCGACGAGCAGCGGCGATTCTCTCCTGGATATCGCCCTGGGGTGACTGCGACATGATGCTCGGATTGTGATGCGGTTAAAGAGAGACAGATCGGTGTGGTTCTAGCGAACCCAGAGGTCCGTTCAGTATGCTCTGACAGATCGAGAATGGACAATGAGCCAGCTCACCGTGCTATGTAGGGGAAGGGGGAACGAGGGCCTGGGAGAAGAGTAGGAAATTGATGGGAAGCTTGCGTGAGAACTAGACTAGCGCTAGCGAAACAAATCGGTAAGCGGCGGTAGAGACAAGCGGCAGTGTACGGGATGGGAGGAGAGACCCTGGACTGGTCGCCGGGTGAGAATGTTGAGTGGAGGAAGGGAGAAGATGGCGACTGTCGCGCTGGACTTGGCCGTCGCTGATGCCCTCCTTCGACCTCGCGGACTTCGCCGAATGTGGTTGCTTTCCCACGCCATCCGGCCGGCCCGCCGGTTGACCTGGGTCCTGACCGGCCTCGTCCAAACCAGCCACCGCCCACTGGTGTTTTTTTTCCTGTCGCTGAGCTCGAACATGGAATGTTATAGACATGACCCAAGCATTATGTCTCAAACAAATGCCAGATCACCACTCACTGCTGATTTACGAACTCTGCATCTTGCACAGTATGTTCCTGTGACAAGCTGATCTCAACAGTCTCTGAGCTCTACTGTGGTCAAGCGAAGCGTGCTTCAAGGTGCGATCGCATGGAGAGGCAAAGCTGTCGTGAGCCATACTCAATTCAATATACCCGAACCCAACCGGCGGACAGCTCGCCGTCAGTGTCATCAAATCGCTCGATGTACATCTGTTAGAAGCTATCCAGTCAATCAGCTGTTGTACAGGGGCGCATCTTCTATATTGGTGTAGCTTTAACCGTTACATGACGCAGTGAGTTCCATCCTCCTCATGTCGCACAACTCTGCGCCTCACAACTAGCCAGAGTGCCGATGACCGCAGAAGGAAGAAACTCAGCGCTGTCTCAAGATATTTGAATCCCC